CTCTGCCTTGGCTGCCAGGCAGGGAAGGGCCCCCTGTCCGGTGGACACGTGACCCACGTGATCTTACCTATCATTGGAGATGGCTCACACTGCTTACCCTGCCCCTTTGTCTTGTATCCAATAAATATAACTGCAGCCTGGCATTCGGGGCCACTACCGGTCTCCACGTCTTGGTGGTAGAGGTCCCCTGGGCCCAGCTGTCTTTTCTTTTATCTCTTTGTCCTGTGTCTTTATTTCTACAATCTCTTGTCTCCACACACAGGGAGAAAAACCCACCAACCCTGTGGGGCTGGACCCTACGTTTGGGAGGCTGAGGTGGGCAGATCACTCGAGGTCAGGACAAGACCAGCCTGGCCAACATGATGAAAACCTGACTCTACTAAGAATACAAATATTAGCTGGGTGTGGCTGGGCATGGTGGCTCATGCCTGTAATCCTAGCACTTTGGGAGGCTGAGGTGGGCAGATCACCTGAGGTTGGGAGTTCAAGACCAGCCTGGCCGACATGGTGATACCGCGTCTGTAGTAAAAAAAATATACAAAACTAGCCAGGTGTGGTGGCGGGGGCCTGTAATCCCAGCTACTTGGAACTTGGGAGGCTGAGGCAGGAGAATCGCTTGAACCTGGGAGGTGGAGGTTGAGGTGAGCTGAGATCACATCATTGCACTCCAGCCTGGGCAACAGAGTGAGACTCTGTCTCCAAGAAAAAAAAAAAATAAAAAAAAAATTAGTTGGGTGTGGTGTCTCAGGCCTGTAATATCTGCTACTTGGGAGGCTGAGGCAGGAGAATAGCTTAAACCTGGGAGGTGGAGCTTGCAGTGACCTTAGAGCGTGCCACTGCACTCCAGCCTGGGCAACAGAGGCAGAAGGCAATAGAGGGAGACTCTGTCTCAATAAATAAATAAATAAATTAATTAATTCTGATTTCCTGGTCCCTCCCATAGGCATCCCGAGACATTGGTCTGGAAGGTGCCCAGGTGTGTTTTCTGCAAACCAAGGTTCAGAACCACAGACTCCAAACCACCCAGGGAAGTGGTGTGTCATCCCTGGCTGTCCTTTTGGCCTTTGGGGGATTGTAAAATTCCTGTACCCCAGGCTGCATCCAACATCAGTGGAATACAAATGTATAGGGGTGGGTGCTGCCATTAGTTTTTCAAACTCTCCAGGAGATTCCAATGTACATCCAGGTTGGGATACATTTAAACTCTCACTAGCTATACATGAATGGTACGATTGCTCCATAGCCTTGTCTGCACTTGGCATTGCTGTTTTTTCATTTTAGCCAAACAGAAGTGTGTATGAATATCACATTGTGATTTTTCATCAGCATTTATCTGAAGCCAAACAGAATTTGGACATGCGTTCAGGATTTTATTGACCGTTTATTTATTCTGTCTTCAGTAGTGCCTACTGAAGTTTTTCACCCATTTTGTATGTACATCTTTTATATATTTTTTTCATTTGATGGACATCTTTCTATTCTGTATTCTGGCTTGATGTACTTTACTGGATGCATGTCATGCAAATATATTTTCCAATATGATTTTCCAACACCCATTTCTCACTGCATTTTGATTAATGGGAGATCTTTCTTTTTTCTGTGTGTGTGTGTGTTTTTTTTTTTTAGATGGAGTCTCTGTCGCCCAGGCTGGAGTGCAGATATTGTATCTGTATGTTGGAGTTTGCTGGGGGAGGCATCAGTACGTTGAAATAGCCACAATGTGATAAATATGTAAGCTAATTGTGTCTTAAACTTCCTAGCCAGCTTCTGTCTGCCTCCCCAAAGATCAAACCAGGAAGATTTATACAAGGAAAAGATCATGAAAAATAATAAGAACAAAACTAAGTAGTAACCACATAGACCAAGACTGTTGAGATTGTATTTCTTTTTTATTAGGTCTGTTTATTTATTAGGTGTTTTTCTTTTTTCTTTTCTTTTCTTTCTTTTTTTTTTGTTGAGACGGAGTCTCACTCTGTCACCCAGGCTGGAGTGCAGTGGTGCAATCTCAGCTCACTGCAACCTCCACCTCCCAGGTTCACACCATTCTCCTCAGCCTCCCGAGTAGCTGGGATTACAGGTGCCCGTCACCACGCCCAATCAATTTTTGTATTTTTTGTAGAGACAGGGTTTCACCATGTTGGCCAGGCTGGTCTCAAACTCCCGACCTCAGGTGATCTGCTCACCTTGACCTCTTGGGATTACAGGTGTGAGCCACCGTGTCCAGCTTGAGTAATGGGAGCTCTTACTAAGTCTTTTTAATCTTAATATAATTTAATGGGATCCAAGTTATACTTTTCTCCTTGCCATTTTGAGTTTTATTGTATTGAAAGGAAAGTTTGTCTCTCACTCAGTGTGGAGTTGCTTTTCAACCTATTATTTAATTAAAGCTATTTATTGTGTCTTATAGTTAGAACAGCAATTAAGAATGTAAGAAATTGGCTGGATGAGGCAGCTCACACCTGTAATCCCAGCACTTTGGGAAGCTGAGGAAGGAGGATCACTTGAGCCTAGAAATTTGAGATGAGCCTGGGCAACATGGCAAGACCCTGTCTCTACAAAAAATACAAAAATTAGCTGGGTGGAGCGGCATGCACCTGTGGTCCCAGCTGCTTGGGAGGCTGAGGAGAGAGGATTTCCTGAGCCCAGAAGGTCGAGGCTGCAGTGAGCGATGATCGAGCCACTGCACTGCAGCCTGGGTGACACTGTCTCAAAGACCCTATCTCAGAAAACAAACAACAACAAAAAAGGAAGACATTAAGATGAAATTGGACCTAGCAAAAGTCTAGATTACTAAAGTGAAAGACAGTTCAAAAGCAGGTATCCCAACCAAAGCACAGGGTAAGCAACATTGGAAAGTTGTTGGGCATTTTTTTCTGGATGAATATTTAAATGGTCTTTAATTTTTGTTATTAAATCAAATAGTGCATGAAAATTTATGTACATGGACAATTCCAGTCTTGTTTTTTTTTTTTTTTTTTTTTTTTGAGACAGAGTTTCGCTTTTGTCTCTCAGGCTGGAGTGCAATGGTGCGATCTCGGCTCGCTGCAACCTCTGCCTCCCAGGTTCAAGCGATTCTCCTGCCTCAGCCTCCCGAGTAGCTGGGATGACAGGCATGCACCAGCACACCTGGCTAATTTTGTATTTTTAGTAGAGAAGGGGTTTCTCCATGTTGAGGCTGGTCTCGAACTCCTGACCTCAGGTGATCCGCCCGCCTCAGCCTCCCAAAGTGTTGGGATTACAGGCGTGAGCCACCACACCCAGCCAACAGTTCCATTCTTACTTCCATAGAATGCTTTCAGAGATATTTGAAAGAAGGGAAGGAAAAGGAAACATATCTAAAATGCTGATATTAATTGCAAATACCACCCCGCCACACACACATATTAAATTCTTTTTCTACTAACACTCTGTGTCGGTAACACCACATTGGTTTCTGTATAAAGATTTAGAAATGCCTCAAATCCAGTGGGTGGAGACAGGGCGTTCCTTGTGGATTATCCACTGATTGGGTTATCACTCCCTTTCTCTATAAAAGAGGAGCCAGATGCAGAAGTCGCTGCATTTTCCAGCAAGTCAAGGGCTGTCTGCATCTCAGGAGTGGGGTCAGCAAGAGAAACTCTACAGCTATGGGAAAGCCTGCGTTCACCTCTTTTCCAAGACCACCTGTTCTGGTGAGTACAGGATTTTTATCGACCACAAGAATGTCCATTTGTGTCCTTTTTCTTTCTGTAAAACATCTTTACAGTTAGCAGTGAGTTGTTCTTAAAACTAGATGTTGTGGAAAGTTATACCTTAGGTGTTAATATCTGTTGAATAATATTCAAAGTCTTCTCATTTTTGCCCATGAAACTATATGGGGATAATAGCTTCGATTCCATCAGAAATTTGTTTTTAGTGTGTTTATTACGTCTTCCTTCTCACCAAGATGAAAATCAACAGAACGGTGATTTATGAAGTTTACTTCTGGTTCAGGGGTTCTACTGTACAGCTTGGCACATCACAGGTGCCCTGTAACTAAGGGGACTAAATAATTTTCCCTCCAAAGGGGAACATCTTAGGTCGTGTAAAGGGGTAGTGTTAATCTTAATGCCAGGACAACAGAAGTGAAATGGGAAGGACAGAAACGAAGGCTTTAAAGTAGAAAGTGCCCTGATAAAGACTGTATCTGAAACAGCTTTATGAGACTAGAGTCTTCTAATTGAGTTAGAGCAAGTAAGGATTTCAAATCTTAGGAAGAACTTAATCATCTTTCCCAGGATGTCATCAAAAGATTCCCTCATGGTACAACTCTAGTTAATTGAGCTTATCAGAAACAGAAAGCGAACATGGTGTTTCTGAGGTTTTTCTTCAGGAGCAGGAGGTGCTCAGGTGAAGATGAGATCTGGGTGTGGCAGTGAGTATTTAAGGGTTGGCGAGGGCACCATTTCTTTGGAGACCAGGGAGTCAAGGAGCTGTGAAAATGATGGTGTGTCCTGAAGCACAGCAGCAAGAAATACAGAGAAATGTGAGGTCTTGGTTCACAGGGAAGTCTGGGATCCCGGTGTCCTGTTGGGGATAGGTTAGGAGGCACCAGCATGTGTGTAGCTGACAGTGGCAGGGAAGAGAAGAGAGGGGTGTCCTCCGAGGAGGATGAGGAGGGACAAGGTCTGGAACTGGCCCTGGGACATGACCTTGAGCATTTAGTCCTTGACTGGCATCAGCCCGATGAGGTCCCAGGACTCAGTGTCAATGCCTGGAGCTCCTGCCAGCAGCATCAGCATCACGTGGAGAAATGCAGACTGTAGGGTCCACCCCAGACTCACTTGGGTTCAGGTCCAGAGATCTGAGTTTAACAAACCCTGCAGGTGCTGAGGATGTACGGTGCCATTTGAGACACATTTCCCCAGAAAGAGAGGCTGGTGGGAAGATTCCACTGAGCTGAGAGAAGCCCCCCAGAGCTGACCTTCTCCAGCCTCCATTTGGTTGAAATTTCACCTTTTCGTTTCTTTTGAAAGGGGAAGCTCAAAAGAAACATGATGCCCTGGGCTTTACAGAAGAAACGAGAAATCCACATGGCCAAGGCCCATCGGAGACGAGCTGCGAGGTCTGCTCTCCCCGTGAGACTCACCAGCTGCATCTTCCCGAGGCCGGTGACAAGGATCAGGTCTCATCCTGACAACCAGGTCAGACGCAGAAAAGGGGAGGAGCACCTGGAGAAGCCACAGCAACTCTGCGCCTACCGGAGAATGCAGGCCCTGCAGCCCTGCAGCAGCCAAGGCGAAGGTTCAAGTCCACTGCAATTGGAGAACGTCTTAAGTATCCTCGCACCGGGGATGGCCGGTGAATCTCTGGACAGGGCTGGAGCTGAGCATGTGCACAGGCTGCCCGAGCCCACCGCTGGGCAGTTTCCAGCTGTGGCAGGGGGACCAACCCCAGGAGTGGGTTGTCAGCTCCCACTGCCCCTCTCGGGCCAATTGGTGACTCGTGCAGATATCCGGAGACAGGCCAGGAGGGTGAAGAAAGCCAGGGAGAGATTGGCCAGGGCCTTGCAGGCAGACAGGCTGGCCAGGCAGGCAGAAATGCTGACAGGTGGATGAACTGCAGGAGGAGGGGACGCTGAGAAGCTGTTGGGGGTGTGGCCCCAGAGTTGGATGCTAGTCCTCTTTCCTACTCTCAATTGTTACACTTTGTACTTCCCCACCTGTTCTTTATTAAAAGCATTTGAAAGGCAACAAGTGTAAGGAGTGGATGGTTTTGTGGTGAGAAACTGGGTTTCGTGAGGCAAAGAGGGAGACCTTTACATGTACACCTCAATGTCTGTTTACCGTGATTTTAATTAGGTTTTCTTTTCTTTCTCTTTCTTTCTCTCTTTATTTATTTTTTGGTTTCAGACAGTTTCCCTCTTGTTGCCCAGGCTGGAGTACAATGGCGCGATCTCGGCTCACCACAACCCCTGCCTCCCGGGTTTAAGCAATTCTCCTGCCTCAGCCTCCCGAGTAGCTGGGATTACAGGCATGCACCACCACGCCCAGCTAATTTTGTATTTTTAGTAGAGACAGGGGTTTCACCATGTTGGTCAGGCTGGTCTCAAACTCCCAACCTCAGGTAATCCACCCGCCTCGGCCTCCCAAAGTGCTGGGATTACAGGCATGAGCCACCACGCCCAGCCGTGCATTCTTCTTTAAACCATTGGCTGTTTATGAGTCTGCTATTTAATTTCCACATGTCTGAATGTTGTTGACTGAAGATACAAAGTATCTTCTATGATTGCTCTAGAAAGAAGCTGGAAATTCACAATAAAAAGAATGCTGGAAAATTCAGATGTGGAAATTAAATAGCAGAGTCTTAAGCAGCCAATGGTTTAAAGAAGAATGCATGAGTGGGTATGGTGGCTCATGCCTGTAATCCTAGCACTTTGGGAGGCTGAGGCGGGTGGATCACCTGAGGTCAGGAGTTCAAGACCAGCCTGACCAACATGGAGAAACCCCGTCTCTACTAAAAATACAAATAAAATTTAGCACTGGAACCCGAGAGGCGGAGGTTGCAGTGAGCCGAGATCAGGCCATTTCACTCCAGCCTGGGCGACAAAAGTGAAACTCCGTCTCAAAAAAAAAAAAAAAAAAAAAATCCTTGTGGAGGTCACAGCTTTATTCATTCACCTTAGAAATACAGAGTTTGTTAAGACGATGATATCTTATTTACTTATTGAATTTTTTCCAGTACAAGTTTAATACTTATTAAAGGAGTTTCTTTCAGATGATGGGGAAGAATGGCGACAGGTGGTGGGATCTGCTGAAGGCACGAGCTTCACTGTGATGGTGGAGCCCTGCACCTCGGGTTTCCTGCAGCCCAGGATCTGGTAGCAGACCATGGTATCATCGCATCTTTGTTCCTACAAGGATGGGACGTGGTCTGTCTCATCTCCCGGGCACATCAGGAGTGCTTTCCAGACTCCGGGTGATCGGGGAATAGCTGCCAGTATGGTCTTAGTTGGGGTCTCCTCCTGACCCATGTTAATCCATGAACGCCCCATGATGTGGGCTAGTGAGGGCCCACACTAGCTAGTGGTCCTCCCTGGAGTCAAGGACCAGAAATGTGTTTATGAGGCGTTCTAGTTCTATGGAAATGAGAAACGGGATCTCCTGTCATCATTCACACAGTATTAGTGTCGTCCTCAGCCCCACAAAAGTCTGTCCGAGAGATGGCAGGCCCCGGCCACCATAGTGTAGACAGTGACTCCCAAACTCCACATGCCCACCGGGGTCCATCGTACTTTTGCCCTGGGGAACAGTTCCGAGGCTGCGTAAGAGGAGCTCCCACCGAAGGGCCTCAGCTTTCAGCCTATGGTGAATCTGGTATCAAAGCCAGAGTCTGTTGTTTCCATGTCGTGCTGAGCCTCCTCAGGGAAGTTCTCTGGCTTCAGAACCCTGTAGATAATTTTCCTGCTGGAAGCCTCACTGCACGGAATACCCTATTTGCTGGAACTTGCCCCGGACCTCTTCCCCCTTCAAGGAGGAGAATTCGAGGGTGAAGTCGGATAGCTCTCTCGAGCTGGCTTAATCCACTACTAGGAAGAGTCTCTTCTGGGCGCCAGCCACGGGAGTCTGATGATCTTTGGGCGATGAAGGGCCTTCATCATATGGACCCTGTGGTACAGACGCTGGAGGCTGCAGGAGCCCTGCTGCCCTATTGGGGTGACCTCCACAGCCATCTCGGTCCCAGTGAGAATGTGCTGGGCCAGCCGCCTTGACTTCTGCAAAGCTGCCTTGGCTGATGACCTTGAGGAGCCTATGATCATCAGTAAGGGTCTCCTTGGAGGCAGAAGTCGTCCCAAGGCCCGCAGCGTGGAGACCTCCCAGCTACACATCTCAGCTAGAAATGCCAACTGAGAATACTACCCCTACAAACTTTGCTAATGAGGAACATGAAGGACATGGCTGGAGGTGTCTGCTGACATGTGAGGGCGACCTCTGGTCATTTCCATGCCAGGGACAACATTCGAGGCCAACTCCACTGTGGCTGCACCCAGGAGCAGGATGATGTCACCAGGAATCACCTCTCCCGGCCTCTTGGCTCTGCTGACTTCCCTCTGAGTTGATGTCATTCCCAGGTGGGCTCTTCCTCCAAGGTGACAAGATGGCACCCACAGCCCCAGCAGCCTAACGGAAATAGATCTTCTCCTCCCGGATGTTTCCAAGACAACGGCCTGACCTTTGACACAGAGTGTGTCACATGAGCAGGCCTTAGCCAATCACTGTGGCCAAAGAGGACAGGATCTGCTGATTGGCCAGATTGAGGTCATGTGGCCCCTGTCTCCATGGAAACTTGAGAACTGCTTAGTTGTTTTCAGTTGGGAGACGGTGTGATGCCTGAGAGAAGTGGTTCAGGCTCGAAAGGTCACTACAACTGGATATCCAACTGCAAAAGAATGACTTTGGACTCCTACCTCACAGGATATAGAAAAATGAATGAAACAACAGCTAACAAGGGGCCAGAAAGTGCTAGTCTACTGCCGTGTATGATACACAAACATCAACTCAAAATCGACCAGTGTTGTCAAGATAAACTTTGAAACTAGAAAGCTTTTAGAAGCAAACAAAGGGTAACATTTTATGAGCCATATCTAATGTCATAAAAACCCACAGTGATTTTAGAGATGACACCAAAAGTACAAGAAAAAAACAAAGCAGATACATTTCAGCTCACTATTTTTTACACTCTGTTTTAACAAATGTGTAATGATATATGCACACACATGATATATGCATACACACATGATATATGCACACATGATATATGCATACACACAATATATACACACACGATATATGCATACACACATGATATATGCACACACACACACATATATGCACACACCTGTCTGGTGCCACAAGTTCCCCTTTTGCTCAGACTTATGGTTTTGCAGACACTTCAAAGGAAAAAAAGATGTTCCCTTTTATTTTTGTCTTCTTGCTCCTGAAGCTTCCCCTCCATGTGTGCAATATGACTGATGCCAACTTCTCTTTCTTTCTTCTTTCTTTTTCTCTTTCTTTTTTTCTTTCTTTCTTTCTTTCTTTCTTTCTTTCTTTCTTTCTTTCTTTCTTTCTTTCTTTCTTTCTTTCTTTCTTTCCTTCTTTCTTTCTCTCTCTTTCTCTCTCTCTCTTTCTCTCTCCCCCCCTCCCCCTCCCCTCCCCTCCCCCCCCTCCCCTCCCCTCCCCTCCCCTCCACTCTCCTCCCCTCCCCTCCCCTCCCCTCCCCTCCCCTTCCCTTTTCTGAGACAGAATTTCACTCTTGCTGCCCAGGCTGGAGTGCAGTGGTGTGGTCTCAGCTCACTGCCACCTCCGCCTCCCGGGTTCAAGCGATTCTCCTGCCTCAGCCTCCAGAGTAGCTAGGATTACAGGTGCCCGCCATCACACCTGGCTAATTTTTGTATTTTTAGTGGAGACGGGGTTTTACCATGTTGGCTAAGCTGGTCTGGAATTCCTGGCCTAGGTGATCGACCTGCCTCGGCCTCTCAAAGTGCTGGGAACATAGGCAGGAGTCACTGCGTCCAGCCTATTTTTTACATTTTATATCAGGCAATTATAATACATCAAACATCTACATTCCAATCACCCAGAATGGACAATTACTGACATTATATTTACTTTGAGTCTTTTAAAAATAACATTTTACAAACAAGTAGTCTCCCGTTGGCTCCCCAGACAATCCAATTTCTCTCCTCCCTGTTTCCCAGAGCAGGCAAATGTCATTATGTATTCGGTGTATATACTTCCATTCTGAATTTCATACACATACAGTATATACATCCAAATACATATTAATAACATTTAAACATGTATTAATATACAAAGCACATATATCCGTTAACATTACCTAGCATCGTTTAGTGCATTTACATTTTTACATATATACAAAATACGTATGCTTATTATGTTTGATCCTCCTTTTTGGTTAACTTGTTCCTTAAAGATGAATCCAACTGGGCCCGAGGCGGGTGGATCACCTGAAGTCAGGAGTTCGAGATCAGTCTGGCCAACATGGTGAAATCCTGTCTCTACTAAAAATACAAAATTAGCCCGGTGTGGTGGCGGGCGCCTATAATCTCAGCTACTCAGGAGGCTGAGGCAGGAGAATTGCTTTAACCCAGGAGGCAGAGGTTGCCCCGTGAGCCAAGATGGGCCACTGCACTCCAACCTGGGAGACAGAGCAAGACCATGTATCAAAAAAAAAAAAAAAAAAAAAGGAGTCCTTTTGTACTGGGAACCTAATGCCCTATATTATAATTCATAGCCAAACACAGAGTAATTACTTGTTTGCACCCAGCATTCTAACCACAGGAAGGGAATGGGGGAAGTGGGTTTTTGCAAGAACATGCCTTGAGGTGCGCACCTCCACACAGCTAAGCAATCTAGTTTGGGAGATAATACTCATAGGTGTCCAGGAAATGAGGAACAACCAGATAGCGCATAATTAAAGCACCACATTTTATGATGCAGATCATTTAAGAAATGTGGGAGACTGGACACAGCGGCTCACGCCTGTAATCCCAGCACTTTGGGAGGCTGAGGCGGGTGGGTCACCTGAGGTGAGGAGTTCCAGACCAGCTTGGCCAACATGGTGAAACCCTACCTCTACTGAAAATGTAATAATTAGCCAGGCGTGGTGGCGGGCACCTGCAATCCCAGCTACTCTGGAGGCTGAGGCAGGGGAATTGCTTGACCCCAGGAGGCGGAGGTTGCTGAGCCAAGATCATGCCACTGCACTCCAGCCTGGGCAACAAGAGTGAAACCCCATTCCCCCCCCCCCAAAAAAAAGAGAGAGAGAGACAGAAAGAAAGAAAGAAAGAAAGAAAGAAAGAAAGAAAGAAAGAAAGAAAAAAGTAAGTAAGTTGGGATCAGTCATATTGCACACACGGAGGGGAAGCTTCAGGAGCAAGAAGACAAAAATTAAAGGGAACATCAATGTTTCCTTAGAAGTGTCTGCAAAACCAGAAGTCTGAGCAAAAGGGGAAACTTGCACACCAGACAGGTGTATGCATATATCATGTGTATGTGTGTGTGTTGGGTTGGGGCGGGGAGGAATTATTGCTGTGAAATGGAGAAACTACTAGAATCTCTCCCCCACCCTCGTAGCCCTGATTCCTTTCAGTCAAGCCTCCTCCAGTCCCCTGTAAGAATCTGGAATCCTCTGTGCCCTGGGGCTCTGCATCTAGGGTCCTGCATCTAGGAGAAAAACACGAGGTGGAAAACATGTTTGAGGGTCATCCTCTCCACCCCCAGGCACTATGCCACGGATAGCAAGGCCCCAGGGACCCCTCCTCTTGGGTGGATTTGGTCCCAAGCCCGTGTCAATAAGCCATTTGCACAAACGCCATTTGGGCTGATGTCAGGCAAGGTGTGAGGTAAGAGGATCAGAAGGGCTCATGCTAATCAGGACTCAGCCAACAACATTCCGGCATCACACCCTTTAAAGTTCAACATGGCAGGGGGCCGCCTCACACACCCAGGGCCCAGGGCAGCTGCAGAACATTCCCTGTGCGGCCGCACACATCTGTACGCCAATCCCGTGTGCACGAGCACCGGCAAGTGCATGCGTCCCCCATTGCTTGGGAAGAAACATTCACACAAGTCCAAATGAGTAGCTCAAGATCAATGCAGAATTCAAGCTGCATTGTTGGGTTCTAAAATGTGATCTCCTTCCTTATTTCTTAGTTTTTTGTTTTTGTTTTTGTTTTGTTTGTTTTTTGTTTTGTTTTTTTACCTTGGTAATCCCATGGATCAATATATCCTGACGATTCATTTCTTCACCTGCAGTATTGCGTTCCTCCATCATTTATGGTTTTATGAAAACATGGGTCTAGGTGGGGAATTCCTCTCTTTTCTGACCTAAAGCAGAGGATAATAACTGAAAATCACACCTACATTCCCCACCACCCAAAACATCAATGACGAGGCTCACACCACCAGACCTCTAAGGCCGTGGAATACAGGGGATTTTCAGGACAGTGAAACCATTCTGTATGACACAGTGATGATGGATACAGGTTATTACATATATTTCAAAACTCAGAATGTACAAAATAAAGAGTCAACTGAAATGTATCTACTTTTTGTTCTTTTGCTTGTAATTTGGTGTAATCTCTAAAATCACTATGGGTTTTCATGACCTTAGATAGGGGTCATAAAAAATTACCCTTTGTTTGCTTCTAATAGCTTTCTAGTTTCAACGTTTGTATTTACAACACTGGTCGATTTTGAGTTGATGTTTGTGTATCATACACTTCAGGAGACTAGCACTTTTTAGCCCCTTGTTAGCTGTTGTTTTATTTATTTTTTCTATATCCTGTGAGGTAGGAGTCCAACCTTCTACCTATGAGGTAGAACGCCTCATAAACACATTTCTGGTCCTCATAAACACATTTCTGGTCTTTCTTTTGCAGTTGGATATCCAGTTGTAGCGACCTTTCCACTCTGAATCTGCTCTCTCAGCCATCACACCGTCTCCCAATTGAAAAAACAGCTAAGCCGCTCTCAAGTTTCCATGGAGACAGTGGCCACATGACCTCAATCTGGCCAATCAGCAGAGTCCATCTTCTTTTTCCACAGTGATTGGCTAAGGCCTGCTCATGTGACACACTCTGTGCCAAAGGTCAGGCCGTTGTCTTGGAAACATCTGGGAGGAGAAGATCTATTTCCGTTAGGCTGCTGGGGCTGTGGGTGCCATCTTGTTACCTTGGAGGAAGAGCCCACCTGAGAATGACATCAACTTAGTGGGAAGTCAGCAGAACTAAGGGGCCGGGAGAGTTGATTCCTGGTGACATCATCCTGCTCCTGGGTGCAGCCACAGTGGAGTTGGCCTCGAATGTTGTCCCTGGCATGGAAGTGACCAGAGGTCGCCCTCACATGTCAGCAGACACCTCCAGCCGTGTCATTTTTGCTTCTCGTTAGCAAAGTTTGTAGGGGTAGTAGTCTCAGTTGGCATTCCTAGCTGAGATGTGTAGCTGGGAGGTCACCATGCTGAGGGACTTTGGGACCACTTCTGCCTCCGAAGAGACCCTTACTGATGATCATAGGCTCCTCGAGGTCATCAGCCAGGGCAGCTTTGCAGAAGTCAAGGCGGCTGGCCCAGCACATTCTCACTGGGACCGAGATGGCTGTGGAGGTCACCCCAACAGGGCAGCAGGGCTCCTGCAGCCTCCAGCGTCTGTACCGCAGGGTCCATATGATGAAGGCCCTTCATCGCCCGAAGATCATCAGACTCCCGTGGCTGGCGCCCAGAAGAGACTCTTCCTAGTAGTGGATTAAGCCAGCTCGAGAGAGCTATCCGACTTCACCCTCGAATTCTCCTCCTTGAAGGGCGAAGAGGCCCGTGGCAAGTTCCAGCAAATAGGGTATTCCGTGCAGTGAGGCTTCCAGCAGGAAATTATCTACAGGGTTCTGAAGCCAGAGAACTTCCCTGAGGAGGCTCAGCACGACGTGGAAACAACAGACTCTGGCTTTGATACCAGATTCACCGTAGGCTGAAAGCTGAGGCCCTGGGAGCTCCTCTTACGCAGCCTCGGAACTGTTCCCCGGGACAAAAGTACGATGGACCCCAGTGGGCATGTGGAGTTTGGGAGTCACTGTCTACACCATGGTGGCCGGGGCCTGCCATCTGTCGGACAGATTTTTGTGGGGCTGAGGACGACACTAATACTGTGTGAATGATGACAGGAGATCCCGTTTCTCATTTCCATAGAACTAGAACGCCTCATAAACACATTTCTGGTCCTTGACTCCAGGGAGAGGCCCTCACTAGCCCTCATCATGGGGCGTTCATGGATTAACATGGGTCAGGAGGAGACCCCAACTAAGACCATACTGGGAGCTATTCCCCGATCACCCGGAGTCTGGAAAGCGCTCCTGATGTGCCCGGGAGATGAGACAGACCACGTCCCATCCTTGTAGGAACAAAGATGCGATGATACCATGGTCTGCTACCAGATCCTGGGCTGCGGGAAACCCGAGGTGCGGGGCTCCACCATCACAGTGAAGCTCTTGCCTTCAGCAGATCCTACTACCTGCCGCCATTCTCCCCCCGACCCGAAAAAAAAAAACTCCTTTAATGAATATTAAACTTGTACTGGAAAAAGGTGAATAAATAAACAAGATATAGTTGCCTTAGTCAAGGCACGATCTTGGCTCACTGCAACCTTCACTTCCCGGGTTCAAGCGATTCTCCTGCTTCAGCCTCCCAAGTAGCTGGGATTACAGGCATGCGCCACCACATCCGGCTAATTTTGTATTGTTAGTAGAGACGGGGTTTCTCTATTTTGGTCAGGCTGGCCTCGAACTCCTGACCTCAGGTGATCCACCCGCCTCTGTCTCCTAAAGTGCTGGGATTACAGGCGTGAGCCACCGCGACTGGCCGACAAACTCTCTGTTTCTAAGGTGAGTAGATAAAGCTGCGACATCCACAACAGGGATTTTTCTTAGTATCATCAAACTACATTTGCCATTCTTTTATCCCTGTGGTATCATTTGTCTCCACTAGGGGGAGAAAGGAGTAAAAACTTCATGGTTCTCTAATCCCATACACATAACATGAAATAAACTTGCCTTTTTATAATCTGAATAATTTATAGTGTGCAAGAAAATGCAGATCCATTTACTCAAGGAATATTTATTGACCACGTACAATACGCTTATCCTCCCAGAACATTAGTTGAAAAAATACTGAAAAATTGGAAAGTGTATTAGAATATAAAACACTGTATAAATGTTTTATGTATCCCCCAAACCAAAATTATTAATATTTTAATTTTCTGTTTGTTTTTACATTTTTGTAAGATTTATTTTTTATTTTTTATTATTTTTGGTGTCACGTTTTTGCTCTGTCTCCCAGGCTAGAGTGCAGTGGTACGATCTTGGCTCACTGCAACCTTGACCTCCTGGGCTCAAGCCATTCTCCCACCTCAGCCTCCTGAATAGCTGAGAATACAGGTGCACACCACCATGCCCAGCTCTTTGCTGGTTTTAATGGAAGCAAATTCATCAATAATATTTTTAAAATCAAACTTCTGGGAAGAAAATGAACCATCAGTTAAATATATTTTATATTTAAATATATTTCTCTGTGTGTGTATATATATATATATACACATTTGGGTGTATATATAATGTGTGTGTGTATATATATATATATATATTTTTTTTTTTTTTTTTTGAGATGGAGCCTCGCTCTGTCACCCAGGCTGGAGTGCAGTAGCACGATCTCGGCTCACTGCAATTTCAGCCTCCCAGGTTCATGCGATTCTCCTGCCTCAGCCTCCCGAGCACCTGGGACTACAGGTATGTGCCACTACGCCCAACTAATTTTTGTATTTTTAGTAGAGACAGGGTTTCACCATGTTGACTAGGCTGGTCTTGAACTCCTGACCTCAGGTGATCCTCCCACCTGGGTCTCCCAAAGTGCGGGGATTACAGGCGTGAGCCACTGTGCCTGGCCATTAACAATATTATTCAGCCTTAAAAAAGAAGGAGATCCTGCCATTTGTGACAACATGGATAAACCTGAAGGACACTGAAGGACATTTTCCTAAGTGAAATAAACGAGTCACAGAGAGACAAATACTGCATGATCTCACACATACGTGGAATCTCAAAAAACCATCAAATACATGGAAACAAGAGAATAGAATGGTGGTTACTGAGGTGGTGATGGAGTAGAGGAGAAACGGGGAGATAGAGGTCAAAGGGCACAAAATTGCAGCTATGTGTGATGAATAAGTCCAGAGATCAGGTGTATAACATGAGGACGATAGTTAATATTGTATTATGAAGTGGAAATTTGCTAAAAAAGTAAATCTTGGATACTTTTGCACACACACAAAAGGTAGCTACAGGAGATAATGAAAATGTTAATTCACTTAACTATAGTTATCCTTTCCTCATATCGAAGCATCCTGTTGAGCATCTTAAATATAGACAATAAAACAAACACATTAAAAATGTCTGCATAGAGAGGCGCCCGTGTTTCCGTTTGCCTCAGTGTCCATTATGACCTGGCATAGCACTGTCAGATTTTGGAACTGGTTATTTTCTTTATCAGGAATTTTCTTGCATTGAATTTTTTTTTTTTTTTAAGACAGAGTCTCACTCTGTGGACCAGGCTGAATGCAGTGGCATAATCTTGGCTCACTGCAACCTCTGCCTCCCAGGTTCAAGCAATTCTCCTGCCTCAGCCTCCTGAATAGCTGGGATTACAGGTCTGTGCCCCCATACCTGCCCTTTTTTTTTTTTTTGTATTTTTAGTGGAGACGGGGTTTCACCATGTTTGCCACGCTGGTTTTGCATTGATTTTTAAAAATATTGCATTGAAACAGTATTTGCCTTGCTTACTTAATTTTTGGTACCCCCTTAAATTTTGTACCTGAACTGGGTGCTTCTCTCCTCTTGCCCTAGTCCGAGCCATGATTTTTATTTTATTTATTTTATTTTATTTTATTTTATTTATATTTTATTTTATTTTATTTTATTTATTTTTTTATTTTATTTATGATGGAGTCTCGCTCTGTCTCCCAGGCTGGAGTGTAGTGGCGTGATCTTGGCTCACGCAACCACCTCTTCTGGGGTTCAAGCAATTCTCCTGCCTCAGTCTCCTGAGTAGCTGGGATTATGGGTGCCTGCCACCATGCCGGCTAATTTTTGTATTTTTAGTAGAGACGGGATTTCACCATGTTGGCTAGGCTGGTTTCGAACTTCTGACCGCAGGTGATCCACCCGCCTCCCAAAGTGCTGGGATTACAGGCGTGAGGCACCGCACCCGGCCTTAACCCACTGCGCCCAGCCTATAAACTTTTTAAGGCTGGTTTTTAGCCTGCTTCTAGGAAAGGGGACAACATTATCCACATCTCTTCCTTTAAACACTCCATTTTTTTTTTTTTTTTTTTTTGAAACAGAGTCTCGCTCAGTCGCCCAGGCTGGAGTGCAGTGGCGTGATCTCGGCTCACTGCAAGCTCCACCTCCCAGGTGCATGCCATTCTCCTGCCTCAGCCTCCCAAGTAGCTGGGACTATAGGCGCCCGCCACCACGCCCGGCTAATTTTTTGCATTTTTAGTAGAGACGGGGTTTCACTGTGTTAGCCAGGATGGTCTCGATCTCCTGACCTTGTGATCCACCCGCCTCGGCCTCCCAAAGTGCTGGGATTACAGGCGTGAGCCACCGCCCCCGACAAACACTCCATTATTAATAAAAAGAAAATCTCTTAGTCACATTAGTCTGCATGTAAAGGAAAAATTGTACCATGGCAGTGCCAGATGCCTCAGGCCCACATAGGAAATTGTCCTGAGAATAATCTACAACAGATATGCCCTTTGTTTCTTTTTTCCACTTGTCACAATATGAACACCTTTTCAACTATTAACCCTTTCAGAACCTGTTTTTGGATGGCTGACTGGTAACCTCTGGTATACCTGTGTCACAGCGTATTTACCCTGAGTTTGTGTCATTTCCAACTTTTCGCTGCTGTATACAACACTGTGACAAACATCTTGAAGCTGTAATTTTAACACTCTACCATTAGAGTGCTTTTAAAATCAGTAGGGGGTTATCAGTGGCAGGAAGTTTTTATGTCTCTTTTATTGTCTGATTGAAAAAATATATTTATGGGCTGGGCGTGGTGGCTCACGCCTGTAATCCCAGCACTTTGGGAGGCTGAGACAGGAGGATCACAAGGTCAAGAAATCGAGACCATCCTGGTCAACATGGTGAAACCCTGTCTTTACTAAAAATACAAAAATTAGCTGGGTGTGGTGGTGCACGCCTGCAGTCCCAGCTACACAGGAGGCTGAGGGAGGAGAATGACTTGAACCTGGGAGGCGGATGTTGCAGTGAGCTGAGATCATGCCACTGCACTCCAGCCTGGCAACAGAGCGAGACTCCCTCTCAAAAAAAAAAAAAAAAAAAGGAAAAAAGAAAAAGGAAGAAAAGAAAAACAAAAACATTTATGACTACACAGAAGCTGCCCAAACTTTCCCAAACTGTAAAAAATACATCATTAGAAATATAGTAATTTGCTCAGGCACAGTGGCTCACACCTATAACCCCAGCACTTTGGGAGTCCAAGGAGGGAAGATTTCTTGAGCCCAGGAGTTCACAACCAGTCCCGGGAACATAGCAAGACTGTTTCTACCCTCCTTCCCAAAAAAGTAGCCAGATATAGTGATGGACACCTGTGATCCCAGCTACTTGAGAGACAGGGTTTCTTTTTTTCTTTTTTCTTTTTTTTTTTTTTTGAGAGGGAGTCTCGCTCTGTTGCCCAGGCTGGAGTGCAGTGGCCGGATCTCAGCTCACTGCAAGCTCCGCCTCCCGGGTTTACGCCATTCTCCTGCCTCAGCCTCCCCAGTAGCTGGGACTACAGGCGCCCGCCACCTCGCCCGGCTAATTTTTTGTATTTTTTTTTTTTTTTTTTTGAGACGGAGTCTCACTCTGTCGCCCAGGCTGGAGTGCGGTGGTGCAATCTCCACTCACTGCAAGCTCTGCTTCCCGGGTTCCCGCCATTCTCCTGCCTCAGCCTCCCGTGTGGCTGGGACTACAGGCGCCGCCACCGCGCCCGGCTAGTTTTTGTATTTTTAGTAGAGACGGGGTTTCACCATGTTAGCCAGGATGGTCTCGATCTCCTGACCTCGTGATCCACCCGTCTCGGCCTCCCAAAGTGCTGGGATTACAGGCGTGAGCCACTGCGCCCGGCCTCTTTTTTTCTTTTTGAGACCAAGTCGCACTCTGTCACCCAGGCTGGAGTGCAGCGGCATGATCTCCACTCAGTGCAGCCTCCGTCTTGTGGGTTGAAGCCATTCTCCTGCCTCAGCCTCCCAAGCAGCTGGGATTACAGGTGTCCACCATGATGCACAGCTAATTTTTGTATTTTTAGTAGATGGGGTTTCACCACGTTGGCCAGACTGGTCTCAAACTCCTGACCTCAAGTGATCTACCTGCCTCAGCGTCCCAAAGTGCTGGGACTACAAGCATGAGCCCCCCGTGCCCGCCTTATTTGAAGTTTATTTAATTTTTGCTCATAGAAGAGCTTTCCATCATCAGTTCAAAGTCATCCAGTTACTTCCTGACTTAATATTTCTGTTTCATTGTGTCCAAAGTTATTATCTATCTTTTATTTGTAATACTCAGCATGTTGGATCATAATCAGATGAGTTCCTTGTCTGATTTATCTCTGTAAGTGTATTACCCAGCAGGAGACTGGGGTCACTGATTGGGTTTATAATGTTTGTTGAATGAATACATCTGAGAAAGACCATGTGTCAATCTACTGCACAGCAACAGAACATTATTCTGACATTCTGTCTCCTGAAGTGACCACTCTTGTTTTTCTTTTTCTTTTCTTTAAGTTCTGGGGTACATGTGCACTCTTATTTCCTAAATAACGTCATGGACTGGGTGCGTTGGCTCACGCCCATAATCCCAGCACTTTGGGAGGCTGAGGCGGGTGGATCTTCTGAGGTCAGGAGTTCGAGACCAGCCTGACCAACATGGCAAAACCCCGTCTCCACTAAAAATACAAAAATTAGCTGGGGGGTGGTGGTAAGCACCTGTAGTCCCAGCTGCTCAGAAGGCTGAGGCAGGAGAATTGCTTGAACCCAGGAGGCAGAGGTTGCAGTGAGCCAAGATTGTGCCACTGCACTCCAGCCTGGGCAACAGAGCAAGATGCCATCTCAAAAAAAAAAAAAAAAGAAAAAAAAAGAAAAAAGCTACCAATGTCTTAAGATAAGATCCGGTCCTGTAAGATGCATAGAGTTATTTTCTTTCTTTCTTTTTCTTTTCTTTTCTTTTTTTTTGTGTGAGACAGAGCCTTGCTCTGTCACCCAGGTTGGAGTGCAGTGGCGCAATCTCGGCTCACTACAAGCTCCACCTCCCGGGTTCACGCCATTCCTCTGCCTCAGCCTCCCGAGTAGCTGGGACTACAGGTGTCTGTCACCACACGCAGCTAAATTTTTTTGTAATTTTAGTAGAGATGGGGTTTCACTGTGTTAGCCAGGTTAGTCTCGATCTCCTGACCTCATGATCCGCCTGCCTCGGCCTCCCAAAGTGCTGGGATTACAGGCGTGAGCCACTGCGCCCGGCTACATAGAGTTATTTTCTATTGTCAGTTCTACTAGTTAAGAAGTTACAAAGCCCAGATACAAGAAGACGAGACATAGACTTCAGCTCTCCAGAAAAGAATGTCAGAAAGTGTGGGGCCATGTTTTAATACCATCTCAGGCACCAAGCACACTTAGCATAAGAAGTTTGTTAGAAACAAAGGTGACAATATTATCTAAGGGCATGATTCTGTTGGTGCCCAGTGAACCGGCAAGAAAGATCATATGTACGAGCCACTGAACACAACCTTTTAGGCATCAAGTCTGGGCTAGAATAAGCAGAATCAGGACCAAAGTGTGTATTAATTGGTGACATAGGAAGAAAGAGCTGCCCCCTCAAATGAGTTAAATGAGGGGGGTTTCATGAAAGGACTGTTTATTTAGGTGGGGGTAGGGCTAAGGGAAATCAACAGAGGATGGTGAGGCACCCTGGGATTGGCAATGTGGGTGATCTCTTACCACTCGTTGACTTGAAGGCATGAAGGGAGGGAGCATTTATGAGAACCTGGAAAGGGCTTTAGCCTGCAGCAGAAAAACCCAACCACTGTCCAAATGTGCAATGCTGCGGGGGAAGAGGAGGCTGGGGAAGCAAACACCACATCTCTTGCTGCACCAGCTCTCTTTTCTTCTTCCGGGGCTAACACTGGTCAAATCGAGCTTCACAGCAGAGCACGCAAGTGCCTCATGATCCAGAACATACAGGGAAGCCTCTCAATGCACAGGGCCGGTTGCAGAAGGATGGAGAACAGGTGTTTTTCACAATTGCCCAAAGTCAATTGTTAAATGCTTGTTGAAGTTTGGGAAATGACCAGGCCATATCAAATGTTCCTAGACCGAACATTTGCTCCCTTGGGTTTTGAGATGGGCTGATTTCTGTGATGGTGGCAGCGTACTGTGCTGCTCTACTGAGGCAAGGTGAGATACCCGACGTAGAGATTAGAGAGGAAGGTCATCATTCTCCTATCCGATGGCTTCTGCTTTTGTTATTTCTTAATTTGATCACTGTGGCTCATGAGTCATGCTGCTGTCTGCATCCCTTTCCGGGACTTATTCAGATTCCTCAAGAGAGACACAGGCTGAATGGATTCGTCAGTCCAATATTCAATAGACAGAACTATTTGAAGGTACACTTATCTTCTCGGCCATCTCATAAGTTGTTGTTTGCCATATGGACCAATCCATGTTCCAATCAGCTGCGGTTGGGAGGCAAAGTTAAATAATACCATGTCTGACAACATGAGTGCAAATAACTTATTCCAGCACACCTTGGGAAGTGTCTCAGTTGGCCTTGGGTGTATAACAAACCATCCTCTCCTCATTGAATTTTTTTTCTTTGTTCTTTTTTCTTTTTTGCTTAAAATAACAACTATTTCACTTAGTTCACGATTCTGTGGACCTTTCTTCAGATCTGGGCTGGCTTGTTGGTTCCATTCATATGTGTTTATGGTCAGTTGGAGGGTATGCTGGTTGAATGGATGATCTGACATGGTCTTACCCACACGCGTGGTGATTGGCAGATTGGCAACCGAAGTGATGAATGATTGGCTATCAAGCCTTGGTTTCTTCCACATGGCCTCTTACACTCCAGCAGGCTAGCATTTTTTTTTTTTTTTTTGCATTCTGTTAGCTGTTGTTTCATTGGCCAAAGCCAGTCACATGGCCAAGATAAGAACCAGAGACTACACTTAAAGATGGAGAATTCTTCCATCCCAGGGTGCAATCTGTCGCGTGCAGAATTGGGCCATGAGCACACAGAATACTCAGAATTTCAGGGACTTCCTTTGGGTTTAGGCGTTTCCATTTTACATTCAGGCAATTTTCTCTTCAGTACAGCTGACAATGGCAGGCTGAATCCGTCTTTCATTTGTCATTTGAAAGACGATGCAGCAGACTGAGCACGGTGGCTCACGCCTGTAATCCCAGCACTTTCGGAGGCCGAAGCGGGCAGATCACCCAGTGATAGGAGTTCGAGACCAGCCTCGCCAACATGGAAGAAATCCCGTCTCTACTAAAAACACAAAAATTAGCTGGGCGTGGCGGTGTGTGCCTGTAATCCCAGCTACTGGGGAGGCTGAGGCAGGAGAATCGCTTGAACCCAGGAGGCAGAGGTTGCAATGAGCCAAGATTGTGCCATTGCACTCCAACCTGGGTGACAAGAGTGAAACTCCATCTCAAAAAAAAGATGATGCGGCAAACATTTTGAGTAGTACATGGAGGAGGTGATTACCAGCCCAGCTATACAGCCGTATCTATGTGATTATTTGCATAATTTATTGCATTTACTCTTATGAATTTATAAAAATAAATAGAAAACAGAAAGATGAAGGTGTTAACGTTTGGGATAATAAGACCACGTTTCATACACGTAATAAAATCAAGACAAGGAGTAAATTGCTTGTTGTGTATTTGGACTTGCCAAATTAGGGCATTATTTGCCATATTCATGCTGGATCTTACAAAGATTCTTCTAATACAAATGAGACAACAATTTCAGAATACCACCCTAATGAAACCAGTTGAAAATCTTATCAGCCAAGTCTATCAGTGTAATTCTGTTAAATGGTACCATCCCAAAGACCAAGAATATGGATGAGTCATTTTCCCAAGTTGGTCAACTGGAACAGGAAATTAAGCTCTACAAAGATATGCCGACTCCTTTCCACACTCTGGCCTTCAACTGTGGTGGTGCAAATTAAATGAAAAGGAACTCTTTGAAGGTGAACCCATATCCTTGGGAGTTGGCCTCACTCTCCATTATCACTCTCCATTTCCCACTGACCACCATCACCATTTCCCCGTTCATTTTCTGAGGTACTTTGATATGGTCCACCATGATAATGTACCACTTAAATTACAGCAGTGGAAGGAGAACTAATAGACCCTGCATTATGCAAACTCCCCAAACAACAACACAGCCTCCCGTGTCCACCCACAAGACTCCTTAGGAAACCGGAGCTCAAGATAAAAAGCAACAGTCCTCTTCTGTCAGTTCTGAGAAGCTACCAGGCTCAGTGAGAGGCAAGGACTTTTCATCTTTAGGGTAAGTAGTATCTTCCTATAGAAAATAGGAAATGTTTTACTTGTGATCCTGAATCTAAGAAAAATATTCTCGTTCTGGAAACATTTTCAAGGAGGCCTCATTACTTGTCCGGTTACTTTATTTCTTGAGAGCTGCTATGACGGCTTCTGTCTCACATTCATTTTTTCCACTTCTGCTTGGGCAAGGAGTGTGTGTGTCGTTATGCGATAGTCTGAAACCTGCTGGGATGCCTTATCACGCACAAAGAAGGGGGCAATGGTGCGTAAAGGGGCTTAAGGTGAACTAAAATGATCAAGATTCGAGAATAATCTAAGATGAACATAGCTTATAACGAACATGTTATGAAAAACAAGGAAAACAAGATCTAAAAAGATGAGCCAGTTTCCTAAGTCCGTAGGATGAATTAGCAGCTTTTGCATACACCTCACACCCATAATATACACATCAGCACATGTGTTTAAATGCCAGTCTCACAGTCATCGTCATTTTCATGGTGGAAGGGTTTTGTGTTTTATTCATGACCAAAGCAGAGATCTACAGGTCAAATTTTTCAACCAGCTGGTTATGACCCACTGGAGGAGGCTGGTCGCTATCAGTGGATGGGTCTTCTTAGGCCACTACTGTGTTCCTATGGGGACTTCACAGGACCCTTGTTCATTCTCATTACCACTGGGTAAGAGGTCAGTCCTTAGCATGCGCCACCATGGCACCACCTTAGTGGGTAACAACCACCAAGGCAACAAGCAGAAATGAAAACAACTATAATTAGATAATATCAGTCGCTGCAAATAGTGAGTTTCTTTGTGTGTGATCCTTGGCTCAGTTCTCTGTGTCTGCCTCTCTTTCTCTCTGATGTGAAATTCTTTTCTTATAATTGGTGATGATCAAAAGTCCTCTCCAAATTAGCATCCCTAGAGGCCTCGGCTGTCATGAAAAATCTTACCACCTTATTCCTTTCAAAATACTCACTTTAGGTAAACTTGTTTCAAATGAGGCCTCAACAAAGAAACGCCCTTATCTGGACAGGGGTTCTTTTCATTGAGAATTTTCCAGTTATATTTTAGAGTAGACTTTTTGAAGGGTGGAGCAACACGACTCTAAAAAGAAGACAAAGGTTGAAAGAGGAAAGGTATCCAGAAAGTAATCAAGTATAACTCTACCAACGGGACACAAGTTTCCCACGACAGAATTTGATTTCAGTGAAGTACAGATTGCAAGTGATTGGCCTCCTGGTTCTGTATTTAAAGAAAACGTGGGTGTGGGTGTCTCTAGATAGCCTTTGGTGTCCAGTTCCACACAGTCCTTATTACTTCTCACCAATGGCCTTATGTATTTATGTTGCATGTCTAGATGCTGGGAGACCTTGGAGTTTATGACCTTGGTGAGGTGGTTGCGCATGGGCTTTGGACTCAAGCTGACGTCCTCCAAGTCTTAGATTTGTATTTTCCTAGCAGCACAATCTTGAGCAAATTATATAATTATTTGGAACCTCAATTTCCTCATCTGAAGACTGAGGAGACATAAAATTATAAGACCTACATCATGGCTGGGCACGGTGGCTCACACCTGTAATCCCAGCCCTTTGGGAGGCCAAGGTGGGTGGATCACCTGAGGTCAGGAGTCAGACCAGCCTGGCCAACGTGGCGAAACCCCATCTCTACTAAAAATACAAAAATTAGCCGGGTATGGTGATGTGCACCTGTAGTCCCAGCTACTTGGGAGGCTGAGGCAGGATAATTGCTTGAACCCAGGAGGCAGAGGTTGTAGTGAGCTGAGATATCACTACTGGGTGACAGAGAGAGACTCCATCTCAAAATAAAATAAAATAAAATAAAATAAATACCCACATAAGATGGTTGTAGCTTTCAATAAGAGAATAGCCATATTAGCCAGAAAGTTCTTAAGGCACTTGGCCCATAGTAGAAGTTCCATAAGTGATTTTAGGAGACAGTAATGGAAGGGATGAGAGAAGCATCTGCAGCAAAATTTGATTTGCAAGCAGGATTCCAATGCATAATGTGCCGGTCTGCTTAGGAATAGGTGGTTCCATGGGATGGGTCTTCTTAGGCCACCACTGTGTTCCTGTGGGGACTTCACAGGACCTTTGTTAATTCTCATCACCTCTGGGTAAAAAGTCAGTCCTCAGCATGCAAAGTTGTGATTACAATTGGGATCAGGAAAAGGACATGAGAGATCTCCATGACCTCTGTCGTCAACATCATCACCATCAGCATTACTGTCACTTCCACCATCCTTGCCACCATCACCACAACCATACTGTCCCCCTTCACTATTACCATCACTGCCATCACCACCACTATCATCACCATCACTATCAGCACCATCATCACTATCATCATCATCACCACCATCACCATTACTACCACCGGCATCACCACCACCACCATTACCATCACCACCATCATTACCGCCATCATCACCATCACCACCACCGCCATTACCTTCACCACCACCATTACCACCATCATCATCACCACCGCCATTACCATCACCACCATCATTACCACCATCATCATCACCACCACCATTACCATCACCACCATCATTACCACCATCATCATCACCACCGCCATTACCATCACCACCATCATTGCCGCCATCATCACCATCAGCATTACCATCACCACCATCATCATCACCATCATCATCACCACCGCCATTACCATCACCACCATCATTACCACCATCATCACCATCACCATTACCATCACCACCATCATTACCACCATCATCATCACCACCGCCATTACCATCACCACCATCATTACCATCATCATCACCACCATTACCATCACCACCATCACCATTACCACCATCTCCATCACTACCATCACCATTATTACCACCACCACCATCACCATTGCCACTATCACCATCACCACCATCACCATTATTACCACCATCACCATCACCATTGCCACTATCACCATGACCACCATCACCATTATTACCACCACCACCATCACCATTGACACTATCACCATCACCACCATCACTGCTATTACCACCATCACCATCACCATTGCCACCATTCCCAGCACTACCATCACCATTATTACCACCACCACCATCACCATTGACACCATCACCACCATCACCATGATTACCACCATCACCCTTGCCACCATCACTATCACTACCATCACCATCACCATCACTTTGCCACCATTGCTATCACCATTACTATCATGTCCACCATAATAACCATCATCAGGACCATCACCACCACTGCCACCTTCATCACTACCTCCACCATCATTATGATCTCCACTGCCATCACCACCATTACCATCACGACCACTACTATCACATCCACTACGACCACCACCACCACTACCACCATTGTCATCCTTCCCTCTTTCCTTCACAGGTAGCTTTATTCAGGACGTACCACATGCCGGCAGGTGTGAAGCATCGTCTCACTGAATCAGCATGAAACTGTAAAATATGTGCTCTTTCTTAGCTATGTTTTGCAGACGAGAGGCTTGGAGGTAAAGTCACAACCTCAGAGTCACTCAACTAGTAGTTGTAGATTTGGGATTCAAACCCAGGTTTGCCTGTGCACCAAATTCTAAAGCCATCTAACTGTGTAGGGCCAGTATGTAACTGTGCGTGAAGCATGGAGGGAGAACTGCCACATAAACACACAGGCAGCCCCAACAGATTCCAAACTCAGAGATCAAAGCGGCATGAATATATCAAAGCAGGAGTATCAAAGCAGACCTCTCAAGAACGATTTTTGAAGTCATTTTGTGGCTGGGCGTGGTGACTCATGCTTGTAATCTCAACACTTTGGGAGAATGAGGTGGGTGGATCACTTGAGGTCAGGAATTCAAGACTAGCCTGGCCAACATGGTGAAACATCTCTACTAAAAATACAAAAATTAGCTGGGTGTGGTGGCAGGTGCCTGTAATCCCAGCTGCTTGGGAGGCTGAGGCAGGAGATTCGCTTGAACCTGGGAGGCGGAGGTTGCGGTGAGCCAAGGTCACATCACTGCACTCCAGTCTGGGCGACAGAGTGAGACCCTGTCTCAAAAAAAAAAAAAAAAAAAAAAAGTAATTTTGTTTTCTCTTTTATTAAAACACTTCATTATATTATTATTTTTATTGCTAAGGCAATGTACATAATTTAGAATTACAGCTGAATAAAGAGAAATTTAAAATCACTCATACTGACATTCTTCTATTAATATTTAAAATTCTCCTACATGTGATATTATATACTTTCTTTATAACCTACATTTTGTATTGATACATAATAGTGGTACATATGTGTGAGTTACATATGATATATTTTGATACATGCATACAATGTGTAATGATAGAATCATATAACCTCCTTTTGATCCTAATGCTACGTCATAATCACTTTCTATGGATTTTTTTGTTTTGTTTTGTTTTTTGAGACGAGTCTCGCTCTGTCACCCAGGCTGGAGTGCAGTAGTTTGATCTCAGGTCACTGCAGCCTCCACCTCCTGGTTCACGTGATTCTCATGTCTCAGCCTCCCAAGTAGCTGGGATTACAGGCACTCGCCACCACGCCTGGATAATTTTGTGTTTTTAGCAGAGACGGGGTTTCACCATGTTGGTCAGGCTGGTCTCAAACTCCTGATCTCAAGCGATCCACCTGCCTCTGCCCTCCAAAGGGCTGGGATTGTAGGTGTGACCCACCGCGTCCGGCCCTATGTTGTTCTAATAGCCTCCTACAACATTATTTTTTGCATGTGATACCGGATTGTTTGCATTGCACATAATTGTTGTTTTCCTTCCTGCTTACATTTTGTGAAACTTTTCTGCAAACTACTTAAAGCATCTTCTCCATCAGTTCCTCCATCATCACTGGCAGCGCCTTTGAAAGGCTTCACCGATCTGCAGAGTACATCATTTTTGCTAATGTGCACTGGAGGTTTTATCTTAAACCCCAGTTGGCCACCGACATTACCTTAGGAGAGTGCTTTCTGCATTTTAAATTGATATCCGCAGGCAAACGCTTACTACAATGCTTCTTAAAGTCCTCTTTGAAAGACTCATTTAGGCCTGGCTTGGTGGCTCACACCTATAATCCCAGCACTTTGGGAGGCCCAGGCGGGTGGCTCACCAGAGGTCAGGAGTTTGAGACCAGCCTGACCAACGTGGTGAAACTCTGTCTCTACTTAGAAAATACAAAAATTAGCCGGGCGTAGTGGCAGGAGCCTGTCATCCCAGCTACTAGGGAGGCTGAGACAGGAGAATTGCTTGAACCCCGGAGGCGGAGGTTACAGCGAGACGAGATCACACCACTGCACTCCAGCCTGGGAGCCACTGCCAGAAAGCCTCATTTATAGTGATGTCTAGTACCTCCACTATTTTCTCTGTTAGAAATGATTTCTGTTTTGAATAGACAAGACCTTCACTTGGTTCAAAATTCAAAAGATAGAAGAGGACAAACTGAAAAGTCTCCTTGCCTCGGCTTCCCAGTCACTTGGTTTCTTTCTCTTTTTAAAAAATATTTTATTTTATTTTAGGCTGGGTACAGTGGCTCACACCTGTAATCCCAGCATTTTGGGAGGCCGAGGAGGGCCAGCCTAGTCAACATGACAAAACCCTGTCTCTACTAAAAATATAAAAAATTAGCCAGTCGTGGTGGCGGGTGCCTGTTATCCCAGCTACTTGGGAGGCTGAGGTAGGAGAATCACTTGAACCTGTGAGGCGGAGGTTGCAGTCAGCCGAGATCACACCACTGCACTCCAGCCTGGGCGATAGAGCGGAAAAAAAAAAATTATTCCACAATGTCAACATAAGTCAAAACATCATATTATAGCCCATAAGCATATATAATTATTTATGAATTAAAAATTAAAAATAAATAAATCAATGACAGCAATGTAAAAAAAAAAAAGAAGAAAAAAAGAAAAAATGAGTAGTTTGTCTGGTGGAGTTTTCTACTCTCGATCTTGCTGATTGCCATAGAACAGGATTTTAAATTCCAGCCGGATATTTCATCAGATGCATCCGTTTTTAGCATTTGTTGAGTGATAAACTTGTTCCCTATAACCAAATGTGCTATGATCATCCTTGCAGGGTCTTTTCCTTGACAGAGTTAACCAGAGGCAGAATTATTGGGTCAAACGAGAGGGAGAGATGAAAGGTTTTTTGTTTGTTTGTTGGTTGGTTGATTTCGAGATAGAGTCTTGCTCTGTTGCCCAGCCTGGAGTGCAGTGGTGCGATCTCGGCTCACTGCTACCTCTGCCTTCTGGTTTCAAGCAATTCTCCTGCCTCGGCCTTACATTTTGATAAGCATTGGCCACGTGGCTTCTGAACTTGGGACCATCAGAAATCAGATTTCATGGGGCTTATTCATTCCAGGCACTCTGACCACGTCCTGCTTGAGAGAGATTGTTCCCGGCATCTCAGCGCTATGGGGAGCAGGTGCTTCCTGGTCCTGCTCTTGGGTAAGTGGAACTAAGAACTCCCTTCCCTTCTCCTCATGCGCCTGGTATCCTCGCTTGATTTGCTCCTTCAAATCTGGCATTTTCTCCAGCATTAACTGCGTGTGCCTCTCCTATTAGAAGCTCTCATCTCGAGTCAGGCTGGGCTGCCACAAAGCAGAACTGAAACAAGGACTCTTGTGCGTAAATAGTTTATTTGGGAGGGGATCCCAGGAAAGGAGGGTGTGGGGAGGTCACACAAGGAGGGGTGAAGAGCCGCTGAAGGGTGTGTTAGTGAGGGGGTTACCACTGCGGGCAGGTGGGGTGCTGTCCTGCTAGGGACCTCCAAGAGACAGTGTAATTCCCACATTTCTGGCCTACTCCCCGGCTGGGTGCAGTAAAATGCACTGTTGCAGAGAGAGACAGAAAGTTATCTGCGGCCGGGCACCGTGGCTCACGCCTCTAATCCTAGCACTTTAGGAGGCCAAGGCAGGTGAATCACTTAAGGTCGGGAGTTTGAAACCAGCCTGGCCAACATGGTGAAACGCCATCTCTACTAAAAAGACAAAAAATTTAGCCGGCCATGGTGGCGGATGCCCGTAATCCTAGCTACTCTGGAGGCTGAGGCAGGAGAATCACTTGAACCCAGAAGGCAGAGGTTGCAGTGAGCCAAGATTCCACCACTGCACGCCAGCCCTGGGTGACAGAGTGAGACTCTCCATCTCAAAAAGTAAAAAAAAGAAAGAAAGAAAAAGAATGTCATCTGCATTCATAGGAACCCCCTCTGGGGTAGGCTAAAGGGTCACTTCAAGTATCTGCTATATGGATTGACGCCAAGCGGGTCCATGCTTGGAGCATCATAGCTCAGTAAGTTACAACCTAGACCTTCCCACCCTGTCCTCTGGGCTTTAGGGTCTTAGAGACAAGAAAAAGAAATCTCCGTAGGAGGCATCAGATACAGTTTAAGGATGGAAGGTTTGTTAGGAGACCTTACAGGTAAGTGATGTTCCATACTGTATGTAAGGGGCGGACACATTTTTTTCTGTAAAGGGACAGATAATTTGTATTTCAGCTTTGTGGGCCATATAGCCTCTGGCTTAACTACTCAATTCAGCTATTCCAGCCCTAAAGCATCCATAGGCCTTATGGAAATGAATGGATGTGGCTGTGTGTCAATAAAACTTTATTTACAGACATAAGCAGCTAAAATTCGTATCGTTTTCATGGCCATTAAGTATTATTCTTCTTTTGATTTTTTTCAACCATTTAAAATGTTTTATGTAAAAAATATAAAAGTCATCTCAACTCATAGGTCCAGTTTGCTGACCCCTACCCTGTGGAAATCAAGTGATATTTCTCTCTGAAAAAAAAAAATGTTTCACAGGAAAATTGGTGTTGAGTGTTTTGGCTCAGAAAAATGGCCCTGGTCAGCCAGGCGTGGTGGCTTACGGCTGTAATCCCAGCACTTTGGGAGGCCGAGGTGGGCAGATCACGAGGTCAGGAGTTCGAGACTAGCCTGGCCAACATGGTGAAACCCCATCTCTACTAAAAATACAAAAATTATCCAGGCGTGGTGGCGGGCGCCTGTAATCCCAGCTACTTGGGAGGCTGAGGCAGGAGAATTGCTTGAACTTGGGAGGCAGAGGTTACAGTGAGATGAGATCGTGCTACTGCACTCCAGCCTGGGAGACAGAGCAAGACTGTCTCAAAAAAAAAAAAAAAAAAAAAAAGAAACAAAACAAAATGTCATAAGAGATAACCTAATATTATAAATCTTTAAACATAATGTTTTCATCAGTATGCATGATATTGAAAATAGTAAATACAATGGGTGAGACAGGAGCAGGTGACTTTATCTTGCCCAGGTACCTTGCCTTGTTCTTTGATAACTCGAATGGACCATGAGCATGACCCAAATCCAATCTCCTAGGTATTATTTGCTATGCTTACACCATCTGGGGGCTGACATTGTTCATAGAAGCAGATGCCTCCATATTTTAGCAAAAGATTCGCGCAGAGCCACCTTGCAATGGAAGGGATAGGAAAAAAATTCCTTCTTCAAGTGCCTGCTCATTCCAAGCGTATTTGCCTTAAGGGAGTGATGTTAGATAATCCAGGAAGAAATAGGTGGAGCAGCTTTCTGCGTTTCTGAGTTCATCCCCAGTGTATGTATTTAACTTCAGTCTAACAACATGGCAGCAGGAAGAGATCATCTTCAAATCATCATTATCCATTCCAAATTTGTCAAAATATCGGAACTCCCAGGATTCTCATGCCCCATGAATATTCAAATCTCCTCGTACCTCAGAGGAAACCCTGTTTCCTAAGGATTAAACCTACACTGTCGTCAGCCGGACATGGCTACTGAGCACTCAGAATGTGTCTAGTCCAAACGGACATGTGCCGTCTGTACAACATGCATACCAGATTTCAAAGACCTAATAAACACACGTAAATTTAAATAATGGACAAATTATTTATTGCATATTGATTATGTGTTGGAATAGTAATATATTTCAACTACATTGAACTAAAAAATATTATTGAAATTAATTTCAAGTGTTTCTCTTTGCTTTTTAAAAATGTGGGTAATAGATGGCCAGGTGTGGTGGCTCACAGCTGTAATCCCAGCACTTTGGGAGGCCGAGGCGTGCAAATCACTTGAGGTCATGAGTTTGAGATGAGCCTGGCCAATATGGTGAAACCCCATCTCTACTAAAAATACAAAAATTATCCAGGCATGGTGGCAGGTGTCTGTAATCCCAGCTACTAGGGAGGCTGAGGCGGGAGAATTGCTTGAACCCGGGAAGTGGAGGTTGCAGTGAGTCGAGAACATGCCGTTGCACTCCAGTCTGGGCAACAGAGCAAAACTCTGTCTCAAAAGACAAAAAAATGTTGCTAATGGAAAATTTAAAAGGACCTATGGGGTTTCCATTTATATTTTTCTTGGACAGTGTGTGGTTTGAGGTCTGGACTGATATTAAAATAAACTGTTGAATATAGAAAGGAGATTGCCAACTTGGTCTTTTGGTGCTAGGACATAGAGAAGAAGCTGAATTCGCTGCTGGGTTTTCTGAAATTGGGAAACACAGCTCCAATTAGATGCACTTCCCATACTTTAGAAGGATATGATGTCCAAATTTGTGACTCTTGTGTTTATAACCTGCCTGGAAGACGCTATGGTGAAGCTTGCACGTGTGACTGGGCAGAGTTAGGGTTAGTCGCCCCTAACTCACCCAGCCTTCAGCCAAGCAGAGTCTAGGGGATCCCCGTCAGAATGATCCCCTCCTCTCTCTGTTCCAGGTCTCACTGTCTTACTGGTTCTGCCAGGATCAGAAGCCGATAATTCTGGAGGTGAGTCTATTCATAGCCAAAGGCCAGAGGAAAGAAAATTGGGATCTGGAAGCTTCCTTCAGAGAAGGGAAGAAGCTTTTTTCAAGAGACAGAGCATGGAGTCTCTGGCACTTCCTTCTGGCTCCTTGGAGATCCCAAGAGCTGTTTTCCCATCTCCATCATCACCATCATCTGCATTTACATAGCAAAGCACATCACACATGCCACCTCAGTTAATCCCCATGACACTCCTACAAAGACAGCATGGGCATTATCCCCACTTGATCGAGGGTCCTCCAGAATAGTGGCTGGCTCAAGGTCACATGGCTGGTGGATGCTAGACTCTCCTCTTTCTTTCCCCAAGCCTGTGTCTTGAGTCATTCCAGGAAATACTTTGCCTTCACCACAAGCCATTGCTTGGGTTCCCCAAGAAGCAGACCCTGAGAGCAACCCGTTGTTCTGGGAGGGAATCCTAGGAGGCACCAGCTGGGAGTGGGCAGTGGCATAGGAAGGGGAGGAGCTCATATAGGATCTTTATCAAGCAAGTTACATGTGGGCAGCTGGAGTTTAATCCCTGGGGGAAGCTGTTGGGTGTGGCATGGAACAGGCACCTCATACCCCTCAACGGGTAAGGAACCTATTGATTATGACTATGTTCCAAATTGTGGTAAAATGTGGATAATGTAAAATGTAGCTTTATAACCATTGTCAAGGGTACAGGTAAATGCCATTCAACGTTTGCACTGCTATGCAACCATCGCCACCATCCACCCACAGTGTTCTTTCTAGTTGCAGAACTGAAACTCTGTGTCTATGAAACATGAACTCCCCATTCCTCCTCCCCAAGGCCCTGGCACCTACCATTCTACTTTCTGTCTCTATGAATCCAGCAACTCTGGGCATCTCATAGGAGTGGAATCATACATTATTTGACGCTTTGTCCTGGCTTATTTCATGGAGCATAATGTTCCCCAAGGTTCATTTATGGTGTAGCATGTGTCAGAATTCCATTCCATTTTTTTTTTTCTTTTTTTGAGACTGAGTTTCGCTCTTGTTGCCAGGCTGGAGTGCAATGGTACAATCTCGGCTCACTGCAACCTCAGCCTCCTGGGTTCAAGCGATTCTCCTGCCTCCGCCTTCCTAGTAGCTGGGATTATAAGCATGCACCACCATGCCCAGCTAATTTTTTTTGTTTGTTTGCATTTAGTAGAGACGAGGTGTCATCATGTTGGTCAGGCTGGTCTGGAACTCCTGACCTCAGGTGATCCACCCACCTCAGCTTCCCAACGTGCTGGGATTACAGGTGTGTGAGCCACCATGCCTGGCCAGAATTTCCTTCTTTCTAAAGGCTGAATAACATACTATTGTGTGGATGGACCACATTTTGTTCATTCATTTATTCATTCATGGGCACCTGGATTACATACAACATTTGGCTATTATGAATAATGCTGATATGAACATGAGTGGACAAATATCTCTTCTATACCCTGCTTTTGATTCCTTTGAGTATATTCCCAGAAGTGTGATTGCTGGATCATATGGTAAGATCATATGATAATTCCAATTTAGAATTTTTTGAGGAATTGCCATACTGTTTCTCATAGACATGGCATCATTTTACATGTCTACCAGCAGGGCACAAGGGTTCCATTTTCTCTACATTCTCACCAACACTTGCTATTTTCTGTTGTTTTTAAAATAATAATGAAATTGGCTTTTTTTTTTTTTTTTTTTGAGATGGAGTCTCTCTCTGTCGCCCAGGCTAGAGAGCAGTGGCACTATCTCGGCTTACTGCAAGCTCCGCCTCCCAGGTTCATGCCATTCTCCTGCCTCAGCCTCCCAAGTAGCTGGGTCTACAGGTGCCTGCCACCATGCCAAGCTAATTTTTTTTTTTTGTATTTTTTTTGTAGAGACGGGGTTTCACCATGTTAGCCAGGATGGTCTCAATCTCCTGACCTCATGATCCACCTGCCTCAGCCTCCCAAAGTGCTGGGATTACAGGCGTTAACCATTGCGCCTGGCCAAAATTGGCTTTTTTTGTTTGTTTGTTTGTTTTTAAATGTACTATCTTTTATCAATCATTGATAAAGGGAGCTACTTATGAGAGGAAAGGCATTGTTAATCTGCCATGTGATGAACAAAGAGAATTCTGGTAGCCAGGGTGAGCCTGCAAGGAAAGAAAAACAGGTGCTGGCATTTGGAGGTTCACCCATCTGGCAAAAGTGGTGTTGGTGGCAGAAGTGGGACATGGTTGGGCACTGTGTGCCCCTGTGTTCAGCAAAGGTCTGGATGCCAAACGGATGCCAACAGAACTACTCCCAACATGACATTCTTCTGACAGCAGCATTGGTACAGGGTAGACGCATACTGAATATTTCTTAGACGAATGAATGGATTCTGTTTCTCTGCAGCTTTCTGTCTTCCATGCCCTAAATATGCCAAGTGCCACAACAGCACCCACTGCACCTGTGAACACGGCTTTTGGGCCTGGTCTGGCAGGACATACTTTCATGAGTTCTCTGAGAAGTGTGAAGGTAAAAATGTTAACGGGGTTTTAATTTAATCTCTCATTAGTGATAACTATTCTGTTCCATGTGTCCTCTGCCCAAAACACATAAACCCACAGCCCAAATAAAACTCGTCTCTCTTCAGCAGACTATTTGATAAAGTACAGCCGTCGGCCAGGTGTGCTTGTCCCTGAGTCCTTCAGATGGAGAGCACAAGTATAAGTCTGTGGTCCAGAGCACCTTTTGTCTGTGGGTCCTTTGCTTGAGCCTCAGCTCTGGTCCATTCAGTAAAGAAGGCTAATGTGGTTGGGAGCGGCAAGACACAAAAAAATTGCATAAACCAGGATTTTTTTTTTTTTTTTTGAGATGGAGTCTCGCTCTGTCGCCCAGGCTGGAGTGCAGTAGCACCATCTCGGCTCACTGCAAGCTCTGCCTCCCAGGTTCACGCCATTCTCCTGCCTCAGCCTCCCGAGTAGCTGGGACTACAGGCGCCCACCACCATGCCCGGCTAATTTTTTGTGTTTTTAGTAGAGACGGGGTTTCACCATGTTAGCCAGGATGGTTTTGATTTCCTGACCTTGTGATCCTCCCGCTTCAGCCTCCTAAAGTGCTGGGATGACAGGTGTGAGCCACCGCGCCTGGCCTTTTTTTTTTTTTGAGTCAGAGTCCTACTCTGTCACCCAGACTGGAGTGCAATGGCGCGATCTCAACTCACTGCAACCTCTGCCTCCTGGGTTCAAGCGAGTCTCCTGCTTCAGCCTCCTGAGTAGCTGGGATTATAGGCATACACCACGACGCCCAGCAAATTTTTGTATTTTTAGTAGAGACAGGGTTTCACCATGTTGGCCAGGCTGGTCTTGAACTTCTGACCTCATGTGATCCACCAGCCTCAGCCTCCCAAAGTGCTGGGATTACAGGCATGAGCCACCACGCCCGGCCAGGCCAGGATTTTAGTAGTGTGGTCCTTCCTCATCTCTCTCAAGCTTTTCTAATAGTGTGTTAACTTACCCTATGTTTATTACCCTGCTATGCACTATGTGTATTAAATTGATTTAGCAAATGGTGTGACTTAAAAACAACATTAAAAACAACATTCCATCCTTATTCTAGTGATTTGATATGTCATATTTACCATGTTCTAAAGCTCCATAGGTACTTGGGTCTATGTCTGGACTTCTAGTCTATTTCATTAGTCTATTTTTATTTATGCATGCATCAGTACCTCTTTGTTTAGTTGCAGCTTTATACTTTGTCTTAATCTCTGGTTCCCACCTTGTAGTTTTTTCTGGCTGCACCTGCATGATAGCAACAATTTGTCTCTCACTTCATAAAATACACATGTAGATTTTTAAAAATTGGAATTGCATTGGATTTATAAATTAACTTAGGGAGAACATTGATGGACAATGGTTGGGCAAGAAAGATTTCATGGGCAAGGGAAATGGTATAATTCTATGAAAATGAAAGCAACACTTTCTCTTGATTCACAGATATTAATGAATGTGAGACCAGGATGGCAAAGTGCAAGTATGAAACTTATTGTACAAATAAAATTGGAGCTTACATCTGTAGCTGTTGGCGAAAACATTCTAGCTTCAACTCGCTGGCTGGTTTTACAGGTTATAATCATTCAGATTGTTATGGTAAGAACCTCCAAATACTGTTTTCACTGAAAAATGGTGGGGACTTGGGGGAAACTCTGAGAGATTTTCTAATTTTAGGCCAGGGTAAGAGAGTAAAGCTCCATCCTAACCCTCATCCCTCACTCCTTTGTTGTCTTTGATGATATTTTCCAAGATGGTGTCATCTAAGCCTTGGCATCAATAACCATCTCTATATAGATGCTTCCAAATGTATGTGTCCAATACAGATCTGTTTCCCGAGCTTCCAAAAGGGCACCTTTAAATTTCTTCTGAATTTCTCTATTTATTCATCTCTCACTCATCTTAAATTCAATGTTTATGTCTACCTACCTATCTACTAAATCTGATGAATTCACACTGATACCTCTGGTTCCAGTTCAACATCAAGGCTTGTGGAAACTTCCCTCTTTCCTTGTTTGTAACTTCCTTCTCCAACAATGAGAAACTCGTCTCTCACTATCCACAATTTATTTATTTGTTTAATTCCAGCATTATTTCACGTTTTGGGTAAGAGAGATTGGATTGAAGTGCTAAATCTTCCACTTATCATCTGGCTTTCAGTTAATGACTTAATTTCTATACACCTCATCTTTAAATGGGAGTAGTAATATTAATAGTATCTACTGTGTCAGTTATGTGTTGCTGCATAACAAGTTGCCCCCAAATTTAGTGGCCTAAAACAACATATATGTATTGTTTCATAGTTTCTTTGGGTTAAGGAACTAAGCATGGCTTAGCTGAGTCTTTTGCTTCTGGGTCTATCACAGTTGCAACTGAGGTTTTGTCCAGGCTGTGGTTTCATCTGGAGACTCGACTGGGGCAGGTTCTGCTTCCAAGCTATTCACAAGGTTGCTGGGAGAATTTAGTTCCTTCAGAGCTAGTGGACTGAAACCCTAGGTTCATTTCTGGTGCTTGGTGGGAGGTAGCCTTTAGTTTCTAGATATGTGGGTCTCTACAGCTTGCTTTGTTATAGCAAACACATTAGAATGGCCAGAAAGAGAGCATGAATAAGACAGGAGTCATAGTCTTTTATAACCCACTCTCAGAAGTGACATCCTATCACGTTTGCTATATTCTGTTCCTTAGAAATGAGTCACTGAGTCCAGTCCACAGTCAAGGGAAAATTACCCAACGATGTGAATGCCAAGAGGCAGGGATTATTTGGAGCCATTTCTGAATCCTTCTTACTGGACTGAATAGTATTCTCCCCAAATTGATTCCACCTGGAATCTGTGAATATGATCTTATCTGGAAATAGGGTATTTGTAGATGTAATAAGTCAAGATGCAGTTATACGAGATCAAAGTGGACCCTGAATCCTACATGATTGGTGTCCTTATAAGATGAAGAGTATTTGGACACAGAGACACACACAGAGGGAAGATGGCCATGTGAAGACAGAGGTGAAGATTGGAGTATGCTACCAAAGGGCAAGGAATGTCAGAGACTGACGGCAACCACCAGAGGCTGGAAGAGGCAGGGCAAGGTGTTTCCCTGGAGCCTTCAGAGGGAGCATGGTCTTGCTGGCACCTTGATTTGGGCTTCTGGCCTTCAGAACTATGAGACAATACATTTCTATTGCTTTAAGCCACCCAATTTGTGTCACTATATTATGGCAACCCTAGGAAATTAATACACTTTACCTATTCATTATTATTATTTTTGAGATGGGGTCTCACTTTGTTACCAGGCTGGAGTACAGTGGTGTGACCTTCGCTCACTGCAACCTCTGCCTCCCAGGCTCAAGCAATCCTCCCACCTCAGCCTCCTAAGTAGCTGGGACCACAGGCATATGCCACCACACCTGGCTAATTTTTGTATTTTTTGTAGAGACAGGGTTTCACAATGTTGCCTGCACTGGTCTGGAACTCCTGACCTCAAATGATCCACCCGCCTCAGCCTCCCAAAGTGCTAGGATTGCAGGCGTGAGCCACTGCACCCGGCCCCTACTCATTATTAATGTATGTGAAATACTTAACAGTCCTAGGCACCTAGGAAGAATCAGTTAATACTGGTTATTATGCTGTATGTGCCTTTTCTACAACCTTCTGTGTTCCTTGAAATGAGATAATATATATGATGGCACTTTATATACTGGGATGTGTAGACGACTGCTTGTATATTATTAAGTCAATTAACACTGATTTCTTGCATGTCACCCTGATGTGTTGGGATCCTCTGCTATATACTCCCACACCATCATGTCCTATTTATTATTGACTGATTGATTGATTTTGGGAAGTCCTGTTTTATTTTATTTTAGGTTTGGGTGTGGTATATGTGCAGGTTTGTTGCGTGGGTAAATTGCGTGTCTCTGGGGTTTGGTGTATGAATGTTTCCGTCACCCAGGTAGTGGGCATAGTACCCAATCGGTAGCTTTTCAGCCCTCGTCAGCCTCCCACCCTCTCCCTCTAGTAGTCCCCAGTGTCTATAGTTCCCATTCTTCTGTCCACATGTCATGTTCTATTTATTAAGAGCATCCCTTGCAATTGCTTAATTATTTATTCATAACTTGCTTAATGACTTTCATGCCAAACTTCAGATTCCACAAGGGGACACCTTTGTTTCTTTTCCTAGCCTATATCCATATATTTCAGCATTGTGCTTGGTTTCGAGTAGGTGCTTAATAAACAGGGTTGACTAAAGTAATGGGTTGGTGCAAAAGTAATGGCGGTTTTTGCCATTACTTTCAATAGCAAATATTGCCATGACTTTTGCACCAACTCAATATGGAACTGGAAGCCCCATTCTAATTCTCTTTTATAATTCTACTGTGCAATACTTTTTAGGCTTCTTAGAGGGGAATTAGGATGGGCTGCAGAAGTATTAGGGAAAGACTCAACTTGAGGGTGATTGGAGGAAGGGATGCAAGCAGGGTGTATTTTCTCCCACATCTCTTTCAATGACATCTTTTCTTTCACAGAGGACGATAGTCAAGGGACACAGGCAAAAGTGGATATTTGGGTGAGTGGGGTGAAGCCTGGATTTGGGAAACAGCTGGTATGTATAACTATGTCATTCTCCTACCCAAACATTAACATGTCTTGCTGTGATTTTTAGGGCAGGGTAGTTCTATCCAGGGGTAATTTTGTCCTCCATTCCAAGGTTATCTGTGAATGTCTGGGGACACTTTTGGTTGTCATACCTTCGGGGTGATATGTGTGACTGGCATCTGGTGGATAGAGACCAGGGATACAGCTCAACATCCTACAGTGCCTGGGACAGCCTCCCACAATTAAGAAGTTCCTTGTGCCACATGTCCATAGAGAAAGAGAAATACAAGGGTAGGGGGAAAGTGCCTCAGCTGTCATTCAAAGACCTACATCAAGCACCTAGATTCTCAATGCCACACGCACCCTGTAGCACCTTAATAAATATTGTTGCCTTCTGGGCTCCCCACTCCAACACTTGTGCATATTCCTTATTTCTTACATTTCAGTGAGAGTCAATCTAATTAGTTTTATTTTTTTGAAGGAAAATCTGAGAAGAAATGGAAGCAGAAAGGACATTGCAAGACAGGCTACTCAACTAATTCAGAGCGTGGAGTTGAAGATCTGGAATGACAGTTTTGCTTCTCCAGGAAAGGGTCGAATTTCTGACTTAGATGTAGGTAAGAGAGGCTGAGTAGAGTCTTTATCACCCTCCGTAAAGACCATTAAGAGGTCTGGGTCCTGGCTTTGCCAGGGTTTCTGAATGATGAAATCTGTGGGTTTCCAGGATCATAGACCCTCTACACCAACATTCTACATGAGAAGGACTCTGTTTTCAAAAATGCAAATTCAAGGTACAAGAGAATAAACCAGCTCTCGTCTTCTTTTCAGCTTCCCTTGGTATGATGGAAAGTATTTAAGAGCATATTCGCCATGCCTCCTTGGCTAGAGGACAGAAAAATCCTCGGTTATTTTCCTACTCTACTCTCACATAGTAACGAGAACACAGAATACTTCATCTCTGGTCACCAAAATACGTGTGGGCTCATTTTCCACACTGACCACACAGTTCTCCAGTGGATACCAGCTGGGTGTTCTATAATTCAATTATGACATTATGAATGCTTAATGACTTTCATGCCAAACTTCAGATTCCACAACATTCTCTACCAAAGATAGTGTCAGATCCCATAGGCTGCAGGCTTAATCCCACAAAAGTGTTCTTCACCTCAAATGCCAATCTCAAGTTCTAGGTTGTAACCTGTACGTCCGACTGACAGGCTACACATTAGAGTCCCACAACCCCTTCCTTGGGTTTGAGTAATTTGCTAGAGTGACTCACTTAACTTAGGAAAGCACTTTACTTACATTTATCCATTTATTAAAAATATATTACAAATGGGCTGGGTGTGGTGAGTTATGCCTGTATTCCCAGCACTTTGGGAGGCTGAAGCAAGTGGATCGCCTGAGGTCAGGAGTTTAAGACCAGCCTGGCCAACATGGCAAAACCCCATCTCTACTGAAAAAAAAAAAAAATACAAAAAGTATCTGGGTGTGGTGTTGTGCGCCTGTAATCCTAGCTTCCCAGGGGGCTGAGGCAAGAGAATTGCTTGAACCCAGGAGGTGGAGGTTGCAATTAGCTGAGATCGCACCATTGCACTCAAGCCTGGGCAAGAGAGCAAGACTCCATCTCTCTCTCTATAAATATAAAATAATATTTAAAATATAAATATATATTCATAAATACTTTCATAAATATATTCATAAATATATTACATTCATAAATATATTCAAAATATAAATAAAACAAATGATACAGATGAACAGCCAGATGGAAGAGACGCACAGGGCAAGGCATAGGAGAAGAGGTGCAGAACTTCTAAGCCCACTTTAGGGGTGCCACGCCGAGGACCCACATATTTTAAGCTATCTAGAATCTCCTAGACAGCTTAACAAATCTTTTGGATTTGTATGGAGGCTTCATTAGTTAGCCATGATTGGGTACATTATTGGCCATTGATATCAACTCAACATTCAGCCTCCCTCCTCTTCCTGTGTCTGGGATGGGGGTGAAACTGAAAGTTCCAACCCTTTAATCTCACCATTGGTTTCCTTGGCAACCACCCCCATCCTGAGGCTATCCAGGAGCTGGCTAAGAGTCACCACATTAGAAAAAAAGATGTTTCTATAACCAAGAAAATACAAAGGATTTGAGTTGAGTCACATGCTCCTGTCACTCAGGAAATTACAATGGTCTTAGGGGCGATATGTCAGCAACTTGAGTCCAAGACCAAATATTAGAACAAGAGATTTTCCTAGTGCTCCTACTGCTCAGGAAATGCTAAGGGTTTTAGGAACTCTATATCAGGAACTGTGGTTTCTTCCTAACCTCTGTATCTGTTAATCATTTCAAAGAATCAATTTTTGGCTTTGTTGATTATTTATATTATTATTCCATTTCCTTTTTCTTTAATTTTCTGTATTATTTCTTTCCTTTTACTTCTTTTGGGTCGAACTTGTTTTTCATTTTCTAACTTATTGACTTAGTAATTTGATTACTAATTTTAAACCATTCTCCTTTCCCAATATATGCGTTTAAAGCTTAAAACGTAGCTATAAATTAGAGCTATATATTTCCCTCTAAGCACACCTTTAGCTGCATCCTGCAAGTTTTCATATACTGGGCTTTCATTATCATTTAGATCAAAATATTAAAACATTTCCTATGTAATTTATCATTTAACTCATGGTTTATTTAGAAGTGTGTTGCTGAATTACCAAATATTTGTGGCTTTTTAGGGTTTCCTTGTGTTAATGGCCTCGTTTAATTTATTGTGGAGTTTTAATTAAGAAAGGATGTTGAACTTCGTCAAATGCTTTTTCTACCTCAATTGAGATGATCATTTTATCATCAATTGAGATGGTTTTTATCTTTCATTCTGTTAATGTGATAAATCCTATTGATTGATTTACGTATGTTAAACCACACTTGCTCACCAGGAAAAAATAGTTGTGATATATACTCTTTGATGAGTTGTCTGAGCACATACGCTGTAGGATTTCAATCCTTTTGAATTCATTGAGACTTGATTGATAGTCTATTTTGGCAAATGTTCCATATGAACTTAGTGTCTGAATTAACATACCAAATCTGGTGGTATAAGCATGGTAAACAGTGGCTTAACCATTATTTTTTAAATAGTTTTAGCATAAGTGAGTCAGGGCTGATGTAGCAATACCATGGCAGTTCTATGCTCTGCTGCCTTCATCATTCACTTTCACTTTGAGTTACAAAAGAGCTGTTCTACTATCACACCCTTTTACCAGCCAGTGAAAAGGGGAAAAAATAAGTTGAAAGGATGTCTGTTTCCCTTAGCACATGCCATTCTGTTCTTTGATCCATTGGCCTGAAAATAGTTGCATGGCTCTGCCTAGCTGCAAGGGAAGCTGGAAAATGGCTTGTCTTCAGCTTAAATTTAGTAGTTCTAGACCCAAAGAAAGAATAGGTAAATGGTGATCACAGGTAATAAGCAGTCTGCCATAGCCCCTAGGACAGCTTTCTCACTTGCTCAGAGACAAACTCTGGTTATACCCCCAAAATGTTGAGGTTGATCTCACAAAATGTGTTTATAGGTTTGATGAATAGTGTTTACTCAAGGGATTCTTCCCAAATGCAGAAGTTCTGTTCCTAGTGACTATTTTTTTGGGAAAACTTTAAAATGCTTAGCTACTCTTGCTTATAAAGATTGCATTCGCCCCTAACCAGGCACTCCAGTACCATTAAGTGTCCTGTGGAAACTGCTTAGCTTGCCTATCAGAGTACCTGTTCTGGGAAGCATGCCCTTCTCCTCTCTTCTCTTGGGTTGTGGCCAGGGTGTTGCTAAGGCCATTTTGGCCACTCCATTTCTACCAGCCAAAGGTGGGAAGAAAGTGCCATGTGGCCAACCTTGCACAGGGGAGATGGGATCACCAATAGGGGGTCTTCCAGAGAAGGGAGTTCTTTAGCAAATTATTTAGGCATGAGGCTTGAGAACAGGACTGACTTTCTTAATGTTTTCAGTTTATGAAACCAAGAGGTGCAATGAAACAAGGGAGAACGCTTTTCTGGAAGCTGGAAATAACACCATGGATATCAACTGTGCTGATGCTTTAAAAAGAACCCCAAGAGGTACCGTGTCTCCAAGGAATTCTCTTGATTCCAAATTCTATGCATCATTGTTTTATTTCTAGGTTATTAAACCCCGGGGTGGGAATTCACAAAGCTTTTCAGGTAGGGAGATTCTACATGGTGGAATAAAAAGATCTTCCTTGAGCACTAACTAGGCATTTTGCAGAGAGAAGTCGGGTTGCCATATGGGGTGTGTACTTTGTGATATACACAAAAGTTTGCAGAGGGATTCCTTAGACTACCTGAGTTCCACGTGCCCTTCTGAGGACAAACATCTTGCCTAACAACTCTGGTTATAATGCTCCAGGGCTCGTATATATTTTTAGGACTCTGATGAGCATATTTTGCACATAAACCGCTTATAATATGTGGGGCATTATAATACATATTACATAAACAAAAATGCTGCACCCCAAGTGACACACAGTGTCTTGAATGGCATTTAAGGATTTCCAAGAACAGTTTTAGCCATTCCTTGCTTGCCTTATGACCCTCATGTTAGACACTACTGTCCTTTCTCTCCAAACTATGGACGGCCACTAACAGCATTTCTTCTCCATTTTTCTCAGAGAGCACTGTAGTTGCCCTCATCACGTTTCAATCTCTTGGGGATATTCTGAATGCATCCTTTTTTAGTAAAAGAAAAGGGATGCAGGAAGTAAAACTGAACTCTCATGTTGTGAGTGGCAGCATCGGTTTGAAGGAGAAAGTGTCCCTGTCTGAACCTGTGTTCCTGACTTTTCACCATAATCAGGTGAGAAACACCCCGGGCTGGGTCTTCATGCAGCACCTTAAAGGGTGAGCAGGTGCGGACAGCTTCCCAAGTAGGAAACGGAATTCAGAAGTAAGAGAACACACAAGACACGCTGAGGCATCTTCAATGAGATTTCGCCTCACCATGGTGAGGATGGCTATCACCAAAAACTTAAAATATCAGTATGTGGCAAAAAAAAAAAAAAAAAATAATAATAAAGAAAGAAATAAAGAGGAACCCTTATGGATATGCTATTGAAAATGTAATTTGGTACAGTCATTACGGAAAATAGTACAGAGGCTTCTCAAAAAGCTATAAACAGATTATTGTCTGTTCCAGCAATTCTACTTCTGGGTATGTGGCCAAAAGAATTGAAATCAGGATCTCAAAGAGGTAACTGCACTCCTATGTTTATTGCAGTATTATTCACACTAGCCGAGATATGGAAACAGCCTATGTATCTGTCAACAGATGAATGAAGTTTTTTTTTTTTTTTTTTTTTTTTTTTGAGACAGAGTCTCGCTGTGTCGGCCAGGCTGGAGTGCAGTGGTGCCATCTCGGCTCATTGCAACCTCCATCTCCCTGGCTGAAGCGATTCTCCTGCCTCAGCCTCCCGAGTGGCTGGGATCACAGGAGTGTGCCACTATGCCCAGCTGATTTTTGTATTTTTAGTAGAGACAGGATTTCACCATGTTGGCCAAGCTGGTCACGAACTCCCGACCTCAGGTAATCCGTCTGCCTCAGCCTCCCAAAGTACTGGGATTACAGGTGTGAGACACCGTGCCTGGCCAATAGCTTTTTTTTTTTTTTTTTTTTTTTTTTTAACAGACGGAGTCTCACTGTCACCCCAGGCTGAAGTGCAATGGCACAATCTCTGCTCACTGCAACCTCCGCCTCCTGAGTTCAAATGATTCTCCTGCCTCAGCCTCCCGAATAGCTGGGATTACAGACACCTGCCATCATGCCTGGCTAATTTTTGTATTTTTAGTAGTGACGGGGTTTCACCATGTTGGCCAGGCTGGTCTCAAACTCCTAACCTCAGGTGATCTGCCCGCCTCAGCCTCCCAGAGTGCTGGGATTACAGGCGTGAGCCACCATGCCCAGCCTAATGTACCACACTCAATGTAACTACACTTAATGATAATAAGTGTATACTTGAGATCTGCTGAGAGAGTGCATCACAAATGTATTCATCACACACACAGACACACACACACAAATATGTGAGGTGTTGGATGTGTTAGCTTCATTATGGTAATCATTTAAAACTGTATACATCTATCAGAATGTATAAACATAGTTTTTTGTTGTTGTTGTTGTTTTTTGTTTGTTTTGTTTTGTTTTGTTTTTGGTCAATCACACCTCAGTGAAGCTTGGGAAGAAATGAAATGTTGGGGAATCCAGAAATTGCCACAGTGAGATGCCATTCTCATGTTGAAGCCAAAAGGCAATGGAGGAGAAGCTTTACTGAGCTCAGTGGAAGCAGGAGGCAGGAATGAGGGATCGCTCTGCAGAAGATGGAGATGGTTTAAAGTAGAAAGGGCACAGGGAAGAAATACTTTATTCCTCTCTCTTCTCTCACCCAAAGAGTCTCACCAGTGCCTCTCTTTGGTTCTATAAATAGCAGGGAAGCTGGCGAAGCCATTCAGAGGGTCAACACCAGGGTTCTGAGCTGACCAGAGAAGGGCAGAATAGATGGAGAATAAACCCACCGCAGGCGTGGTGGTGTGAAACTCTTCCCCTACAAGTGTATTTCCCATCCAGTTTCCAACACTGCATAGTGATTAACCTATAAAGTTGAAATAATAAGCTGGGCACGTTGGCTCATGCCTGTAATCCCAGCACTTTGGGAGGCCAAGGTGGGAGGATCACTTGAGGCCAGGAGTTCAAGACCAGCCTGGCCAACATGGTGAAACCCCATCTCTACTAAAAATACAAAAATTAGCCGGGCATGGTGGTGTGCACCAGTAGTCCCAGCTACTTGGGAGGCTGAGGCAGGATAATTGCTTGAACTTGGGAGGTGGAGGTTGCAGTGAGCTGAGATCGCACCACTGCACTCCAGTCTGGGCAACAGAGCAAGTCTCTGTCTCAAAATAAAATAAAATAAAAAATAAAACCAGGAAGAGACCCACTTTCATACTCTTCTCTTTCCAGCCTGGTGACGAGAGAACAAAACATATCTGTGTCTACTGGGAGGGACTGGAGGGAGGCAGCTGGTCCACTGAGGGCTGCTCTCGTGTGTGCAGCAACGGCTCTTACACCAAATGCAAGTGCTTCCATCTGTCCAGCTTTGCCGTCCTTGTGGCTCTTGCCCCCAAGGTACCAAGATTAATTCCTGTGAACCTGTGTATGTCCCGGAAGCTGTGAGTCATCCTCTGCATTTCTTACAAAAAGATTCTAAAGGCCAGGCGTGGTGTCTCACACCTGTAATCTCAACACTTTGAGAGGCCAAGGCGGGTGGATCATTTGAGGTCAGGAGTTCGAGACCAGCCTGGCCAACATGATGAAAACCCGTCTCTACTAAAAATACAATATTAGCTGGGCATGGTGGCACACACCTGTAATCCCAGCTACTCAGGAGGCTGAGGGAGAAGAACTGAGTGAACCCAGGAAGCGGAGGTTGCAATGAGCCGAGATTGTGCCACCGTACTCCTGCCTTGGTGACACAGCAAGACTCCATGTTAAAAAATAAAGAAAGAAAAAAAAGAGATTCTAAGACAAGGAGTCAAATAGTAGTAGCTTACTTGAAAGTGGATTACAGGAAACACTAGTGGGGGATTGAGACAATGAGATGGAAGTAAGACAGATGTCAGTGCAGACAGCATTATCAAGCCAGTTACCACCATAGGTAACTGGACTTTATTCCCTCTGGGGGACTCTGGGAGTCAGTGTAGAACTCACATCTCTGGGTCATTCTATCTGAGCTGCAAGGGAGCTGGGGTATTTATACACCAACTCCCATTAGTCATTTGTTAAGAGCTGTATCCAGCACTGGTCTAGTTGTTTCGGTTTTTAACATTCCTGTGTGATGTGTGTTATTACTGCTCTCATTTTGAAGATGAGAACACTAAGTCTCAGAGAGGTAAAGTCAATTGTTTCAGGGACTGAACAAGGAAGCCCATCTGACACTACCACAGGGACATACCACCACCACTGGACACTATAATGGATTCCCCCTTTGGTGTTTGGTGTTTTGCAGGAGGACCCTGTGCTGACTGTAATCACCCAGGTGGGGCTGGCCATCTCTCTGCTGTGCCTCTTCCTGGCCATCCTCACCTTCCTCCTGTGCCGGCCCATCCAGAACACCAGCACCTCCCTCCACCTACAGTTCTCCCTCTGCCTCTTCCTGGCCCACCTCCTATTCCTGACAGGCATCAACAGAACTGAGCCTGAGGTAGGTAATTTACCCAAATTACCTCATGGTCATAATGAATCCAGCCATCTTGTCCCACAAGAAGATGGAGAGCAGGGCATTAGTCAGCAGTGATGGTGTAGAGAGGAAAAATATGAGCTCTATTTCAGTTGTCCTCCAATACAAGGGCCATTTAGCAAAGTGACTGAGTGTCAGGCTGATGGTATTAAATAGGGTAACATTAGTGGTTGTTAGGATCACCTCCAGAATGTCACAGGCTTGCCACAGTGGGAGTTATTTTTTCCTTATGTATCAGTAGAGGGTGAGCAAACAGGTCTGAAGAGTGTCTATCCTGCACCGTCAGGCTGAGGGAAGCTCTGTCATTTTTCCATACACAGCTCCCAAGGTCATCCTGGTGTTCTTCACATTTCAAGGAACCGGGAGGGGGAAAAGAACATGGCTGAGTCCCACGGTGGGAGGTTAATATGTGCCACACCAGGAAGTGGTGCATATCACTTCCCCTCACACTCTATTGGCTAGGATTCAGTCACATGATAACACATAACTGCAAGGGTAGTTGGGAAATGTAGTCTCTGGGAAGCCACTTTCTCGTGACAAATCTATACTCTGGATTTGAGGGTGGGGAAGAGGCTTAAATTTTTGGTGGGCAGTGAGTTTGCTGCAGTGATCTGCACTTGAATCACAGCTCTTCATGTTACTTGCTGTAAAACCTTGTTGAAGTGACTTCCCCTTTTAATTTATTTACATTTATTTTTTAAACTGAAAAATACAAACTATATATATGATATTTTTTTCTGTACAGCATGTTTTGAAATATGTATACGTTGTAGAATGGCTCAAGTGATCTAATTAACATTTGCATTACCTCACACACTCAGCTTTGCTGTGTGTGTAGTTTTTTTTTTTTTTTTTTTTTTTTTTTTTTTTTTTTGTGGTGAGAACACTAACAACCTATTCTTTTAGCAGTTTTTGAGAATACATACATTGTTACCATGTAACTATGATCACCATGTTTTACAATAGAGCTCTTGTGGCTTCCCCTTTTTATTTTATTTTTTATTTATTTATTTATTTATTTTTTTGAGACGGAGTCTGGCTCTGTCACCCAGGCTGGAGTGCAGTGGCGCGATCTCGGCTCACTGCAAGCTCCGCCTCCCGGGTTTACGCCATTCTCCTGCCTCAGCCTCCCGAGTAGCTGGGACTACAGGCGCCCGCCACCTCGCCCGGCTAGTTTTTTGTATTTTTTAGTAGAGACGGGGTTTCACTGTGTTAGCCAGGATGGTCTTGATCTCCTGACCTCGTGATCCGCCCGTCTCGGCCTCCCAAAGTGCTGGGATTACAGGCTTGAGCCACCGTGCCCGGCCGGGCTTCCCCTTTTTAAACTTCCTCTGCAAAACAGGGGCCTAGTCGTAGGATTTTGTAAGAACTTAGCAAGATAAAACATATAAAAGATTATGAATTAATCACTCAGAGAACAGTGTTCATTTTTGTCTTTATCATGATCATGGCCATCATATGATCCTGAAGATTTAAAGCTAGATGGTTCTCTAAGTCTTCTATTAACCCTAAAATGCTATGATCACACAGCTAGAAAGTTACAAAAGCACTCTGTTGATTTTTAAATTTTTTTTTTCCTGAGAAATAGTATAATTTTATGGTTAAGGGTAAGTACATTTTCTGGAGATAGTTTAGGTTCAAATCCAGTTTTATTTTTTTATTAGCTGTAAGATTTGGGGGCCAGATTTTAACCTTTTGGTGTTTCATTTGAAAATAGGCAGAGGTTGGGAAGACACAGTCCTCAGGCCAAATCTGGCCCGCCTTCTGTTTTTTGTAAATTAAGTTTTATTAAAACACAGCCTCATCTATTCATTTACATATTGTCTGCGGCTGCTTTTATGCTACAATGGGAGAATAGTGTAGTTGCAACAGAGATTCAACTGCACAGCTTAAAATCTGGCCCTTAAAATTTTTTTTTTTTGTCGGGCGCAGTGGCTCATGCCTGTAATCCCAGCACTTTAGGAGGCCGAGACGGGCGGATCACGAGGTCAGGATGTTGAGACCATCCTGGTTAACATGGTGAAACCCTGTCTCTACTAAAAATACAAAAAAATTAGCCAGGCATAGTGGCAGGCGCCTGTAGCCCCAGCTACTTGGGAGGCTGAGGCAGGAGAATGGCGTGAACCCGGGAGGCGGAGCTTGCAGTGAGCCGAGATCGTGCCACTGCACTCCAGCCTGGGCGACTGAGCAAAACTCCGTCTCAAAAAAAAAAAAATAATAAAATAAAAAATAATTTTTTTTTGTCTCACAGTAGTGAGGTAATAATATGAGTTGAGTTAATACTTACAAAGCAATTTGATCAGTATTCACCCTTAGTTAAGTGCTCAGAAGGTACTAATTACTTCTCTGATAAAATTTTCAAATAATGTTTTTAAAATCTGTAAAAATAATATTGTGGTTAAGATGGAGTTGACTTAGTAATCTTGAATATATATGCTTTTATATAATGCCCTAAAATCCTACCTTTTATTTTGTTTATTTATTCATTTGGTGGATATTCTTAAAATACCTACTGCGTGTCAGGCATTGTGCTGAGAAAACATTAATAATTAGGTGAACTACCTCAATTACTTTCCCCATAGAGTTCACAGCTTAGAAACATGTACTGAGTTTGGGTGTGGTGGCTCACACCTAATCCCAGCACTTTGGGAGGCCGAGGCAGGCAGATCACCTGAGTCAGGAATTTGAGACCAGCCTGGCTAACATGGTGAAACCCCACCTCTACTAAAAATACAAAATATTAGCCGGGCATGGTGATGGGCGCCTGTAATCCCAGCTACTCCGGAGGCTGAGGCAGGAGAATGGCTTGAACCGGGGAGGTGGAGCTTGCAGTGAGCCGAGTTTGTGCCACTGCACTCCAGCCAGGGCAATAGAGCGAGACTCCATCTCAAACAAAACAAAACAAAACAAAACAAAACAAAACAAAGAAGTGGCCACAGATAAAAGTAAATGAATATGTGTGGCCATGTGCTAATAAAACTTTACTTACAAAAATAGATACTGGGCCAGAACTAGCCCAAAGCCACAGATTTCCTAACCCTGCTCAAGGCAGCAATGGAAAGGACTTCAAGCTGGGAATGACAGAAAACACTTCTCAGGTCAACAAAAGTTGAAGGTAAAAGTAACTGGAGTGAGAGGAAACTAGCAGCAGAAAGAACAGCAATAGGGCTATGAAGAGTCTGAGTGGGAGTTACTAAAAATATGGGCCAGGTGCGGTGGCTCACACCTGTAATCCCAGCACTTTGGGAGGCCGAGGTGGGTGAAGAATTAGATCAGGAGTTCAAGACCAGCCTGGCCAACACAGTGAAACCCCGTCTCTACTAAAAATACAAAAAATTAGCCAGGTGTGGTGGTGGCGGGCACGTGTACTCCCAGCTACTTGGGAGGCTGAGGCAGGAGAATTACTTGAACCCAGGAGGCGAGGGTTGCAGTGAGCAGAGAGCGCGCCACTGCACTCCAGCCTGGGTGATAGAGGGAGACTCCATTTCAAAAAATAAAATAAAATAAAATAAAATAAAATAATAAAAATATGAACCCTGCTAGAGGAAGTGGGCCAGATTTTAGAAATATTTGTAAGGGGAGTTGGTCAGACTTGAGGCCCAAACAGATGTGGAAGTGGTACATGTGCGAGAAAGCAGAAATAAGGATGAATTAGAGGTTTCCCATTTGGGAGGTTGGGTAGATGGATGGTGAGAAAGAGGAACAGACTTGAAGCAAGAAGTAGAATGAATTCGGTTTTAAAACTGTTAGTTAGAGGTGCTGGTCAGACACTGGAATTGAGACATACAATAGAAAATTGGACATAGGAATTTTGAGCCCTGGAGAGATTAGAGCATGAGAAAGGGATATTGGAGTTTTCTACACGAAGGAGACACTTCAAGCTGCAGAAATAATGATGAGAGATACGTAAAATGGATTAAGAATAAAGCTCTGTGGAGGAGGAAGAAGGGGGTAGAGGGAGAAGGAGGAGGAAGAGGAAGGGGGGACTTTGGGACAGGAGGAGGAGGAGAACTCTGCACATAGTCTGTCCATAATCCTCTCCGAGTCCTTGAAGCCATGGTCTCAGAATGGAGGCCACCCTGTAAGGAGGGTCTTCACAGGTACCAGGCCCTCTGCAAACACATATGAGGTAGGGACCACCAGGATGTAGGAGCCACAATCTCCACATTCCAGGTGGGGACACAGAGGCTTAGAAGTCACACCAGCCTAGTCCACCTTTTAATTGCCAATTATACTTCAAACCAGTCCTTCCTTAAACCTGAATTCTATTTTCTCTTGAAAATCCCTAGAGCAGTGGTTCTCAGCATCTTTGAGGTTGGATCCCTTTGAGAATTTTGTTGAACGCTAAAGCCCTTTTTCCCAGACAAATGGACATATACACAAAATTTTGAATAAAACTTCAGTTAATTCAGGGACAGGAAAAGCAAATTCAGGCCAGGTGCGGTGGCTCACGCCTGTAATCTAAAGATTCAGAGGAGGAAGATACACGAGATATATGAGAAGACTCAAAGATAAGCAGGTGAGAATTCCTGGATAGATGAGTGTCCAGGACATCGAAGGACAGGAAGTGCCAACTAGGTTGATCAGCTTCTGCTGAAAGGCAGATGGACGGGCGCGGTGGCTCATGCCTGTAATCCCAGCACTTTTAGAGGCCAAGGCGGGTGGATCACGAGGTCAGGAGTTCCAGACCAGCCTGGCCAACATGGTGAAACTCCGTCTTTACTAAAAATACAAAAATTAGCAGAGTGCGGTGGCACACACCTGTAATCCCAGCTACTCAGGAGACTGAGGCAGGAGAATTGCTGGAACCTGGGAGGCAGAGGTTGCAGTGAGCCGAGATCGTGCCACCACCCTCTAGCCTGGGCGACAGAGCAAGACTCCATCTCAAAAACAAACAAACAAACAAACAAACAAACAAACAAACCCAGAAATGCCAAGTAGAGAGACTGCTGGATTTGGTAGTTAGGAGGTTATGTTAGTCAGGGTTTCTGGAGACACAGAAATAGTAGGATGTGTGTATATTACTTGATTGGATTTAACTGCTTCGTATTTTTAGTAGAGATGAGGTTTCACCATGTTGGCCAGGCTGGTCTCAAACTCCTGACCTCAGGTGATCCACCCACCTCGGCCTCCCAAAATGCTGGGGATTACAGGTGTGAGCCACCGCACCTAGCCAATAGATGTGTTTTTAAGAGTTTCCCCTGTGGACATTTGGAGCTCAGTTCCACCGAGGATCCCCAGGGGGCAGTGTAGAGAACATGTCTTAGATATTAGTGGATTCTACCAATTTTTGTTTATTATACATTTGGGGGCTGTTCCCACGACATGTATTCCTTGGGTTTCTACCCTGCTCTATGCATGATGTAAACAGACTTCAATAAGTAGCAGAAGTCCTCAGAAAATGTTTAGCACCCAGGCAAAATGTTATAGATGCTCAAATAGAAATTCCAGGCAGCATCCAGGAAATGCTACGTGCTGAGCATATAATCAGGTACAGACCACATCTGCTGTACACCCCTGACTCTTCTGTTCCCTTCAGGTGCTGTGCTCCATCATCGCAGGGCTGCTGCACTTCCTCTACCTGGCTTGCTTCACCTGGATGCTCCTGGAAGGGCTACACCTCTTCCTCACCGTCAGGAACCTCAGGGTGGCCAACTACACCAGCATGGGCGGATTCAAGAAGAGGTTCATGTACCCTGTAGGCTACGGGATCCCAGCTGTGATTATTGCTGTGTCTGCAATAGTTGGACCCCAGAATTATGGAACATTTACTCAGTAAGCATAATGCGTGTCTTTATGATGGTGGTAGCAATGGCCATGGCTCCTGCGTGACTTAAAATCAAAATGTTTTCTTAGTCCATCTTTTCTTTTTTTTTTTTTTTTTTGAGATGGAGTTTTGCTCTGGTTGCCCAGGCTGGAGTGCAATGGTGAGGTCTTGGCTCACTGCAACCTCCATCTCCTGGATTCAAGTTATTCTCCTGCCTCAGCTTCCCAAGTAGCTGGGACTACAGGCGCCTGCCACCATGCCCAGCTTATTTTTGTATTTTTAGTGGAGACAGGGTTTCACCATGTTGGCTAGGCTGGTCTCGAACTCCTGACCTCAGGCGATCCACATACCTCAGCCTCCCAAGGTGCTGGGATTATAGGCATGAACCTTCGCACTCAGCCCTTAGTCCATCTTTTAATTGCCAATTATACTTCAAACCAGTCCTTTCTTAAGCCTGTTTTCTCTTGAAAATCCCTAGAGCAGTGGTTCTCAGCATCTTTGAGGTTGGATCCTTTTGAGAATTTTGTTGAAAGTCAAAGCCCCTTTCCTCAGACAAATGTACATATAAACAACATTTTGAATACAACTTCAGTTAATTCTGAGACAGGAATGGCAGATTCCGGCCAGGCACAGTGACTCACACCTGTAATCCCAGCACTTTGGGAGGCCGAGGTGGGCGGATCACCTGAGGTCAGGAGTTCAAGACCAGCCTGGCCAACATGGTGAAACCGCGACTCTACTAAAAATACAAAAAATTAGCTGGGCGTGGTGGTGGATGCCTGTAATCCCAGCTACTCAGGAGGCTAAGGCAGGAGAATCGCTTGAACCCAGGAGGCGGAGGTTGCAGTGAGCCGAGATTGCACCATGGCACTCCAGCCTGGACAACAAGAGCAAAACTTCGTGTCAAAAGGAAAAAAAAAAAAAAGCAAATTCAGAGCCCCACATTAAGCACCCATGAGCTACATGTTCTCCTGGATTCTGAAAGAGTAGGTGGAATGGGCTGAGATGAATCTCCAAGATGTCAAGAATAACACCAATATTAAAAGTATCAAAGCCCTGTGGTGCATCAAAAATGGTGCTTCCTCTCTGCAGCAGCTCATGCCATTCTCACCATGACCCTATGATGTCAGCAGTTTATTTTCTTACTCACGGGACACCTGGGCTTGAGTGCATTTCATAAACTTTTCCAAGGTCAGAGCTGCAAGGTGAGTAAGTCAGAATTTTCAAGGCAATACTCTGAATAGCCATGTTTTATTGCTTCACTAAAGAAGCTTGCAAAACTCAACACACAACCGTTACTTGAAGTAGTTAATACTTTGTTAATGGTGCTTGGGTTAGGAAGTAGGTTGTGCATACACTAAAACATCATGTATGTTGTTTTTTCATGTATGTTGTCCCCCTGTTTTTTGTTTTTTGTTATTTGTTTTTTTTGCAATGGAGTCTTGCTCACCTGTGCAGTGGCGTGATCTCGGCTCACTGCAGCCACTATCTCCCGGGTTCAAAGAATTCTCCTGTCTCAGCCTCCTGACTAGCTGGGATTACAGGCACCCGCTATCATGGCCGGCTAATTTTTGTATTTTTTAGTGGAGACGGGGTTTCACCATGTTGGCCAGGCTGGTCTTGAACTCCAGACCTCAGGTGATCTGCCTGCCTCGGCCTCCCAATGTTGTCCCTCTTAAAGTCAAAGAGATGCTTTGTTTTCAGCTTGAACTCTATATCCTGCCAGAATGGTGGAGATAGGATGGTGGAGGAGTTGACCAACATTTTCTTTTCTTTACGATTTTAGGTACTTCCTTCTGATTTTTTTCTATTATGGGAGATGGAAATTTGGTGTGTGTGTTCTTTTAAAATGATACTTTAAGTTCTAGGGTACATGTGCATAATGTGCAGGTTTGTTACATATGTATACATGTGCCATGTTGGTGTGTTGCACCCATTAACTTGTTAATTACATTAGGTATATCTCCTAATGCTATCCCTTCCCCGTTCCCCCTCCCCACAATAGGCCCTGGTGTGTGATGTTCCCCACCCTATGTCCAAGTGTTCTCATTGTTCAATTCCCACCTATGAGTGAGAACATGCGGTGTTTGGTTTTCTGTCCTTGCAATAGTTTGCTCAGAATGATGGTTTCCAGCTTCATCCATGTCCTTACAAAGGACATTAACTCATTCTTTTTTACGGCTGCATAGTATTCCATGGTGTATATGTGCCACATTTCCTTAATCCAGTCTATCACTGATGGACATTTGGGTTGCCATTGTGGAAGACAGTGTGGTGATTCCTCAAGGATCTAGAACTAGAAATACCATTTGACCCAGCCATCCCATTACTGGTTATACACCCAAAGGATTATAAATCATGCTGCTATAAAAACACATGCACACGTATGTTTATTGCGGCACTACTCACTATAGCAAAGACTTGGAACCAACATTTTCAATGAAAGTCCAGATAGTAAATATGTTTGGCTTTGCTGGCCACAGGGTCTCTGAGGTGACTACTCAATGTTGCCCATGTAGTGTGAAAGCAGCATGGACAATACATAGCTGAATGAGTATGATTGTCTTTCAGTAAAACTTATGAAAGCAAGTAGTGGGCTGGATCTGATCCATGGGCCGTAGTTGGCGACCCTTCGGATAGAACTTAAATTTGGAAGCTTTTCTGCCTACTGAATGTTGGAGATTCAGGCTCTCAGCTTCCATTTTAAAATAAGGTATGCCACTTTGGGAGGCCGAGACGGGCGGATCACGAGGTCAGGAGATCGAGACCATCCTGGCTAATATGGTGAAACTCCGTCTCTATTAAAAAATACAAAAAACTAGCCGGGCGACATGGCGGGCGCCTGTAGTCCCAGCTACTCGGGAGGCTGAGGCAGGAGAACGGCGGGAACCTGGGAGGTGGAGCTTGCAGTGAGCCAAGATCGCGCCACTGCACTCCAGCCTGGGCGACAGAGCGAGACTCCGTCTCAAAAAAAAAAAAAAAAAAAAAAAGGTATGCTACCTTTGCCATCATAAGCCAAGAAAGAATACACATTATTTGGACAACAGAGTACCTGATGCATGGAATATGCTTAATTTGAGTTAGTTTTTATAGCTGTAGTTAAGTTATTGTTTTTACTCTCTCATTATAGCAATCATTATCAACTTGCTAACTACATTTATTACCATTAACTCATTGCTAGGAACTGTAGTCAAAAACTTTAAGCACATTATCTTCTTTAATCTTTCCTACAAGTTCTATATGAAGGCAGTGACAAAATTCTGATAAAAAAAATCAAAGGATATCCAAATAGAGAGATATTCTATGTTCATGGATAAGAAGACTCAACGTTGTCAAGATGGCAGTTCTTCCCAACTTGATCTATAGATCCAACACATTCCAAATCAAAATCCCAGAAAATTATTTTGTGGATATTGACAAATTGATTCTGAAGTTTAGATAAAGGAGGCAAAAAACCTAGAATGGCCGACACTGTTTAGAAGGAGAACAACGAAGACAGAGAACTGACATTCCCTGACTTCAAGCCTCAGTAGAGAGCTACAGTCATCATTTAATCTTTCCAGTACTTTGATCAGCTCTATTATACACTTGAAAAAACTCAGCCTCAGAGCATGCATCTGTGTCAAATGAGAACTCACATCTGACTCCATCTAAAATTCAGGATTCTGAGTGAAGCAACTCCTGGCCCTGTTCAGATCTTGCACCAGGAGCCTGCATTCAAGGTTTCTGCCTTCTCCCAGGGAAGAGACAGCTAATGCTTCTCTCTCTTTCTCAACAGCTGTTGGCTCAAGCCTGATAAAGGATTCATCTGGAGCTTCACGGGGCCAGTGGCAGTCATTATCTTGGTAAGTGATAATTATTTATGGGTGTGCCCGCCTTGGGTTGACCAAGCATATAAAATGTTTTTCTTATCTAAGGGGAAATGAGATGAAGATAAGAAATACAGCCTAATGTGATCAATCCCTCTTCCCGAAAGTACTGTCTTCACTTTTCTTTCCTTGGATTCCCCCTGGCTCGCCTGTTGTTTGATGTAATAATATCATCTCTCCTGGGACTTCTTTTTCAAAATGCTGTTATTCATTCATTCAACAAATATTTAATGGTTGGCCTCTCTACACAGGGCGACATGGTTTCCTGTTTGCCAGGAACTTTCTGATGACACCTGTTCCCTGGTAGAGACATTAATAGCACCCTTCTACTTTCAAAGTGTCCTGGTTTGAATGATAAATTGTATCGTCACCGAATCAAGCACCAAATGCTACAGGGTATATGCTGTGTGTTGCACGTAATAGACCAGAACATATGTGTGTACCATCTTTATAAAACCTGTGTCTTTTGGGAAAAGATTCTTAGGTCCCCCTGAAATTAGACTGTATAAAATGGCTCCAAAAGAAAATTCCAAATCACTTTTTTCATGCGGTTCCCACAGATAAACCTGGTGTTCTACTTCCGAATTCTGTGGATTTTGAGAAGCAAACTTTCCTCCCTCAATAAAGAAGTTTCCACCATTCAGGATACCAGGTAAGAGAGCATCAGAATCAGTGGTACCCACACGTTATTCCTACATGATCACTCTTTTGGGAAAGAAAGAACCCACGCAGAAATATGATATAAATTACTCTGGTATATGACAAAGGGTATGTGAAGGACAATTTACAGAAGAAATAGAAACTCTGATTTTCAGGTAACTTCATTTCCTTATTCAATAAATATTCATGCTGAGTGCGGTGACTCACACTTGTAATCCCAGCACTTAAGGAGGCTGAGGTGACAGGACTCTTTGAGTCTAGCTGCTCAAGACCAGCCGGGCAACATATTGAGACCCCTGTCTCTACAACAAAGTTACAAAATTGGCTGTGCATAGTGGCGTGTGTCTGCAGTCCCAGCTATTTGGGAGGCTGCAAAAGGAGAATCACTTGAGCCGGGGAGGTTGAGGCTGCAGTGAGCTATGATCACGTCACTGTACTCCATCCTGGGCAACAGAGCAAGACTGTCTCAAAAAAAAAAAAAAAAAAAAAAGAAAAAGAAAAAGAAACATTCATCAAGTGCCTCCTTTGTATAACATACTCTTCCAAGAGTATCAACATCCTCCTCCCACTCCACCAAGAGCCCATATACCTCTGGACTCTGTTTTCTTTCTTTCTTTCTCTCTCTCTCTTTCTTTCTTTCTTCTTTTTTCTTTTTTTTTGAGACTGAGTGTCACTCTGTCACCTAGGCTGGAGTCCAGTGTCACAATCTTGGCTCACTGCAACATCCATCTCCCGGGTTCAAGCAATTCTCCTGGGTTCAAGCAATTCTCCTGTCTCAGCCTCCTGAGTAGCTGGGACTACAGGTGCACGCCACCACGCCCAGCTAATTTTTGTATTTTTAGTAGAGATGGGGTTTTACCATGTTGGTCAGGCTGGTCTCGAACTCCTGACCTCAGACGATCCACCCGCCTCAGCCTCCCAAAGTGCTGAGATTACAGGCATGAGCCACCGCACCTGACCTGGACTCCATTTTCTTTGGTTGTAGAAACTCTATTCTCATGGGTACCAATCTACGCTATTAAAAATAATGATGACAAAAACTAATGTTCAATAGAATCTTGGTAGATGCTGGACATTTATCAATATTATTTCATGGCATGCTTATACTTTCAACCCATGGGGTGAATGCTACTAATACCCTCATTGATAATATGAGCCTACAGCTCACCTTACCCAAGGGTGGGTAAGGATCTTGCATTGCTGAGTCATGTGTATGAAAATTAAAAGGACTATCTGTCTAATTTCAAGCCCTGTCTCTAGTCTCCTCTCCTTACCAAACCAGTCTGACATTTCGTAGCCTTGGTTTCCTCAATTATTGAGGGTCAAAGTGCCACCCTTCTTGGTGGTTCCCCATCCCCCTATTTCTCAATTCCTTACCCTCTAAGGGCTCACTTCTTCCTTAGAACTGCAAGCAGCAAGCTCCATGTCTGACCTCATCCCCAGCACCATGCCCTGTTGCCAACCTCTTCCTCTTGCTGGTGAATAGACAGTTATCCTGTTGTGATACACTAGGTTAATGTCATACTTTGGGGTAGAGATTAACTATCTCGTCTATTTCCTAAGTAATAAATCCGAGGTTAACACTGACATGGTGGAAACATCATGCTCTTTCAATAGGAAGGACTTGGATTCTAGAAATTTCAAACATCATGGCAGGAAGGCTGGATAAGAAGAGTTGAGAGACTTGTTCCAGATCTGTTAGAAGCCCCCATCCACTTGAGTCCCTTTGCCTCCTAAGCTCCAGAATTAACCATAGCGCTATCAAATCCCATAACTGGCTGGGCACAGTGGTTCACGCCTGTAATCTCAGCACTTTGGGAAGCTGAGGCAGGTGGACCATAAGGTCAAGAGATCGAGACCATCGTGGCCAACATGGCAAAACCCCATCTTTACTAAAAATACAAAAATTAGCTGGGCGTGGTGGCGGGCACCTGTAGTCCCAGCTACTCAGGAGGCTGAGGCAGGAGAATCGCTTGAACCTGGGAGGTGGAGGTTGCAGTGAGCCAAGATTGCACCACTGCTCTCCAGCTTGGGCAACAGAGTTGCTTGGGCAACTCCATCTCAAAAAGAAATAAAAATCGCGTATTTATGACTCCCTTTGCCTGCACCTTGGCTCTGTCCTCTTCTCCCTGCAGACTGACTTCCCACAGCTGATGAACAGGGCAGAGCCACCCCAAAGGGATCTCACAGGTTCATTCTCCAAGCCTCTTACTTCAAATGCTTAAGACAGAAAATCTGGTTGGCTGGGGGGAAAATGGATTGATTGGCTCCTTATAGGTCAGGTGTCTACTCTGGGGCAACTGGCTATGGTCAGTGGGGATGAAGCCATATGGCACCCTTTAGGTCAAAGAGAAAGTTGTCATGGGAGAATCCTGATATACCAGTGATTATGCTGTCTCCTAAATGTAGACATAGGTAGGTTTTCTGTCATTTCTATAAGTATATATCTTTCTGTAAGCATAAATGGAAGGAGGACTGGATATAAGAAAAATTACCAAGCTAGATTGCAGTTGTGGAAAACCTAGGAACCAAATCAGGAGCAGGAAGGACTGATTAACAAGTTTATCACAAACCATAATATGTATTGAGTATTTACTTTGTGCTAGGCATTGTTCTAAGGACTGGAGATAAAGCAGTGAGTAAAACAGACCAAAATCCCTGCCCTCATGGAGTTTATATTCCCAGGGGGTAACGCAAAAAGTAAAAAGTGAAGTCTCATACACACACACACACACACACTCACACACACACTCATTAGCTCTCCCAGCCAGTTGCCATCAACAATCCCACTCCATCATATGAAACACAATATTTTTTGTGTGAAGAAACCCAACATTATCTTATGTTCTAAAGTCAGGAATTCATCATTATTCAAATTTTTAAATACAGATTTCTAGAAGGCATTTTCCCATAAATCTTCCAAAAAGTCTAGGCAGAAGACATGCAGATAAATCAAATTATTTTCAATGGTGGGGAAAAAGCACTATTCTCAGTGATTTGCCATGATTGAAACCATGGGTTCCACTTCATCCTCAAGCTGTGTGACCTTGTTGTATATGTCACTTAACTGCATGAAGCTGTTGTGAGGTTTAAATAAGGGAAAGCAATTAGTTAGCACTAACGTTAACTACACTTGTGGTGAATACCTGGTAAACCGTAGTTATTATTACTTTTATTCCCTGCAGAGTCATGACATTTAAAGCCATTGCTCAGCTATTTATCCTGGGCTGTTCTTGGGGCCTTGGTCTTTTTATGGTTGAAGAAGTAGGGAAGACGATTGGATCAATCTTTGCATACTCATTCACCATCATCAACACTCTTCAGGGAGCATTGCTGTTTGTGGTACACTGCCTCCTTAATCGCCAGGTAAGGCTACTTATTTTGTCTGTCATCAGCCTAGTCCCAAAGTCTAATTGAATGATTGTTCACATTCTCACTCTTCTCTGACCTTTTATAATTGTATTTTGGGGTTGTCTTGATTTGAGGATGAGGGTTTAGGTGTTGCTGCGGTATGCTATATCCTGTGGGTTTCATCTGTTTAGCATCGTATCTCTGAGGAGCATGGATCAGTCAGGATAAGATGGACTATGCTGCAATAACAAATAGCCCCTTGCCTCCCACACTCAGTCTTAGCAACTTACAACAATAAATGTCTATTTCTTGCTTGTGCTACATAAGTACATCATCTTTCCTCTGGGGTGCAGGCTGAAGGTGTGACCTCTTTAGAACATTGATGGTTTCATGGCACAGGAAAAGGAGATTGTGGGAAAGCACAGCTTAGCTCTCTTAAAGCTTCTACCTAGTAGTGATGCACCTCTGTTCTGCTCTCGTTTAATTGGCCAAAGCGAGTCACATGGCCATACCTCAGTTCACCAAGAAGGGGATGAATAATCCTCCTGTAGTGAGGGGCACTATAGGAAGTGATGCTGAAATATGTGGTACAATCTACCATAAACTCAAAGAGAATTCAAGTCTAATCCCAGTTCCTCCATTGAGTAGGTGGCTGTGTGACTCTGGATAAACTTCCTATCCTTTCTGAGCATCATCTGTAGTTTTCTCATCTGCAAATGTGGTGATGCCTTCATTACAGGGTTGAATATTTAAATGAATCAGTGCAATCTCCTAGCATAGTCCTTAGTACACATTAGGATCTCAGTGAGTGTTGTTATTTCAATTTTACTCTCCATAGAAAATTAGGACCAGTTCTCCTGGCATTTTCCCTTTGCTGTTGAATAAAATTACAAGCAGTTAAGACGCTAGTGGCAAAATGCTATCTTAACATGTCATTAATTTCTCTTCAATCTTTTAGTGCCTTAATGTTTGATACTTCTCACTCACAGAAGAAGTAAAATCAGTTTTAGCATGTCAAGGAGGTTAGAGGAAGGCAATTCTTGGAATCATGGAGGATGGGTGAGTGTAATGGCTAGCGTCAGGGCTCTGAATAATGATGACAAGGTTTTGAGTCCTGGCTGTGTGACCTTGGGCATGTCAATTTACCTGCAAGAGTCTCAACTTCTTCATCTTTAATTGTGGGTAGGAGAAATGTCTTTTTCACTCCATTTATGTAAGAATTAAATGATATATTGCATATACAGTGTATTGAATATAGCTAGTGTTCAACAAATGGTGACCTTCACCATCATATAATCACCAACACTCCCACCATTATCATCTAACCATCATCACAATAGTCACTTTTATTATTACCACCATTATCATCTTTATCATAATCACCTTCACCATCACCACCTTCATTACCTTTATCACACCTTCATCATCTTTACTATTATCACCATCACCATCATCACCATTACCATAACCTTTAATATCACCCTTATCATCACTAGCATCACCACCACCTTTATCATCACTTTCACCATCATCACCTTCATCACCATCTTCATGATCATCACCATCACCATCATCACCATTACCATCACCTTCATCATCACCTTCACATTACTTTCATCAACATCACTATCACCACCGTCACCATGACCTTCATCATCACCTTCACTACCATCGCCTTCATCATCACCATCATCACCTTCATCATGATCATTTTCATCATCATCACCATCATCACCGTTACTTTTACCATTGTCCGTTCCATTATCATCAACTTCATCATCATCACCTTCACCATCATCAATATCACCTTCATTATCATCATCTTCATTATCATCACCCTCACCCTCATCACCATTACCATCACCTTCACCATCACCTTCACCATCACCAATTTCATTACCTTTATCACCTTCATCATCATTACCTTCATCACCATCATCACCATTACCATCACCTTCATCATCATCACCATCATCTTAATTACCTTCATTACCGCCACCACCATCAACAGTCACCTTCATCACCATCATCATCATCATCTATTGAGTCCTATAGTGTCTGATATTTAATACACACCTTTTTTACAACTGAGAAGTTTGAGTTTAAATAAAATGAATCAACATAAGCATGGCCAAGATTATATGGAAAACTAGAAAGAGAGTAGGGCTTGGTGTCTTTATCTTTAACCTCGCATTTTAGGATACTTTCTCCTAAACTGAGCCCTGGATGTAACATGGACCTCTCTACTCAAATTTCCAGGTGCGAATGGAATACAAAAAATGGTTTAGTGGGATGCGGAAAGGAGCAGAAACTGAAAGCACTGAGATGTCTCGCTCTACTACCCAAACCAAAACAGTAAGATCAGATCTTTCTGAGTTCCTTATTGGAACCCAACATCTCATGCCTCTGGAAGCTTCCTGGTTCTTTGATCTGAAAGAAAAGAGAAATTGCATTAGGTTCCTGTATTATGCAGCTGAAGTTTCTGGGTATTGAGACCAAAACCAGAACCAACCCTTCCTTCCTTCCTTCCTTCCTTCCTTCCTTCCTTCCTTCCTTCCTTCCTTCCTTCTTTTTCTTTTATTCTTGCTCTCTCTCAGTCTCTTTCTCTCCCTCACTCCTGGTTTCCCTTTCCTTCCTTACATTTTATTTCTTTCTCACTCTCTTTTTCACTATCTGTCTTTGTCGCTCCCTTCCTCCTTCTCTCTCTTTTCTGACTCTCTGATCCATTCTTTCTATCCCTCCCTCCTTCTCTTCCTCTCTCTTTTCATTTCTTCCTTCAACAAATATCCAAAGGATATTTAACATTTTAAAAAATTTATTAGCTACACTCATTTAACAAATATTTATTGTCCGGCACTGTTTAGGTGCCGGAGAACCATCAGTGGACACATTGACCGTAGTCCTTGACCTCAAAGAGTTAACATTCTAGTTGGGTGAGGGGACTGACAACAGACCTCAAAAAGTGAATTTTATGTTACAAAGTGATAAATGCTTCAGAAAAAAATAGAGCAATGGAGAGCAGCCAGGAATGACAGGGTGGGAGGATTCCAGTTTTAAATAAGGTGACTACAAGAAGTTGGCACTTGACCCAAAATTTGAAGGCTGTGTATGATAAAAACGACCTCTGGTTTGTGAAATTATCTAGATTTGGAGGACTAGGAAGAGACTTTTGGTCAGAAACCACAGATTCCTGAGTGCTGTGACTCATGAAACTGGGTTTGCCCCTAGAGGGCAGCCAAAATGCTAAGACCATGGAGCTGTTGCAAAGATATGAGCTTTATCTGGGGCAGAGAACTTCTTAGCTAGGGTAGCACCTCTCATCGTGAGGATTAAATGATGTCAAATAAGCACGTAGAAGGCTGCCTGGCACCACAGGAAGCCCCTGTAAACGTTTGTGAAAAGATAAAATAAAATAACCATTATTAGATGGTGGAGCTTTTTTGGAGGAGGGTGGGAAGTTGTAATGTCAGATATTGAGCTTTGGACCTTATAGAAATCCTAGCTTGTCATCTCCGGGCAGGTTAGAAATTTTAGTTAATTTCTAAGGTATTACATTCTATTTCACCTTTTCTCCTTATTATCTTTCCCCTAAGTAGGAAGAAGTGGGGAAGTCCTCAGAATTCATTCATAAAGGAGACACTCCATCATCATCTGCAGTTTCAAGCAAGCAACCACAGCCACAGGTTCATCTCGTCTCTGTTGATTGGCTAAAGATGAACTGACCTGGCAAATGCCATGGTAATGACCCGGAAGTTATCACTCCTTTCCGTTTGTCTACGGCGCCCCTGTGATCACACACAGATTGGACAAATGCTACTATTTCTGGCTTTGCTGAGAAAAGTCTAGGCTCACTCACCTATTTTGGCTTTTTATCTTCATAGAAAGAACAAGACATTTGGGATAATTCTTAGATCCGGAGTCCAGTAGTGTAGCACATGCAATGAAGTGTCTGAAGGATGCATTTTAAGGATGGCGGGCGGGAGAAGTGGATTTTCTTCTTGTAGTTACTGCCACCTTGCCAGAAAATCACTAACTGGAATCTGGATTCAGCTCATAGTTCCCTTTCTGGCCTCTCTGCTGTATTTTATGCTCCCAAAGATCTTACATCATCACTGCACATTCACATAATTCAGCAATTTCCAAGCGGTTCAGTATTAAAGAGGGTGTTGCATTTTGAAATACAAAAAGATATCATTTCAGCTTAGGGGTGCATTGTCATTGGACAGGCTCTTTTGTCCAAGACACTGACATTTTTCCCATTTTCTTTGCCTCAGACTTTTATTTTTGTATTTTTATTTTTTGACAGAGTTTTGCACTTGTTGCCCAGGCTAGAATGCAGTGGTGCCATCTCGGTTCACTGCAACCTCCGCTTCCTGGGTTCAAGAGATTCTCCTGCCTCAGCCTCCCGAGTAGCTGGAATTACAGGCGGCCGCCACAACACCTGGCTCATTTTTTGTATTTTTAGTAGAGACAGGGTTTCACCATTGTTGGCCAGGCTGGTCTTGAACTCCTGACCTCAGGTGATCCCCCCACCTTGGCCTCCCAAAGTGCTGGGATTACAGGCGTGAGCCACTGAGCCCGGCCTGCCTGAGACTTCTCGAATCTGCATGTACACATGGATTAAAGATCATTTTGTTTCCTTAGTGTCTTCTTGAACATGTCCCAGTACAAATGTCCAGAAACAAAAACCGTGGGGCATTCAGACTCATTTTTTCATTTTACCATTTCTAATTACTTTTGCAAAGTTACTGCGTTTTAGGTATGGTTTTCAGCGCATTAGTAAATGTGTGGATGATTGTTATGACAGAATAGCTCCAAAAAGATTTTAAATGCTAATGACTGTCAATGTTAAAATAGGCAAGAATCATCATCATTTATTTGAAGAAATTTCAAACCAGTTGCGGTGGCTCATGCCTGTAATCCCAGCACTTTGGGAGGCTGCGGTAGGAGGATTGCTTGAGGCCAGGAGTTTGAGACGCTCTGGAAAACACAGTGAGACCCCATATCTACAAACAGTTTATGAAATTAGCTAAGCATAGTGGTGCGTTCCTGTAATCCCCGCAACCAGGAGGCTGAGGCAGTAGGATTGCTTGAGCCCCAGGAATTCGAGGCTGTAGTGAGCTATGATTGCACCACTGCACTCCAGCCTGGGAGGCCGTGATACTCTGTCTTATAAAAAAAAAAAAAAAGAAAAGAAAAGAAAAAAAGAAAATCATGTGAGGTCTTCTTTTGGGGTTGCAGAAAAAGGGTTGAGGAGTTTTCTGCTTAATTAACGCAAACGTCTCCTCCATCGATGTAAACAGCGTAGTGTACATCCACTCCACCTGCTGGCTTTGAAGTCATGTAATTCCTTTGGAAAAGAAAAAATGTAGGGATATTCACATGGTTGCAAAATGTGTGCGTGCTGCTCAACTTTTTGTTTTGCATAATTTCAAATTTACACGAATAAAGGCTGCGTAAAATGCGATCTTCCTGGGCAGCTGACAAACTCTTGTGCCGAATTCCTACTCATGTTGCTATTGCTCTCTGGTCCTTGGCGGTTGAAGAAAGACAGAATAAATAAGCCATGTATTGTAGGTGCTGCAGGTTTGAATTCAGACTCCTCTATTGGCCATTTTCCCTCCCTTCCAACTTGAAGCCTTCCTTCCTTCCTTCTCTCTCTCTCTCTCTCTCCTTCTTTCTTTCTTTCTTGTTTTTTTGTTTTGTTTTTGTGGAGTTTCGCTCATGTTGCCCAGGCTGGAGTGCAATGGCGCAATCTCGGCTCACCGCAACCTATGCCTCCCAGGTTCAAGCGATTCTCCTGCCTCAACCTCCCGAGTACCTTGGATTACAGGCATACACCACCATGCCCGCCCAGCTAATTTTGTATTTTTAGTAGAGATGGAGTTTTTCCATGTTGGCCAGGTTGATCTCGAACTCTTGACCTGAGGTGATCCACCTGCCTTGGCCTCTCAAGGTGCTGAGATTACAGGCGTGAGCCACCGTGCCCGGTAGGCTCCTTTCTTTTTCCTCTTTTGCCTCTCCCATTCTTTTCCACTCTTTTTAAGAGCCAGTCCGGCTTCTGCTTCCTTCAAAATCAATTTCTTATTCAGGCTTTCAAATAAATGCATCTTTTTTTCTTTTTTTCTTTTTGAGATGGAGTCTTGCTGTGTGGCTAGGCTGGAGTGCAATGACACCATCTCGGCTCACTGCAACATATGCCTTCCAGGTTCAAGCAATTCTCCTGCCTCAGCCTCCAGAGTATCTGGGCCTACAGGTGCATGCCAGCATGCCCAGCTAATTTTTCTATTTTTAGTAGAGACAGAGTTTCACCATGTTGGCCAGGTTGGTCTTGAACTCCTGACGTCGTGATCCACCCGCGTCAGCCTCCTAAAGTGCTGGGATTACAGGTGTGAGCCACTGCGCCTGGCCAAATAAATCCATCTTTTAAACTCAATTTATTCAGGCCTGTAGGACATGACTTACCCCTCCACGTGGTGTGCTGTTTCACAAATGATGTTGTATGTGTTTGTAAATCATGCCTCCCTGAATTATAAAATTTGTGAAGGCAAGAATGGCAGAGATGATACATTAAATATTCTTGGCCTCCACCTAATCATTATATCTCAAATTCTACACTATTGATATTTTGGGCTGAATAATTATTTATGTATTTTTTTATTTGAGATAAGAGTCTCGCTCTGTTGCCCAGGCTGGAGTATAGCGGCGCAATCTTGGCTCACTGCAACCTCTGCCTCCCAAGCGATTCTCCTGCCTCAGCCTCCTGAATAGCTGGGACTACAGGCGCACGCCACCATGCCTGGCTAATTTTTGTATTTTTAGTAGAGACAGGGTTTTACCTTGTTGGCCAGGGTGGTCTCAATCTCTTGACCTTGTGATCTGCCTGCCTCAGCCTCCCAAAGTGCTGGGATTACAGGTGTGAGCCATCATGCCGGCTGATAATTTCTTATTTGTAAGGGGTCATTCTTTGCATTTAGGGTGTTTAGAAGCAGCTTGGCCTATATTCAGTAGGTGCCAGTGACACTTCCCCACCAGTCATGACAATCAAAAATGCCTCCAGAGGGGGGGTGTGGTGCCTTACACCTGTAATCCTAGCACTTTGGGAGACTGAGGTGGGTAGATCACTTGAGACCAGGAGTTCGAGGCCAGCCTGGCCAACATGGTGAAATCCTGTCTCTACTAAAAATAGAAAAAATTTAGCTGGGTGCAGTGGCTCACGTTTGTAATCCCAGCTATTCAGGAGGCTGAGGTGGGAGGATTGCTTGAACCCAGGAGGCAGAGGCTGCAGTGAGCCAAGATCATGCCACTGCACTGCAGCCTGGGCTACAGAGTGAGACCCTGTCTCAAAAAAAAAAAAAATATATATATATATATATATACACACACACACACACACACACGTATATACATATATATACACATATATACATATATACACATATATATATATTCTTCCAGACATTGCCACCTGGGAACAAAAATGCTCCCAGTTGAAAACCATTTGTCTAGGGATTAGTTTATAGGTAAGTACAAAGTTGCAATAATAACTACAGATGTCTGAGGTGATTTAGAGCCAGAAAAATGAGAAAAACAATAGCACTGAAACGTCCTATTGTGAATAGCACAAAATGTGAAATTTTTCAGTTAGTGAGTCAGACCCAGTTCCAGTATCCAGGGATTAAAATTGTATAATATTAACATAAGTTGGTAAAATGTTTCTATTCAATTATAAGGAACTAGGGGAATAACTATATTCTACCTTATGTTAGCTTTGAACTTCTCTGGGATTGGGTATCCTGCTGAGGCAGGAGAATTGTTTGAACCCGGGAGGCGGAGGTTGCGGTGAGCCGAGATCACGCCACTGCACTCCAGCCTGGGCAACAGAGCAAGACTCCATCTCAAAAACAAACAAACAAACAAACAAACAAAAACAAAAAAGGAACAAACAAGAGACACCAGGTCCTTCTGGAGGGTGGAAGGTGGGAGGAGGGAGAGGATCAAAAAACTGCCTATCAGGTAGTATCCTTATTACCTGGATGATTAAAAAAAGTCTGTACATGAAATCCCCGTGACATGCAACTTACCTATATAACTAACCTGCACATGTAACCCTGAACCTAAAATAAACATTAAAAAAAGAAGTCTAAGCGAAAGGCAAAAAAAAAAAAAAAAATTTAGTAAGTGAAATGTTTACTGGGATGTCTAAGAAATTTGCAATATCATTAGAAACAATTTTTTTAATGCAGTTCAAAATCTCACAACAATGAACTTCAAGTATCTAAGAGACTCATAATACAGCTTTCTTTTTCATATTTGATGGTCATGAGCAGAGTAGCTGGTACTGTTGGTGCCGCTTCCTAATTTCCTTTTCAGCCCTCATCCCCTTCTCCAGGAAATTGGTTTCAGCTGAACAGGAAGTGCTCCATCTGGGAGGTGACACACGGCCCTACCATTGTGGGGGCAACCGTAGCCAGTAATTGACTGACACAGGCATAAACAAGGCTGGGGCCCTTGACTCAAAGTGAGACCAACTCTGAGATATGACTCGTGCTCCAGCGCTCCCCAGAGATCAGGCTGCAGTCACTTCCAGCTGAGACCGTAGCCTTACCCTGTAACTTCCCAACTCCATCCTGGTGCCCTCACTTTTCTCCTAACATTCCAAGTATTACCAATAAAAAGTCAATAACTTTAGGCAAAATGGAGCAGAAAAGTCACATCAGGAGGCAACCAGATGGCTTAGAACTTATGATGGAAAGATTTTCTGGGAGCAAAAATTAAGTGAACTTCAAATTACTATATATATATATTTTTTTAATTTTTTTTTTTGAGACGGAGTCTTGCTCTGTCCCCGAGACTGGATTGCAGTGGCGCAATCTCCGCTCACTGCAAGCTCCACCTCCCAGCTTCATGCCATTCTCCTGCCTCAGCCTCACGAGTAGCTGGGACTACAGGCGCCCGCCACCACGCCCGGCTAATTTTTTGTGTTTTTAGTAGAGACGGGGTTTCACCGTGTTAGGCAAGATGGTCTCGATCTCCTGACCTCGTGATCTTCCCGTCTCGGCCTCCTGATGTGCTGGAATTACAGGCGTGAGCCACCGCGCCCATCCAAATTACTGTATGTCTAATGGCTACTTTTAAAATTATTTTATTTAAAATTTTTATCTATTTATTTAGAGACCGGTTATGAGACTGGCTAATGTTTGTATTTTTGGTAGAGACGGGGTTTTGCCATGTTGCCCAGGCTGATCTTGAATTCCTGGGCTCAAGTCATTCACCCACCTCAGCCTCCCAAAGTGCTAGGATTACAGGCATGAACCACCATGCCCGGCCTGGAATAGTTTATTTTTTACAGTTTGGGAAAGTTTTGGCAGCCTTTGTATAGTGAAAAATGTTTGTCTTTAATCAAACATATAAATTTCTTCCCACTTATAACCTACTGCTAATTTTAAAGGCACTTACATAGTAGAGTATTAAAATTTTAGCTCAAAGATATTCATTACAGTGTTGTTTATAGTGCTGAAAATTTAGAAATGATACAAACTGGGATTAAATACTTTATGACACATGAACACCCCAGATTACCATGAAGACCTTCAAAAAAAGAAGTTTTAAAATATTTGGGGCTAGGTGCAGTGGCTCATGCCTGTAATCCCAGCATTTTGAGAGGCTGAAGCAGGAAGACTGCTTGAGCTCAGGAGTTCGAGGCCAGCTTGGGTAACATAGTGAGACCACCCCTCCATCCCATTTCTATAAATTTTTTTAAAAAAATTAGCCAGGCATAGTAGTGGGCATCTGTAGCTCCAGCTACTTGGGAGGCTGAGGTGGGAGGATCACTGGAGTGCAGGAGTTTGAAGCATAGTGAGCTATGACTGTGCCGACCGCACTGCAGCCTGGGTGAAAGAGTGAGATCTGTCACTAAATAATAACAATAATTGGCTGGGCGCAGTGGCTCATGCCTGTAATCCCAGCACTTTGGGAGGCCGAGGTGGGCAGATCACCTGAGGTCAGGAGTTCAAGACCAGCCCGGTCAACATGATGAAACCCTGTCTCTACTAAAAATACAAAAATTAGCCAGGTGTGGTGGTGGTTGCCTGTGATCCCAGATGCTCGGGAGGCTGAGGCAGGAGAATCGTTTGCACCCGGGAGGCAGAGGTTGCAGTGAGCCAAGATCATGCCACTGCACTCTGGCCTGGGCAACAGAGTGAGACTCTTGTCAAAAAAAAAAAAAAATTAAGGATGGGTAGAGATAACTGTGACAGAGCAAATCCTAAATCCTAGCCAAGTCATTAGATAGTTTCTAGAAAAAAGGGAGGTCTTGGTTACCTGAAGGACCCCAGAAAACCAAAGCACTTTCCAAAGGGTGTTGTCATCAAGTGCGTCAACCCTCCAGGAAGCGTTAAGAGTTCTGCTACATCAAACGTCCTCCTACTTACCAACATAATTCTTTTTAAATGTTTGTGCCAAAGTAGCTTGTCTGTCTATGCACCATCTTGGTTCCCTGGGACTCTCATTACAGTTTTACTGACCATTTCTTTAAAATCACGAAGAGTCTTTGTCCTAGTCAGACAGGCAACAAATCATTTATTTTTTATTTTTATTCTTATTTTGTTTTTGAGATGGAGTCTCACTCTGTCCCCCAGGCTGGAGTACGGTGGCACAATCTTGGCTCACTGCAAGCTCCCCTTCCCGGGTTTACGCCATTCTCCTGCCTCAGCCTCCTGAGTAGCTGGGACTACAGGCGCCGCCACCACGCCCGGCTAACTTTTCTATTTTTAGTAGAGACAGGGTTTCACCGTGTTAGCCAGGATGGTCTCGATCTCCTGACCTTGTGATCCACCCGCCTCGGCCTCCCAAAGCGCTGGGATTACAGGCGTGAGCCACCGCGCCCGGCCTCTTTTTTTCTTTTGAGACCAAGTCACACTCTGTCACCCAGGCTGGAGTGCAGCGGCATGATCTCCACTCACTGCAGCCTCTGTCTTGTGGGTTGAAGCCATTCTCCTGCCTCAGCCTCCTAAGCAGCTGGGATTACAGGTGTCCACCATGATGCACGGCTAATTTTTGTATTTTTAGTAGATGGGGTTTCAAAACGTTGGCCAGACTGGTCTCAAACTCCTGACCTCAAGTGATCTACCTGCCTCAGCGTCCCAAAGTGCTGGGACTACAAGCGTGAGCCCCCGTGCCCACCTTATTTGAAGTTTATTTAATTTTTGCTCATAGAAGAGCTTTCCATCATCAGTTCAAAGTCATCCGGTTACTTCCTGACTTAACATTTCTGTTTCATTGTGTCCAAAGTTATTATCGATCTTTTATTTGTAATACTCAGCATGTTGGATCATAATCAGATGAGTTCCTTGTCTGATTTATCTCTGTAAGTGTATTACCCAGCAGGATACTGGGGTCACTGATTGGGTTTATAACGTTAGTGGAATGAATACATCTGAGAAAGACCATGTGTCAGTCTACTGCACAGCAACAGAACATTATTCTGACATTCTGTCTCCTGAAGTGACCACTCTTGTTTTTCTTTTTTTTTTTCTTTAAGTTCTAGGGTACATGTGCACTCTTATTTCATAAATAACGTCATGGGCTGGGTGCGTTGGCTCACGCCCATAATCCCAGCACTTTGGGAGGCTGAGGCGGGTGGATCTTCTGAGGTCAGGAGTTCGAGACCAGCCTGACCAACATGGCGAAACCCCGTCTCCACTAAAAGTACAAAAATTAGCTGGGGGTGGTGGTAAGCACCTGTAGTCCCAGCTGCTCAGAAGGCTGAGGCAGGAGAATCGCTTGAACCCAGGAGGCAGAGGTTGCTGTGAGCCAAGATTGTGCCACTGCACTCCAGCCTGGGCAACAGAGTGAGATGCCATCTCAAAAAAAAAAAAAAAAAAAAAAAAAAAAAGAAAGAAGCTACCAGTGTCTTAAGATAAGATAAGATCTGGTCCTGTAAGATGTATAGAGTTATTTTCTTTCTTTCTTTTTCTTTTCTTTTTTTTTTTTTTTTTTTTTGTGAGACAGAGCCTTGCTCTGTCACCCAGGTTGGAGTGCAGTGGCGCAATCTCGGCTCACTACAAGCTCCACCTCCTGGGTTCACGCCATTCTCCTGCCTCAGCCTCCCGAGTAGCTGGTACTGCAGTTGTCCGTCACCAAACGCAGCTAATTTTTTTGTAATTTTAGTAGAGATGGAGTTTCACTGTGTTAGCCAGGATGGTCTCGATCTCCTGACCTCATGATCCGCCTGCCTTGGCCTCCCAAAGTGCTGGGATTACAGGCATGAGCCACCGCGCCCGGCTACATAGAGTTATTTTCTATTGTCAGTTCTACTAGTTAAGAAGTTACAAAGCCCAGATACAAGAAGACGAGACATAGACTTCAGCTCTCCAGAAAAGAATGTCAGAAAGTGTGGGGCCATGTTTTAATACCATCTCAGGCACCAAGCACACTTAGCATAAGAAGTTTGTTAGAAACAAAGGTGACAATATTATCTAAGGGCGTAATTCTGTTGGTGTCCAGTGAACCAGCAAGAAAGATCATATGTACGAGCCACTGAACACAACCTTTTAGGCATCAAGTCTGGGCTGCCATTCTGATAAAGCCCAGGTTCTAAGCTCTGATTCCTATATCCCATTCTTTCCAAGTGGACCACCTACATACACCATATTTCCAGCCAATTCACGTACCGAACACCACTATTTCAAGGCATGGGAAGTTGGCTGAGAAACAATTCCTTTTAAATGATTGCCAAAGGAGGAAGTGATATTTGTGTTTTGTGATTCACTTCCACGCGTTGGTCGAAGAATGGTGTTTTCTTCTTTTCTTGAAGTAAGGGTTTCCTCTTCTATGACAGTTGATAAGAAAGCTAGAATAAGCAGAATCAGGACCAAAGTGTGTATTAATTGGTGACATGGGAAGAAACAGCTGCGCCCTCAAATGAGTTAAATGAGGGGGGTTTCATTAAAGGACTGTTTATTTAGGTGGGGGTAGGGCTAAGGGAAATCAACAGAGGATGGCGAGGCACCCTGGGATTGGCAATGTGGGTGATCTCTTACCACTCGTTGACTTGAAGGCATGAAGGGAGGGAGCATTTATAAGAACCTGGAAGGGCTTTAGCCTGCAGCAGAAAAACCCAACCACTGTCCAAATGTGCAATGCTGCGGGGGAAGAGGAGGCTGGGGAAGCAAACACCACATCTCTTGCTGCACCAGCTCTCTTTTCTTCTTCCGGGGCTAACACTGGTCAAATCAAGCTTCACAGCAGAGCATGCAAGTGCCTCATGATCCAGAACATACAGGGAAGCCTCTCAATGCACAGGGCCGGTTGCAGAAGGATAGAGAACAGGTGTTTTTCACAATTGCCCAAAGTCAATTGTTAAATGCTTGTTGAAGTTTGGGAAATGACCAGGCCATATCAAATGTTCCTAGACCGAACATTTGCTCCCTTGGGTTTTGAGATGGGCTGGTTTCTGTGATGGTGGCAGTGTACTGTGCTGCTCTACCGAGGCAAGGTGAGATACCCGACGTAGAGATTAGAGAGGAAGGTCATCATTCTCCTATCTGATGGCTTCTGCTTTTGTTATTTCTTAGTTTGTTCACTGTGGCTCATGAGTCATGCTGCTGTCTGCATCCCTTTCCGGGACTTATTCAGATTCCTCAAGAGAGACACAGGCTGAATGGATTCGTCAGTCAATATTCAATAGACAGAACTATTTGAAGGTACACTTATCTTCTTGGCCATCTCATAAGTTGTTGTTTGCCATATGGACCAGTCCATGTTCCAATCAGCTGCGGTTGGGAGGCAAAGTTAAATAATACCATGTCTGACAACATGAGTGCAAATAACTTATTCCAGCACACCTTGGGAAGTGTCTCAGTTGGCCTTGGGTGTATCACAAACCATCCTCTCCTCATTGAATTTTTTTTCTTTCTTCTTTTTTCTTTTTTGCTTAAAATAACAACTATTTCACTTAGTTCACGATTCTGTGGACCTTTCTTCAGATCTGGGCTGGCTTGTTGGTTCCATGCATACGTGTTTGTGGTCAGTTGGAGGGTATGCTGGTTGAATGGATGATCTGACATGGTCTTACCCACACGTGTGGTGATTGGCAGATTGGCAACTGAAGTGATGAATGATTGGCTATCAAGCCTTGGTTTCTTCCACATGGCTTCTTACACTCCAGCAGGCTAGCATTTTTTTTTGCATTCTGTTAGCTGTTGTTTCATTGGCCAAAGCCAGTCACACGGCCAAGATAAGAACCAGAGACTACACTTAAAGATGGAGAATTCTTCCATCCCAGGGTGCAATCTGTCGCGTGCAGAATTGGGCCATGAGCACACAGAATACTCAGAATTTCAGGGACTTCCTTTGGGATTAGGCGTTTCCATTTTACATTCAGACAATTTTCTCTTCAGTACAGCTGACAATGGCAGGCTGAATCCGTCTTTCGTTTGTCATTTGAAAGACGATGCAGCAGACTGAGCACGGTGGCTCACGTCTCTAATCCCAGCACTTTGGGAGGCTGAAGCGGGCAGATCACCCAACGTTAGGAGTTCGAGACCAGCCTCGCCAACATGGAAGAAATCCCGTCTCTACTAAAAACACAAAAATTAGCTGGGCGTGGTGGTGTGTGCCTGTAATCCCAGCTACTGGGGAGGCTGAGGCAGGAGAATCGCTTGAACCCAGGAGGCAGAGGTTGCAATGAGCCAAGATTGTGCCATTGCACTCCAGCCTGGACGACACGAGTGAAATTCCATCTCAAAAAAAAGATGATGCAGCAAACATTTTGAGTAGTACATGGAGGAGATTACCAGCCCAGCTATACAGCCGTATCTACGTGATTATTTGCATAATTTATTGCATTTACTCTTATGAATTTATAAAAATAAATGGAAAACAGAAAGATGAAGGTGTTAACATTTGGGAGAATAAGACCATGTTTCATACACGTAATAAAATCAAGACAAGGAGTAAATTGCTTCTTGGGTATTTGGACTTGCCAAATTAGGGCATTATTTGCCATATTCATGCTGGATCTTACCAAGATTCTTCTAATACAAATGAGACAACAATTTCAGAATACCACCCTAATAAAACCAGTTGAAAATCTTATCAGCCAAGTCTATCAGTGTAATTCTGTTAAATGGTACCATCCCAAAGACCAAGAATATGGATGAGTCATTTTCCGAAGTTGGTCAACTGGAACAGGAAATTAAGCTCTACAAAGATATGCTGACTCCTTTCCACACTCTGGCCTTCAACTCTGGTAGTGAAAATTAAATTAAAAGGACCTCTTTGAAGTTGAACCCATATCCTTGGGAGTTGGCCTCACTCTCCATTATCACTCTCCATTTCCCACTGACCACCATCACCATTTACCCGTTCATTTTCTGAGGCACTTTGATATGGTCCACCATGATAATGTACCACTTAAATTACAGCAATGGAAGGAGAACTAATAGACCCTGCATTATGCAAACTCCCCAAACAACAACGCAGCCTCCCTTGTCCACCCACAAGACTCCTTGAGAAACCGGAGCTCAAGATAAAAACCAACATACTTCCTCTTCTGTCAGTTCTGAGAAGCTACCAGGCTCAGTGAGAGGCAAGGACTTTTCATCTTTAGGGTAAGTAGTATCTTCCTATAGAAAATAGGAAGTGTTTTACTTGTGATCCTGAATCTAAGAAAAATATTCTCGTTCTGGAAACATTTTCAAGGAGGCCTCATTACTTGTCCAATTACTTTATTTCTTGAGAGCTGCTATGACGGCTTCTATCTCACATTCATTTTTTCCACTTCTGCTTGGGCAAGGAGTGTGTGTGTCGTTATGCGATAGTCTGAAACCTGCTGGGATGCCTTATCACACACAAAGAAGGGGGCAATGGTGTGTAAAGGGGCTTAAGGTGAACTAAAATGATCAAGATTCGAGAATAATCTAAGATGAACATAGCTTATAACGAACATGTTATGAAAAACAAGGAAAACAAGATCTAAAAAGATGAGCCAGTTTCCTAAGTCCGTAGGATGAATTAGCAGCTTTTGCATACACCTCACACCCATAATATACACATCAGCACATGTGTTTAAATGCCAGTCTCACAGTCATCGTCATTTTCATGGTGGAAGGGTTTTGTGCTTTATTCATGACCAAAGCAGAGATTTACAGGTCAACTTTTTCACCCAGCTGGTTATGACCCACTGGAGGAGGCTGGTCGCTTTCAGTGGATGGGTCTTCTTAGGCCACTACTGTGTTCCTGTGGGGACTTCACAGGACCCTTGTTAATTCTTATTACCACTGGGTAAAAGGTCAGTCCTTAGCATGTGCCACCATGGCACCACCTTAGTGGGGTAACAACCACGAAGGCAACAAGCAGAAATGAAAACAACTCTAATTAGATAATATCAGTCGCTGCAAATAGTGAGTTTCTTTGTGTGTGATCCTTGGCTCAGTTCTCTGTGTCTGCCTCTCTTTCTCTCTGATGTGAAATTCTTTTCTTATAATTGGTGATGGTCAAATGTCCTCTCCAAATCAGCATCCCTAGAGGCCTTGGCTGTTGTGAAAAATCTTACCACCTTATTCCTTTCAAAATACTCACTTTAGTTAAACTTGTTTCAAATGAGGCCTCAGCAAAGAAATGCCCTTATCTGGACAGGTGTTCTTTTCATTGAGAATTTTCCAGTTATATTTTAGAGTAGACTTTTTGAAGGGTGGAGCAACACGACTCTAAAAAGAAGACAAAGGTTGAAAGAGGAAAGGTATCCAGAAAGTAATCAAGTATAACTCTACCAACGGGACACAAGTTTCCCACGACAGAATTTGATTTCAGTGAAGTACAGATTGCAAGTGATTGGCCTCCTGGTTCTGTATTTAGGGAAAACGTGGGTGTGGGTGTCTCTAGATAGCCTTTGGTGTCCAGTTCCACACAGTCCTTATTACTTCCCACCAATGGCCTTATGTATTTATGTTGCATGTCTAGATGCTGGGAGACCTTGGAGTTTATGACCTTGGTGAGGTGGTTGCGCATGGGCTTTGGACTCAAGCTGACGTCCTCCAAGTCTTAGATTTGTATTTTCCTAGCAGCACAATCTTGAGCAAATGATATCATTGTTTGGAACCTCAATTTCCTCATCTGAAGACTGAGGAGACATAAAATTATAAGACCTACATCATGGCCGGGCATGGTGGCTCACTCCTGTAATCCCAGCACTTTGGGAGGCCAAGATGGGTGGATCACCTGAGGTCAGGAGTTCCAGACCAGCCTGGCCAACGTGGTGAAACCCCATCTCTACTAAAAATACAAAAATTAGCCGAGTATGGTGATGCGCACCTGTAGTCCCAGCTACTCGGGAGGCTGAGGCAGGATAATTGCTTGAACCCAGGAGGCAGAAGTTGTAGTGAGCTGAGATCACACTACTGGGTGACAGAGAGAGACTCCATCTCAAAAAAATAAAATAAAATAAAATAAAATAAAATAAAATAAAATAAAGACCTACATCATAAGATGGTTGTAGCTTTCAATAAGAGAATAGCCATATTAGCCAGAAAGTTCTTAAGGCACTTGGCCCATAGTAGAAGTTCCATAAGTGATTTTAGGAGACAGTAATGGAAGGGATGAGAGAAGCATCTGCAGCAAAATTTGATTTGCAAGCAGGATTCCAATGCATAATGTGCAGTTGGCCTGCTTAGGAATAAGTGGTTCCATGGGATGGGTCTTCTTAGGCCACCACTGTGTTCCTGTGGTGACTTCACAGGACCCTTGTTAATTCTCATCACCACTGGGTAAAAAGTCAGTCCTCAGCATGCAAAGTTGTGATTACAGTTGGGGTCAGGAAAAGGACATGAGAGATCTCCATGACCTCTGTCGTCACCATCATCACCATCAGCATTACTGTCACTTCCACCATCCTTGCCACCATCACCACAACCATGCTGTCCCCCTTCACTATTACCATCACCACCACTATCATCACCATCACTATCAGCACCATCATCACTATCATCATCATCACCACCATCACCATTACTACCATTGGCATCACCACCACCACCATTACCATCACCACCATCATTACCGCCATCATCACCATCACCACCACTGCCATTACCATCACCACCATCATTACCGCCATCATCACTATCACCAGCACCACCATTACCATCACCACCATCATTACCACCATCATCATCACCACCGCCATTACCATCACCACTATCATTACCACCATCATCACCACCACCATTACCATCACCACCATCATTACCACCATCATCACCATCACCATTACCATCACCACCATCACCACCATCATCATCACCACCACCATTACAATCACCACCATCATTACCACCATCATCACCACCACCATTACCATCACCACCATCACCATTGCCACCATCCCCATCACTACCATCACCATTATTACCACCACCACCATCACCATTGACACTGTCACCATCACCACCATCACTGCTATTACCACCATCACCATCACCATTGCCACCATTCCCATCACTACCATCACCATTATTACCACCACCACCATCACCATTGACACCATCACCACCATCACCATGATTACCACCATCACCCTTGCCACCATCACTATCACCACCATCACCATCACCACCACTTTTGCCACCATTGCTATCACCATGACTATTACGTCCACCATCATAACCACCATCAGGACCATCACCACCACTGCCACCTTCATCACTACCTCCACCATAATTATGATCTCCACTGCCATCACCACCATTACCATCACGACCACTACTATCACATCCACTACGACCACCACCACCACTACCACCATTGTCATCCTTCCCTCTTTCCTTCACAGGTAGCTTTATTCAGGACGTACCACATGCCGGCAGGTGTGAAGCGTCGTCTCACTGAATCAGCATGAAACTGTAAAATATGTGCTCTTTCTTAGCTATGTTTTGCAGATGAGAGGCTTGGAGGTAAAGTCACAACCTCAGAGTCACTCAACTAGTAGTTGTAGATTTGGGATTCAAACCCAGGTTTGCCTGTGCACCAAATTCTAAAGCCATCTAACTGTGTAGGGCCAGTATGTGACTGTGCGTGAAGCATGGAGGGAGAACTGCCACATAAACACACAGGCAGCCCCAACAGATTCCAAACTCAGAGATCAAAGCAGCATGAATATATCAAAGCAGGAGTATCAACGCAGACCTCTCAAGAACAATTTTTAAAGTCATTTTGTGGCTGGGCGCGGTGACTCATGCCTGTAATCTCAACATTTTGGGAGAATGAGGTGGGTGGATCACTTGAGGTCAGGAATTCGAGACTAGCCTGGCCAACATGGTGAAACGTCTCTACTAAAAATACAAAAATTAGCTGGGTGTGGTGGCAGGTGCCTGTAATCCCAGCTGCTTGGGAGGCTGAGGCAGGGGATTCGCTTGAACCTGGGAGGCGGAGGTTGCGGTGAGCCAAGGTCACATCACTGCACTCCAGTCTGGGCGACAGAGTGAGACCATGTCTCAAAACCAAAAAAAAAAGTAATTTTGTTTCCTCTTTTATTAAAACACTTCATTATATTATTATTTTTATTGCTAAGGCAATGTACATAATTTAGAATTACAGCTGAATAAAGAGAAATTTAAAATCACTCATACTGACATTCTTCTATTAACATTTAAAATTCTCTTACATGTGATATTATATACTTTCTTTATAATCTACATTTTATATTGATACATAATAGTGGTACATATATGTGAGTTACATATGATATATTTTGATACATGCATACAATGTGTAATGATAGAATCATATAACCTCCTTTTGAGACGGAGTCTCGCTCTGTCGCCCAGGCTGGAGTGCAGTGGCCTGATCTCAGCTCACTGCAAGCTCCGCCTCCCGGGTTCACGCCATTCTCCTGCCTCAGCCTCCCGAGTAGCTGGGACCACAGGCGCCCGCCAGCTCGCCCGGCTAGTTTTTTGTATTTTTTAGTAGAGACGGGGTTTCACTGTGTTAGCCAGGATGGTCTCGATCTCCTGACCTTGTGATCCACCCGTCTCGGCCTCCTAAAGTGCTGGGATTACAGGCTTGAGCCACTGCGCCTGGCCCATATATATATAACCTCCTTTTGATCCTAATGCTACGTCATAATCACTTTCTATGGGGTTTTTTTTTTGTTTTGTTTTGTTTTTTTAGACAGAGTCTCGCTCTGTCGCCCAGGCTGGAGTGCAGTGGCATGATCTCGGCTCACTGCAAGCTCCGCCTCCTGGGTTTACGCCATTCTCCTGCCTCAGCCTCCCGAGTAGCTGGGACTACAGGCGCTGCCACCTCGCCCGGCTAGTTTTTTGTATTTTTTAGTAGAGACGGGGTTTCACCGTGTTAGCCAGGATGGTCTCGATCTCCTGACCTTGTGATCCGCCCATCTCAGCCTCCCAAAGTGCTGGGATTACAGGCGCGAGCCACCGTGCCCGGCCTTGTTTTGTTTTTTGAGACGAGTCTCGCTCTGTCACCCAGGCTGGAGTGCAGTAGTTTGATCTCAGGTCACTGCAGCCTCCACCTCCTGGTTCACGTGATTCTCATGTCTCAGCCTCCCAAGTAGCTGGGATTACAGGCACTCGCCACCACGCCCGGATAATTTTGTGTTTTTAGCAGAGACGGGGTTTCACCATGTTGGTCAGGCTGGTCTCAAACTCCTGATCTCAAGCGATCCACCTGCCTCTGCCCTCCAAAGGGCTGGGATTGTAGATGTGACCCACCGCGTCCGGCCCTATGTTGTTCTAATAGCCTCCTACAACATTATTTTTTGCATGTGATACCGGATTGTTTGCATTGCACATAATTGTTGTTTTTCTTCCTGCTTACATTTTGTGAAACTTTTCTGCAAACTACTTAAAGCATCTTCTCCATCAGTTCCTCCATCATCACTGGCAGCGCCTTTGAAAGGCTTCACCGATCTGCAGAGTACATCATTTTTGCTAATGTGCACTGGAGGTTTTATCTTAAACCCCAGATGGCCACCGACATTACCTTAGGAGAGTGCTTTCTGCATTTTAAATTGATATCCGTAGGCAAACGCTTACTACAATGCTTCTTAAAGTCCTCTTTGAAAGACTCATTTAGGCCTGGCTTGGTGGCTCACACCTATAATCCCAGCACTTTGGGTAGGCCCAGGCGGGTGGATCACCAGAGGTCAGGAGTTTGAGACCAGCCTGACCAACGTGGTGAAACTCTGTCTCTACTTAGAAAATACAAAAATTAGCCGGGCGTAGTGCCGGGAGCCTGTCATCCCAGCTACTAGGGAGGCTGAGACAGGAGAATTGCTTGAACCCCGGAGGCGGAGGTTACAGCGAGACGAGATCACACCACTGCACTCCAGCCTGGGCGCCACGGCCAGAAAGCCTCATTTATAGTGATGTCTAGTACCTCCACTATTTTCTCTGTTAGAAATGATTTCTGTTTTGAATAGACAAGACCTTCACTTGGCTCAAAATTCAAAAGATAGAAGAGGATAAACTGAAAAGTCTCCTTGCCTCGGCTTCCCAGTCACTTGGTTTCTTTCTCCTTTTTAAAAATATTTTATTTTATTTTAGGCTGGGTGCAGTGGCTCACGCCTGTAATCCCAGCATTTTGGGAGGCCGAGGAGGGCCAGCCTAGCCAACATGACAAAACCCCGTCTCTACTAAAAATATAAAAAATTAGCCAGTCGTGGTGGCCGGTGCCTGTTATCCCAGCTACTTGGGAGGCTGAGGTAGGAAAATCACTTGAACCCGTGAGGCGGAGGTTGCAGTGAGCCGAGATCGGGCCATTGCACTCCAGCCTGGGCAACAGAGTGAGACTCCGTCTCTAAATAAATAAATAAATTTTACTTTATCTTAAGTTCCGGGATATATGTGCAGGACGTGTGAGTTTGTTACGTAGGTAAACATGTGCCATGGTGGTTTGCCGCACCTATCAACCCATCACCTAGGTGTTAAGCCTCGCATACGTTTGTTTTCAAATGTAACGGATGCTATGAGTTTGTTAGGTACCTTCCAGGAATATTTTATGCAAATACAAAATTATCATACACATACAGATGCATTTGATGCATTTATGTTTGTACATTTGTATGTATGATTTTGTGTATACACATATAAACACCCATACACACATGCAAATATGGATAATTGTATATAGAAGGCTAACATTTTCCTAAAACAGAGGAGATAGTAGCCTTTTATATAAATATATTATAAATATATGTGTACATATTTCTTTCCTTTTTATTTTTTGAGATGGAGTCTTGCTCTGTCACCCAGGTTAGAGGGCAGTGGCATGGTCTCAGCTCACTGCAACCTCTACCTCCCAGGTTCAAGTGATTCTCCTGCCTCAGCCTCCCCAGTAGCTGAGATTACAGGCACCTGCCACCACACCCGGCTAATTTTTGTATTGTTAGTAGAGATGGGGTTTCACCATGTTGACCAGGCTGGTCTCTAACTCCTGACCTCAGGTGATCTGCCCATCTCGTTCTCCCAACGTGCTGGGATTAAAGGCATGAGCCGCCGTGCCTGGCCTATATTATATATTTCAAAATTGCTAAAAGAATAAATTTTAAAAGTTCTCATACCAAAAAACGATAGGTATGTGAGGTGATGCATATGTTAATTGTTTTGATTTAATCATTCCACAATGTCAGCCAGGCGCGGTGGCTCACGCCTATAATCCCAGCACTTTGGGAGGCTGAGGCGGGCGCATCACGAGGTCAGGAGATCGAGACCATCCTGGCTAACACGGTGAAACTGTGTCTCTACTAAAAATGCAAAACAAATTAGCCGGGCGTGGTGACAGGAGCCTGTAGTCCCAGCTACTCCGGAGGCTGAAGCAGGCGAATGGCGTGAACTCGGGAGGCGGAGCTTGCAGTGAGCCAAGATCGGGCCACTGCACTCCAGCCTGGGCGATAGAGCGAAAAAAAAAAAAAAAAAATTATTCCACAATGTCAACATAAGTCAAAACATCATATTATAGCCCATAAGCATATATAATTATTTATGAATTAAAAATTAAAAATAAATCAATGACAACAATGTAAAAAAAAAAAAAAAGAAGAAAGAAAAAATGAGTAGTTTGTCTGGTGGAGTTTTCCACTCTCGATCTTGCTGATTGCCATAGAACAGGATGATTTTAAATTCCAGCTGGATATTTCATCAGATGCATCCGTTTTTTAGCATTTGTTGAGTGATAAACTTGTTCCCTATAACCAAATGTGCTATGATCATCCTTGCAGGGTCTTTTCCTTGACAGAGTTAACCAGAGGCAGAATTATTGGGTCAAAGGAGAGGGAGAGATGAAAGGTTTTTGTTTGTTGGTTGGTTGGTTGGTTGGTTTCGAGATGGAGTCTTGCTCTGTTGCCCAGCCTGGAGTGCAGTGGTGCGATCTCAGCTCACTGCTACCTCTGCTTTCTGGTTTCAAGCAATTCTCCTGCCTTGGCCTTACATTTTGATAAGCATTGGCCACGTGGCTTCTGAACTTGGGACCATCAGAAATCAGATTTCATGGGGCTTATTCATTCCAGGCACTCTGACCGCGTCCTGCTTGAGAGAGATTGTTCCCGGCATCTCAGCGCTATGGGGAGCAGGTGCTTCCTGGTCCTGCTCTTGGGTAAGTGGAACTAAGAACTCCCTTCCCTTCTCCTCATGCGCCTGGTATCCTTGCTTGATTTGCTCCTTCAGATCTGGCATTTTCTCCAGCATTAACTGCGTGTGCCTCTCCTATTAGAAGCTCTCATCTCGAGTCAGGCTGGGCTGCCACAAAGCAGAACTGAAACAAGGACTCGTGTGCGTAAATAGTTTGTTTGGGAGGGGATCCCAGGAAAGGAGGGTGTGGGGAGGTCACACAAGGAGGGGTGAAGAGCCGCTGAAGGGTGTGTTAGTGAGGGGGTTACCACTGCGGGCAGGTGGGGTGCTGTCCTGCTAGGGACCTCCAAGAGACGGTGTAATTCCCACATTTCTGGCCTACTCCCCGGCTGGGTGCAGTAAAATGCACTGTTGCAGAGAGAGACAGAAAGTTATCTGCGGCCGGGCACCGTGGCTCACGCCTCTAATCCTAGCACTTTAGGAGGCCAAGGCAGGTGAATCACTTAAGGTCGGGAGTTTGAAACCAGCCTGGCCAACATGGTAAAACCCCATCTCTACTAAAAAGACAAAAAATTTAGCCGGCCATGGTGGCGGATGCCCGTAATCCTAGCTACTCTGGAGGCTGAGGCAGGAGAATCGCTTGAACCCGGAAGGCAGAGGTTGCAGTGAGCCAAGATTCCACCACTGCACGCCAGCCCTGGGTGACAGAGTGAGACTCTCCATCTCAAAAAAGAAAGAAAGAAAGAAAAAGAATGTCATCTGCATTCATAGGAACCCCCTCTGAGGTAGGCTAAAGGGTCACTTCAAGTATCTGCTATATGGATTGACGCCAAGCGGGTCCATGCTTGGAGCATCATAGCTCAGTAAGTTACAACCTAGACCTTCCCACCCTGTCCTCTGGGCTTTAGGGTCTTAGAGATGAGAAAAAGAAATCTCCGTAGGAGGCATCAGATACAGTTTAAGGATGGAAGGTTTGTTAGGAGACCTTACAGGTAAGTGATGTTCCATACTGTATGTAAGGGGCGGACACATTTTTTTCTGTAAAGGGACAGATAATTTGTATTTCAGCTTTGTGGGCCATATAGCCTCTGGCTTAACTACTCAATTCAGCTATTCCAGCCCTAAAGCATCCATAGGCCTTATGGAAATGAATGGATGTGGCTGTGTGTCAATAAAACTTTATTTACAGACATAAGCAGCTAAAATTCATATCGTTTTCATGGCCATTAAGTATTATTCTTCTTTTGATTTTTTTCAACCATTTAAAATGTTTTATGTAAAAAATATAAAAGTCATCTCAACTCATAGGTCCAGTTTGCCGACCCCTACCCTGTGGGAATCAAGTGATATTTCTCTCTGGAAAAAAAAAAAATAATTATTCACAGGAAAATTGGTGTTGAGTGTTTTGGTTCAGAAAAAATGGCCCTGTCAGCCAGGCATGGTGGCTCACGGCTGTAATCCCAGCACTTTGGGAAGCCGAGGTGGGCAGATCATGAGGTCAGGAGTTCAAGACTAGCCTGGCCAACATGGTGAAACCCCATCTCTACTAAAAATGCAAAAATTATCCAGGCGTGGTGGCACGCGCCTGTAATCCCAGCTACTTGGGAGGCTGAGGCAGGAGAATTGCTTGAACCCGGGAGGCAGAGGTTACAGTGAGATGAGATCGTTCCACTGCACTCCAGCCTGGGAGACAGAGCAAGACTCCATCTCAAAAAAAAAAAAAAAAAAAAAAAAAAAAGAAACAACAAAACAAAACAAAATGTCATAAGAGATAACTTAATATTATAAATCTTTAAACATAATGTTTTCATCAGTATGCATGATATTGAAAATAGTAAATACAATGAGTGAGACAGGAGCAGGTGACTTTATCTTGCCCAGGTACCTTGCCTTGTTCTTTGATAACTCGAATGGACCATGAGCATGACCCAAATCCAATCTCCTAGGTATTATTTGCTATGCTTACACCATCTGGGGGCTGACATTGTTCATAGAAGCAGATGCCTCCATATTTTAGCAAAAGATTCGCGCAGAGCCACTTTGCAACGGAAGGGATAGGAAAAAAATTCCTTCTTCAAGTGCCTGCTCATTCCAAGCGTATTTGCCTTAAGGGAGTGATGTTAGATAATCCAGGAAGAAATAGGTGGAGCAGCTTTCTGCGTTTCTGAGTTCATCCCCAGTGTATGTATTTAACTTCAGTCTAACAACATGGCAGCAGGAAGAGATCATCTTCAAATCATCATTATCCATTCCAAATTTGTCAAAATATCGGAACTCCCATGATTCTCATTCCCCATGAATATTCAAATCTCCTCGTACCTCAGAGGAAACCCTGTTTCCTAAGGATTAAACCCTCACTGTCGTCAGCCGGACATGGCTACTGAGCACTCAGAATGTGTCTAGTCCAAACGGACATGTGCCGTCTGTACAACATGCATACCAGATTTCAAAGACCTAATAAACACATATAAATTTAAATAATGGACGAATTATTTATTGCATATTGATTATGTATTGGAATGGTAATATATTTCAACTACATTGAACTAAAAAATATTATCAAAATTAATTTCAAGTGTTTCTCTTTGCTTTTTAAAAATGTGGGTAATAGATGGCCAGGTGTGGTGGCTCACAGCTGTAATCCCAGCACTTTGGGAGGCCGAGGCGTGCAAATCACTTGAGGTCATGAGTTTGAGATGAGCCTGGCCAATATGGTGAAACCCCATCTCTACTAAAAATACAAAAATTATCCAGGCATGGTGGCAGGTGTCTGTAATCCCAGCTACTTGGGAGGCTGAGGCGGGAGAATTGCTTGAACCTGGGAGGTGGAGGTTGCAGTGAGTCGAGAACATGCCGTTGCACTCCAGCCTGGGCAACAGAGCAAAACTCTGTCTCAAAAGACAAAAAAATGTTGCTAATGGAAAATTTAAAAGGACCTATGGGGTTTCCATTTATATTTTTCTTGAACAGTGTGTGGTTTGAGGTCCGGACTGATATTAAAATAAACTGTTGAATATAGAAAGGAGATTGCCAACCTTGTCTTTTGGTGCTAGGACATAGAGAAGAAGCTGAATTCGCTGCTGGGTTTTCTGAAATTGGGAAACACAGCTCCAATCAGATGCACTTCCCATACTTTAGAAGGATATGATGTCCAAATCTGTGACTCTTGTGTTTATAACCTGCCTGGAAGACGCTATGGTGAAGCTTGCATGTGTGACTGGGCAAAGAGTTAGGGTTAGTTGCCCCTAACTCACCCAGCCTTCAGCCAAGCAGAGTCCAGGGGATCCCCGTCTGAATGATCCCCTCCTCTCTCTGTTCCAGGTCTCACTATCTTAGTGGTTCTGCCAGGATCAGAAGCCGAGAATTCTGGAGGTGAGTCTATTCATAGCCAAAGGCCAGAGGAAAGGAAATTGGGATCTGGAAGCTTCCTTCAGAGAAGGGAAGGAGCTTTTTTCAAGAGACAGAGCATGGAGTCTCTGGCACTTCCTTCTGGCTCCTTGGAGATCCCAAGAGCTGTTTTCCCATCTCCATTATCACCATCATCTGCATTTACATAGCAAAGCACATCACATATACCATCTCAGTCAATCCCCATGACACTCCTACAAAGACATTATCCCCATTTGATCAAGGGTCCTCCAGAAAAGTGGCTGGCTCAAGGTCACATGGCTGGTGGATGCTAGACTCTCCTCTTTCTTTCCCCAAGCCTGTGTCTTGAGTCATTACAGGAAACACTTTGCCTTCACCACAAGCCATTGCTTGGGTTCCCCCAGAAGCAGACCCTGAGAGCAACTCGTTGTTCTGGGAGGGACTCCTAGGAGGCACCAGCTGGGAGTGGGCAGTGGCATAGGAAGGGGAGGAGCTCATATAGGATCCTTATCAAGCAAGTTACATGTGGGCAGCTGGAGTTTAATACCTGGGGGAAGCTGTTGGGCGTGGCATGGAACAGGCACCTCATACACCTCAACGGGTAAGGAACCTATTGATTATGACTATGTTCCAAATTGTGGTAAAATGTAGATAATGTAAAATGTAGCTTTATAACTATTGTCAAGGGTACAGGTAAATGCCATTCAACATTTGCACTGCCATGCAACCATCACCACCATCCACCCACAGTGTTCTTTCTAGTTGCAGAACTGAAACTCTGTGTCTATGAAACATGAACTCCCCATTCCTCTTCCCCAAGGCCCTGGCACCCACCATTCTACTTTCTGTCTCTATGAATCCAGCAACTCTGGGCATCTCAAAGGAGTGGAATCATACATTATTTGATGCTTTGCTTATTTCATGGAGCATAATGTTCCCCAAGGTTCATTTATGGTGTAGCATGTGTCAGAATTCCATTCTTTCTTTCTTTTTTTTTTTTTTTTTTCTTTTTTTGAGACTGAGTTTCACTCTTGTTGCCCAGGCTGGAGTGCAATGGTACAATCTCGGCTCACTGCAACCTCAGCCTCCTGGGTTCAAGCGATTCTCCTGCCTCAGCCTTCCAAGTAGCTGGGATTATAGGCATTCACCACCATGCCCAGCTAATTTTGTTTGTTTGTTTGTTTGCATTTATTAGAGATGAGGTTTCACCATGTTGGTCAGGCTGGTCTCGAACTCCTGACCTCAGGTGATCCACCCACCTCAGCCTCCCAAAGTGCTGGGATTACAGGTGTGTGAGCCACCATGCCTGGCCAGAATTTCCTTCTTTCTAAAAGCTGAATAACATAATATTGTGTGGATGGACCACATTTTGTTCATTCATTTATTCATTCATGGGCACCTGGATTACATACAACATTTGGCTATTATGAATAATGGTGATATGAACATGAGTGGACAAATATCTCTTCTATACCCTGCTTTTGATTCCTTTGAGTATATTCCCAGAAGTGTGATTGCTGGATCATATGGTAAGATCATATGGTAATTCTGATTTAGAATTTTTTGAGGAATTGCTATACTGTTTCTCATAGACATGGCATCATTTTACATGTCTACCAGCAGGGCACAAGGGTTCCATTTTCTCTACATTCTCACCAACACTTGCTATTTTCTGTTGTTTTTAAAATAATAATGAAATTGGCTTTTTTTTTTTTTTGAGATGGAGTCTCGCTCTGTCGCCCAGGCTGGAGAGCAGTGGCACTATCTCGGCTCACTGCAAGCTTCACCTCCCAGGTTCATGCCATTCTCCTGCCTCAGCCTCCCGAGTAGCTGGGTCTACAGGTGCCTGCCACCATGCCCAGCTAATTTTTTTTTTTTATTTTTTTGTAGAGACGGGGTTTCACCATGTTAGCCAAGATGGTCTCAATCTCCTGACCTCATGATCCACCTGCCTCAGCCTCCCAAAGTGCTGGGATTACAGGCGTGAACCATCGCGCCTGGCCAAAATTGGCTTTTTTTTTCTTTTCTTTTTTTTTTTAAATGCACTATCTTCTATCAATCATTGATAAAGGGAGCTACTTATGAGAGGAAAGGCATTGTTAACCTGCCATGTGATGAACAAAGAGAATTCTGGTAGCCAGGGTGAGCCTGCAAGGAAAGAAAAACAGGTGCTGGCATTTGGAGGTTCACTCATCTGGTAAAACTAGCGTTGGTGGCAGAAGTGGGACATGGTTGGGCACTGTGTGCCCCTGTGTTCAGCAAAGGTCTGGATGCCAAACGGATGCCAACAGAACTGCTCCCAACATGACATTCTTCTGACAGCAGCATTGGTACAGGGTAGACGCATACTGAATATTTCTTAGACGAATGAATGGATTCTGTTTCTCTGCAGCTTTCTGTCCTCAATGCCCTAAATATGCCAAGTGCCACAACAGCACCCACTGCACCTGTGAACACGGCTTTTCGGCCAGGTCTGGCAGGACATACTTTCATGAGTTCTCTGAGAAGTGTGAAGGTAAAAATGTTAACGGGGTTTTAATTTAATCTCTCATTAGTGATAACTATTCTGTTCCATGTGTCCTCTGCCCAAAACACATAAACCCATAGCCCAAATAAAACTTGTCTCTCTTCAGCAGACTATTTGATAAAGTACAGCTGTCGGCCAGGTGTGCTTGTCCCTGAGTCCTTCAGATGGAGAGCACAAGTATAAGTCTGTGGTCCAGAGCATCTTTTGTCTGTGGGTCCTTTGCTTGAGCCTCAGCTCTGGTCCATTCAGCAGAGAAGGCTGATGTGGTTGGGAGCGGCAAGACACATAAACATTGCATAAGCCAGGATTTTTTTTTTTTTTTTTTTTTTTTGAGATGGAGTCTCGCTCTGTCGCCCAGGCTGGAGTGCAGTAGCACCATCTCGGCTCACTGCAAGCTCCGCCTCCCAGGTTCACGCCATTCTCCTGCCTCAGCTTCCCGAGTAGCTGGGACTACAGGCACCCACCACCATGCCCGGCTAATTTTTTGTGTTTTTAGTAGAGACGGGGTTTCACCATGTTAGCCAGGATGGTTTCGATTTCCTGACCTTGTGATCTCCCTGCTTCAGCCTCCCAAAGTGCTGGGATGACAGGTGTGAGCCACCGCGCCTGGCCTTTTTTTTTTTGAGTCAAGAGTCTTACTCTGTCACCCAGACTGGAGTGCAATGGCGCGATCTCAACTCACTGCAACCTCTGCCTCCCGGGTTCAAGCGAGTCTCCTGCTTCAGCCTCCTGAGTAGCTGGGATTAGAGGCACACACCATGACGCCCAGCAATTTTTGTATTTTTAGTAGAGACAGGGTTTCACCATGTTGGCCAGGCTGGTCTTGAACTCCTGACCTCATGTAATCCACCCGCCTCAGCCTCCCAAAGTGCTGGGATGACAGGCATGAACCACCACGCCCGGCCAAGCCAGGATTTTAGTAGTGTGGTCCTTCCTCATCTCTCTCAAGTTTTTCTAATAGTGTGTTAACTTACCCTATGTTTATTACCCTGCCATGCACTATGTGTGTTAAATTGATTTAGCAAATGGTGTGACGTAAAAACAACATTAAAAACGACATTCCATCCTTATTCTAGTGATTTGATATGTCATCTTTACCATGTTCTAAAGCTCCATAGGTACTTGGGTCTATGTCTGGACTTCTAGTCTATTTCATTAGTCTATTTTTATTTATGCATGCATCAGTACCTCTTTGTTTAGTTGCAGTTTTATACTTTGTCTTAATGTCCTATACTTTGTTCCCACCTTGTAGTTTTTTCTGGCTGCACCTGCATGATAGCAACAATTTGTCTCTCACTTCATAAAATACACATATAGATTTTAAAAATTGGAATTGTATTGGATTTAAAAGTTAACTTAGGGAGAACATTGATGGACAATGGTTGGGCAATAAAGATTTCATGGGCAAGGGAAATGGTATAATTCTATGAAAATGAAAGCAACACTTTCTCTTGATTCACAGATATTAATGAATGTGAGACCGGGCTGGCAAAGTGCAAGTATGAAGCTCATTGTAAAAATAAAATTGGAACTTACATCTGTAGCTGTTGGGTAAAACATCCTATCCTCAACTGGCTGGCTGGTTTTATAGATTATAATTTTCCAGATTGTTATGGTACGAACCTCCAAATACTATTTTCACTGAAAAATGATGGGGACTTGGGGGAAACTCTGAGAGATTCTCTAATTTTAGGCCAGGGTAAGAGAGTAAAGCTCCATCCTAACCCTCATCCCTCATTCCTTTGTTGTCTTTGATGATATTTTCCAAGATGGTGTCATCCAAGCCTTGGCATCTATAACCATCTCTATATAGATGCTTCCAAATGTATGTGTCCAATACAGGTCTGTTTCCTGAGCTTCCAAAAGGGCACCTTTAAATTTCTTCTGAATTCCTCTATTTATTCATCTCTCACTCATCTTAAATTCAATGTTTATGTCTATCTACCTATCTACTAAATCTGATGAATTCACACTGATACCTCTGGTTCCAGTTCAACATCAAGGCTTGTTGGAACCTTCCCTCTTTCCTTGTTTGTAACTTCCTTCTCCAACAATGAGAAACCCGTCTCTCACTATCCACAATTTATTTATTTGTTTAATTCCATCATTATTTCACGTTTTGGGTAAGAGAGATTGAAGTGCTAAATCTTCCACTTATCATCTGGCTTTCAGTTAATGACTTAATTCCTATATACCTCATCTTTAAATGGGAATAGTAATATTAATAGTATCTATTGTGTCAGTTACATGTTGCTGCATAACAAGTTACCCCCAAATTTAGTGGCCTAAAACAACACATATGTATTGTTTCATAGTTTCTCTGGGTTAGGGAACTAAGCATGGCTTAGCTGAGTCTTTTGCTTCTGGGTCTATCACAGTTGCAACTGAGGTTTTGTCCAGGCTGTGGTTTCATCTGTAGACTCGACTGGGGCAGGTTCTGCTTCCAAGCTACTCACAAGGTTGCTGGGAGAATTTAGTTCCTTCAGAGCTGGTGGACTGAAACCCTCAGTTCATTTTTGGTGATTGGTGGGAGACAGCCTTTAGTTTCTAGATATATGGGTCTCTACAGCTTGCTTTGTTATAGCAAACACATTAGAATGGCCAGAAAGAGAGCATGAATAAGACAGGAGTCATAGTCTTTTATAACCCACTCTCAGAGTGACATCCTATCACGTTTGCTATATTCTGTTCCTTAGAAATGAGTCACTGAGTCCAGTCCACAGTCAAGGGAAGATTACCCAAGGATGTGAATGCCAAGAGGCAGGGATTATTTGCAGCCATTTCTGAATCCTTCTTACTGGACTGAATAGTGTTCTCCCCAAATTGATTCCACCTGGAATGTGTGAATATGATCTTATCTGGAAATAGGGTATTTGTAGATGTAATAAGTCAAGATGCAGTTATACGAGATCAAAGTGGACCCTGAATCCTACATGATTGGTGTCCTTATAAGATGAAGAGTATTTGGACACAGAGACACACACAGAGGGAAGATGGCCATGTGAAGACAGAGGTGAAGATTGGAGTTATGCTACCAAAGGGCAAGGAATGTCAGAGACTGACGGCAACCACCAGAGGCTGGAAGAGGCAGGGCAAGGTGTTTCCCTGGAGCCTTCAGAGGGAGCATGGTCTTGCTGGCACCTTGATTTGGACTTCTGGCCTCCAGAACTATGAGACAATACATTTCTATTGCTTTAAGCCACCCAATTTGTGTCACTATATTATGGCAACCCCAGGAAATTAATACACTTTACCTATTCATTATCATTATTTTTGAGATGGGGTCTCACTTTGTTACCAGGCTGGAGTGCAGTGGTGTGATCTTGACTCACTGCAACCTCTGCCTCCCAGGCTCAAGCAATCCTCCCACCTCAGCCTCCTGAGTAACTGGGACTACAGGCATATGCCACCACACCTGGCTAATTTTTGCATTTTTTGTAGAGATAGGGTTTCACAATGTTGCCCGCACAGGTCTGGAACTCCTGACCTTAATTGATCCACCCGTCTTGGCCTCCCAAAGTGCTAGGATTACAGGCGTGAGCCACTGCACCCAGCCCCTACTCATTATTAATGTATGTGAAATACTTAACAGTCCTAGGCACCTAGGAAGAGTCAGTTAATACTGGTTATTATGCTGTATGTGCCTTTTCTACAACTTTCTGTGTTCCTTGAAATGAGATAATATATATGAAGGCACTTTATATACTGCGATGTGTAGACAACTGCTTCTATATTATTAAGTCAATTAACACTGATTTCTTGCATGTCACCCTGATGTGTTGGGATCCTCTGCTATATACTCCCACACCATCATGTCCTATTTATTATTGATTGATTGATTGATTGATTTTGGGAAGTCCTGTTTTATTTTATTTTAGGTTTGGATGTGGTATATGTGCAGGTTTGTTGCGTGGGTAAATTGCGTGTCTCTGGGGTTTGGTGTATGAATGTTTCCATCACCCCAGTAGTGGGCATAGTACCCAATCAGTAGCTTTTCAGCCCTCCTCAGCCTCCCACCCTTTCCCTCTAGTAGTCCCCAGTGTCTATAGTTCCCATCTTTTTGTCCACATATCATGTTCTATTTATTAAGAGCATCCCTTGCAATTGCTTAATTATTTATTCATAATAACTTGCTTAATGACTTTCATGCCAAACTTCAGATTCCACAAGGGGACACCTTTGTTTCTTTTCCTAGCCTATATCCATATATTTCAGCATTGTGCTTGGTTTCTAGTAGGTGCTCAATAAACAGGGTTGACTAAAGTAATGGGTTGGTGCAAAAGTAATGGCGGTTTTTGCCATTACTTTCAATAGCAAAGATTGCCATGACTTTTGCACCAACTCAGTATGGAACTGGAAGCCCCATTCTAATTCTCTTTTATAATTCTACTGTGCAATACTTTTTAGGCTTCTTAGAGGGGAATTAGGATGGGCTGCGGAAGTATTAGGGAAAGACTCAACTTGAGGGTGATTGGAGGAAGGGATGCAAGCAGGGTGTATTTTCTCCCACATCTCTTTCAATGACATCTTTTCTTTCACAGAGGACGATAGTCAAGGGACACAGGCAAAAGTGGATATTTGGGTGAGTGGGGTGAAGCCTGGATTTGGGAAACTGTTGGTATGTATAACTATGTCATTCTCCTACCCAAACATTAACATGTCTTCCTGTGATTTTTAGGGCAGGGTAGTTCTATCCAGGGGTAATTTTGTCCTCCATTCCAAGGTTATCTGTGAATGTCTGGGGACACTTTTGGTTGTCATACCTTCGGGGTGATGTGTGTGACTGGCATCTTGTGGATAGAGACCAGGGATACAGCTCAACATCCTACAGTGCCTGGGACAGCCTCCCACAATTAAGAAGTTCCTGGTGCCACATGTCCATAGAGAAAGAGAAATACAAGGGTAGGGGTAAATGCCTCAGCTGTCATTCAAAGACCTACATCAAGCACCTAGATTCTCAATGCCACACGCACCCTGTAGCACCTTAATAAACATCGTTGCCTTCTGGGCTCCCCACTCCAACACTTGTGCATATTCCTTATTTCTTACATTTCAGTGAGAGTCAATCTAATTAGCTTTATTTTTTTGAAGGAAAATCTGAGAAGAAATGGAAGCAGAGAGGACATTGCAAGACAGGCTACTCAACTAATTCAGAGCGTGGAGTTGAAGATCTGGAATGACAGTTTTGCTTCTCCAGGAAAGGGTCGAATTTCTGACTTAGATGTAGGTAAGAGAGGCTGAGTAGAGTCTTTATTACCCTCCGTAAAGACCATTAAGAGGTCTGGGTCCTGGCTTTGCCAGGGTTTCTGAATGATGAAATCTGTGGGTTTCCAGGATCATAGACCCTCTACACCAACATTCTACATGAGAAGGACTCTGTTTTCAAAAATGCAAATTCAAGGGACAAGAGAATAAACCAGCTCTCTTCTTCTTTTCAGCTTCCCTTGGTATGATGGAAAGTATTTAAGAGCATATTCGCCATGCCTCCTTGGCTAGAGGACAGAAAAATCCTCGGTTATTTTCCTACTCTACTCTCACATAGTAACGAGAACACAGAATACTTCATCTCTGGTCACCAAAATACGTGTGGGCTCATTTTCCACACTGACCGCACAGTTCTCCAGTGGATACCAGCGGGGTGTTCTATAATTCAATTATGACATTATGAATGCTTAATGACTTTCATGCCAAACTTCAGATTCCACAACATTCTCTACCAAAGATAGTGTCAGATCCCATAGGCTGCAGGCTTAATCCCACAAAAGTGTTCTTCACCTCAAATGCCAATCTCAAGTTCTAGGTTGTAACCTGTACGTCCGACTGACAGGCTATACATTACAGTCCCATGACCCCTTCCTTGGGTTTGAGTAATTTGCTAGAGTGACTCACTTAACTCAGGAAAGCACTTTACTTACATTTATCCATTTATTAAAAATATATTACAAATGGGCTGGGTGTGGTGAGTTATGCCTGTATTCCCAGCACTGGAGTTATGCCTGTATTCCCAGCACTGAAGCAAGTGGAGGCTGAAGCAAGTGGATCGCCTGAGGTCAGGAGTTCAAGACCAGCCTGGCCAACATGGCAAAACCCTATCTCTACTAAAAAAAAAAAGAAATACAAAAAGTATCTGGGCGTGGTGTTGTGCGCCTGTAATCCTAGCTTCCCAGGGGGCTGAGGCAAGAGAATTGCTTGAACCCAGGAGGTGAAGGTTGCAATGAGCTGAGATCACACCATTGCACTCAAGCCTGGGCAAGAGAGCAAGACTCCATCTCTCTCTCTATATATATAAAATAATATTTAAAATATAAATATATATTTATAAATACTATATATATATAAATAAAACAAATGATACAGATGAACAGCCAGATGGAAGAGATGCACAGGGCAAGGCATGGGAGAAGAGGTGCAGAGCTTCTAAGCCCCCTTTAGGGGTGCCACCCCGAGGACCCACATATTTTAAGCTATCTAGAATCTCCTAGACAGCTTAACAAATCTTTTGGATTTGTATGGAGGCTTCATTAGTTAGCCATGATTGGGTACATTATTGGCCATTGATGTCAACTCAACATTCAGCCTCCCTCCTCTTCCTGTATCTGGGATGGGGGTGAAACTGAAAGTTCCAACCCTTTAATCTCACCATTGGTTTCCTTGGCAACCACCCCCATCCTGAGGCTATCCAGGAGCTGGCTAAGAGTCACCACATTAGAAAAAAAGATGTTTCTATAACCAAGAAAATACAAAGGATTTGAGTTGAGTCACATGCTCCTGTCACTCAGGAAATTACAATGGTCTTAGGGGCGATATGTCAGCAACTTGAGTCCAAGACCTAATATTAGAACAAGAGATTTTCCTAGTGTTCCTACTGCTCAGGAAATGCTAAGGGTTTTAGGAACTCTATATCAGGAACTGTGGTTTCTTCCTAACCTCTGTATCTGTTAATCATTTCAAAGAATCAATTTTTGGTTTTGTTGATTATTTATATTATTATTCCATTTCCTTTTTCTTTAATTTTCTGTATTATTTCTTTCCTTTCACTTCTTTTGCGTCAAACTTGCTTTTCATTTTCTAACTTATTGACTTAGTAATTTGATTACTAATTTTAAACCATTCTCTTTTCCCAATATATGCATTTAAAGCTTAAAACTTAGCTATAAATTAGAGCTATATATTTCCCTCTAAGCACACCTTTAGCTGCATCCTGCAAGTTTTCATATACTGGGCTTTCATTATCATTTAGATCAAAATATTAAAACATTTCCTATGTAATTTATCATTTAACTCATGGTTTATTTAGAAGTGTGTTGCTCAATTACCAAATATTTGTGGCTTTTTAGGGTTTCCTTGTGTTAATGGCCTCGTTTAATTTATTGTGGGTTTTAATTAAGAAAGGATGTTGAACTTCGTCAAATGCTTTTTCTACCTCAATTGAGATGATCATTTTATCATCAATTGAGATGGTTTTTATCTTTCATTCTGTTAATGTGATAAATCCTATTGATTGATTTACATATGTTAAACCACACTTGCTCACCAGGAAAAAATAGTTGTGATATATACTCTTTGATGAGTTGTTTGAGCACATACTCTGTAGGATTTCAATCCTTTTGAATTCATTGAGACTTGATTGATAGTCTATTTTGGCAAATGTTCCATATGAACTTAGTGTCTGAATTAACATACCAAATCTGGTGGTATAAGCATGGTAAACAGTGGCTTAACCATTATTTTTTAAATAGTTTTAGCATAAGTGAGTCAGGGCTGATGTAGCAATACCATGGCAGTTCTATGCTCTGCTGCCTTCATCATTCACTTTCACTTTGTGTTACAAGAGAGCTGTTCTACTATCACACCCTTTTACCAGCCAGTGAAAAGGGGAAAAAATAAGTTGAAAGGATGTCTGTTTCCCTTAGCACATGCCATTCTGTTCTTTGATCCATCGGCCTGAAAATAGTTGCATGGCTCTGCCTAGCTGCAAGGGAAGCTGGAAAATGGCTTGTCTTCAGCTTAAATTTAGTAGTTCTAGACCCAAAGAAAGAATAGGCAAATGGTGATCACAGGTAATAAGCAGTCTGCCATAGCCCCTAGGACAGCTTTCTCACTTGCTCAGAGACAAACTCTGGTTATACCCCCGAAATGTTGAGGTTGATCTCACAAAATGTGTTTATATGTTTGATGAATAGTGTTTACTCAAGGGATTCTTCCCAAATGCAGAAGTTCTGTTCCTAGTGACTATTTTTTTGGGAAAACTTTAAAATGCTTAGCTACTCTTGCTTATAAAGATTGCATTCACCCCTAACCAGGCACTCCAGTACCATTAAGTGTCCTGTGGAAACTGCTTAGCTTGCCTATCAGAGTACCTGTTCTGGGAAGCATGCCCTTCTCCTCTCTTCTCTTGGGTTGTGGCCAGGGTGTTGCTAAGGCCATTTTGGCCACTCCATTTCTACCAGCCAAAGGTGGGAAGAAAGTGCCATGTGGCCAACCTTGCACAGGGGAGATGGGATCACCAATAGGTGGTCTTCCAGAGAAGGGAGTTCTTTAGCAAATTATTTAGGCATGAGGCTTGAGAACAGGACTGACTTTCTTAATGTTTTCAGTTTATGAAACCAAGAGGTGCAATGAAACAAGGGAGAACGCTTTTCTGGAAGCTGGAAATAACACCATGGATATCAACTGTGCCGATGCTTTTAAAAGAACCCCAAGAGGTACTGTGTCTCCAATGAATTCTCTTGACTCTGAATTCTATGCATCATTGTTTCATTTCTAGGTGATTAAACCCCGGGGTGGGAATTCACAAAGCTTTTCAGGTAGGGAGATTCTACATGGTGGAATAAAAAGATCTTCCTTGAGCACTAACTAGGCATTTTGCAGAGAGAAGTCGGGTTGCCATATGGGGTGTGTACTTTGTGATATACACAAAAGTTTGCACAGGGATTCCTTGAAATGCCTCCTGAAAAGGGACTGGTTGGGCCGGGCACAGTGGCTCATGCCTGTAATCCCAGCACTTTGGGAGTATGAGGCGGGCGGATCACAAGGTCAGGAGTTTGAGACCAGCCTGGCCAACATGGAGAAACCCCATCTGTACTAAAATTACAAAAATTAGCCAGGCGTGTTGGTGCGTGCCTGTAATCCCAGCTACTCAGGAGGATAAAGCAGGAGAATTGCTTGAACCCAGAAGGCGGAGGTTGCAATGAGCCGAGATGGCGCCATTGCACCGCAGCTTGGGTGACAGAGTGAGATTCTAACTCAAAAAAAAAAAAAGGACCGGCTGATGCATGCCGTTTCCATGTGATGGTCTGAAAAGGTAACACTCAATGGTGTCAGATTGCCTTGAACACTTCCTTGAGAAGCGTTTATGAACACCCTTTTTAAGAGAGCCATCCCGTCTTGTTCTTTACCACAGATTGGAAAACAAAATGTTCTCTACAAGGTTCAGAGAGTAAATATGTTAGGTCTTTTGTTCCAGATGACCTTTGTTATTACTCAACTCTGCCATCAGAGTGTGAAAGCAGCCATTGATGATGTGTCAGTGAAGGAGTGTGGCTGTGTGTCAATAAAACTTTATTTACAAAAGCAGGCGGCAGGCTGGGTTTTACCCTCACAGCATAGTGTTTCACACCCGCGTTATCTCATCTCCTGAAGTCTCTGTAAAGCTCCTGCACTATGTATTTTTTTCTAACTTATTTATTTGTTGGTGGCCCATCTCTCTCACTATGACATCAGCTCTCTGATGGCAGGGGTTTTGTCTGTTTTGTTTGCTGCTGTATAATAATTCCTAGAATGTCTGGCACACAGTAGAGGGTAAAAAAATATTTCCCTGAAAGATAAATGAATGAATGTATATAAACTATTTCAAAGAGAAAAACCTGGTTACCTTAAAAATGAAATATCTGCTGCATTTCCTCCAAAAATTCCTGGTTACTTGTCAATCTTCACTCCTTACTATAGCTATAGAGTAGGGGAAGGGAGGAAAGGGATCTAAAAACAAGTTGATTTTGTTGTTGTTGAGACCGAGTCTCACTCTGTTGCCCAGGCTGGAGTGCAGTGACGCAATCTTGGCTCACTGCAGCCTCTGCCTCCCGAGTTCAAGCAATTCTCCTGCCTCAGCCTCCCAAGTAGCTGGGATTATAGGCACCCACCACCACGCCCAGCTAATTTTTGTATTTATAGTAGCGACGGGGTTTCGCTGTATTGGCCAAGGTGGTCTCGAACTCCAGACCTCAGGTGATCTACCCACCTTGGCCTCCCAAAGTGCTGGAATTACAGGCGTGAGCCACCATGCCCAGCTGAGTTGATTTTTTTTAATGGAGCAAATAGGAATACAGATGATAAGTAGCTTTGGTCAAAAATGGGATGGTAGCACGTGGACAACTGCAATTTGGGAAACACCCCATCACACGGGCATCCTGTGTGCACTGCACCTCCATGATTTTTTTTTTTTGGAGTCAGAAGAGTCTCACTCTGTCGCCCAGGCTGGAGTGCAGTAGCACCATCTTAGCTCACTGCAACCTCTGCCTCCTGGGTTCCAGCGATTTTCCTGCGTCAGCCTCCCGAGTAACTGGGATTACAGGTGCCCACTACCACACCTGGCTAATGTTTGTATTTTTAGTACAGATGGGATTTTGCCATGTTGGCCACGATGGTCTTGAAATCCTGACCTCAGATGACCCACCTGCCTCAGCCTCCCAAAGTGCTGGGATCATAGGTGTGAGCCACCGTGCCCAGCCTGAAGCTCTCTACATTAAACTGTGGCTTCATGAAAAGGGGAGGGGGAAAAGGAAGACAGGGAGAGGAAGGGTGATAAGATGAGAGAGAGAGACAAAAGGAGTGAATTAATTAAATACAGTGGGCCATTCTGCATACCATTCCACTAAATTAGGTACCCCAGAGTGAGCTTGAGGTGAAGGCTGAGAGAGTGTGATTTTCTTAGACTGCCTGAGTTCCACGTGCCCTTCTGAGGACAAGCATCCTGCCTCACAACTCTGGTTATAATGCTCCAGGGCTCGTATATATATTTTAGGACTCTGATGAGCATATTTTGCACATAAACCGCTTATAATATGTGGGGCATTATAATACATATTACATAAACAAAAATGCTGCACCCCAAGCGACACACAGTGTCTTGAATGGCATTTAAGGGATTTCCAAGAACAGTTTTAGCCATTCCTTGCTTGCCTTATGACCCTCATGTTAGACACTACTGTCCTTTCTCTCCAAACTATGGACGGCCACTAACAGTATTTCTTTTCCATTTTTCTCAGAGAGCACTGCAGTTGCCCTCATCACGTTTGAATCTCTTGGGGATATTCTGAATGCATCCTTTTTTAGTAAAAGAAAAGGGATGCAGGAAGTAAAACTGAACTCTCATGTTGTGAGTGGCAGCATCGGTTTGAAGGAAAAAGTGTCCCTGTCTGAACCTGTGTTCCTGACTTTTCACCATAATCAGGTGAGAAACACCCCGGGCTGGGTCTTCATGCAGCACCTTAAAGGGTGAGCAGGTGCGGACAGCTTCCCAAGTAGGAAACGGAATTCAGAAGTAAGAGAACACACAAGACATGCTGAGGCATCTTCAATGAGATTTTGCCTCACCATGGTGAGGATGGCTATTATCAAAAACCTAACATATCAGTATGTGGCCAAAAAAAAAAAAGGAACCCTTATGGATCTGTAATGGTACAGTCATTATGGAAAACAGTACAGAGGCTTCTCAAAAAGTTATAAACAGAATTATCATCTGTTCCAGCAGTTCCACTTCTGGGTATGTGGCCAAAAGAATTGAAATCAGGATCTCAAAGAGATAACTGCACTCCTATGTTTATTGCAGTAATATTCACACTAGCCGAGATATGGAAACAGCCTATGTATCTGTCAACAGATGAATGAAGATTTTTTTTTTTTTTTTTTTTTTTTTTAGACAGAGTCTCGCTCCGTCGGCCAGGCTGGAGTGCAGTGGTGCCATCTCGGCTCATTGCAACCTCCATCTCCCTGGCTGAAGCGATTCTCCTGCCTCAGCCTCCCGAGTGGCTGGGATCACAGGAGTGTGCCACTATGCCCAGCTAATTTTTATATTTTTAGTAGAGACAGGGTTTCACCATGTTGGCCAAGCTGGTCACGAACTCCTGACCTCAGGTAATCCGTCTGCCTCAGCCTCCCAAAGTGCTGGGATTACAGGTGTGAGACACCGTGCCTGGCCAATAGCTTTTTTTTTTTTTTTTTTTTTTAACAGACGGAGTCTCACTCTCACCCCAGGCTGAAGTGCAATGGCACGATCTCTGCTCACTGCAACCTCCGCCTCCTGAGTTCAAATGATTCTCCTGCCTCAGCCTCCAGAATAGCTGGGATTACAGACCCCTGCCATCATGCCTGGCTAATTTTTGTATTTTTAGTAGAGACGGGATTTCACCATGTTGGCCAGGCTGGTCTCAAACTCCTAACCTCAGGTGATCTGCCTGCCTCAGCCTCCCAAAGTGCTGGGATTACAGGCGTGAGCCACCATGCCCAGCCTAATGTACCACACTCAATGTAACTACACTTAATAAGTGTATACTTGAGATCTGCTGAGAGAGTGCATCACAAATGTATTCACCACATACACACACACACACACAAATATGTGAGGTGTTGGATATGTTAGCTTCATTGTGGTAATCATTTAAAACTGTATACATCTATCAGAATGTATAAACATAGTTTTTTGTGGGTTTTTTTTGTTATTTTGTTTTTCTGTTTTTTTTTTTGGTCAATCACACCTCAGTAAAGCTTGGGAAGAAATGAAATGTTGGGGCATCCAGAAATTGCCACAGTGAGATGCCATTCTCACGTTGAAGCCAAAAGGCAATGGAGGAGAAGCTTTACTGAGCTCAGTGGAAGCAGGAGGCAGGAATGAGGGATCGCTCTGCAGAAGATGGAGATGATTTAAAGTAGAAAGGGCACAGGGAAGAAATACTTTATTCCTCTCTCTTCTCTCACCCAAAGAGTCTCACCAGTGCCTCTCTTTGGTTCTATAAATAGCAGGGAAGCTGGCGAAGCCATTCAGAGGGTCAACACCAGGGTTCTGAGCTGACCAGAGAAGGGCAGAATAGATGGAGAATAAACCCACCGCAGGCGTGGTGGTGTGAAACTCTTCCCCTACAAGTGTATTTCCAATCCAGTTTCCAACACTGCATAGTGATTAACCTATAAAGTTGAAATAATAAGCTGGGCACGTTGGCTCATGCCTGTAATCCCAGCACTTTCGGAGGCCGAGGCGGGTGGATCACTTGAGGCCAGGAGTTCAAGACCAGCCTGGCCAACATGGTGAAACCCCATCTCTACTGAAAATACAAAAATTAGCCGGGCATGGTGGTGTGCACCAGTAGTCCCAGCTACTTGGGAGGCTGAGGCAGGATAATTGCTTGAACTTGGGAGGTGGAGGTTGCAGTGAGCTGAGATCGCACCACTGCACTCCAGCCTGGGCAATAGAGCAAGACTCTGTCTCAAAATAAAACAAAATAAAAAATAAAACCAGGAAGAGACCCACTTTCATACTCTTCTCTTTCCAGCCTGGTGACGAGAGAACAAAACATATCTGTGTCTACTGGGAGGGACTGGAGGGAGGCAGCTGGTCCACTGAGGGCTGCTCTCGTGTGTGCAGCAACGGCTCTTACACCAAATGCAAGTGCTTCCATCTGTCCAGCTTTGCCGTCCTCGTGGCTCTTGCCCCCAAGGTACCAAGATTAATTCCTGTGAACCTGTGTATGTCCCGGAAGCTATGAGTCATCCTCTGCATTTCTTACAAAAGGATTCTAAAGGTCACGCATGGTGTTTCACACCTGTAATCTCAGCACTTTGAGAGGCCAAGGTGGGTGGATCATTTGAGGTCAGGAGTTCGAGACCAGCCTGGCCAACATGATGAAAACCCGTCTCTACTAAAAATACAAAATTAGCTGGGCATGGTGGCGCACACCTGTAATCCCAGCTACTCAGGAGGCTGAGGGAGAAGAACTGAGTGAACCCAGGAAGCGGAGGTTGCAGTGAGCCAAGATTGTGCCACCGTACTCCAGCCTTGGTGACACAGCAAGACTCCATGTTAAAAAAAAAAAAAAAAAAAAAGAAAAGAAAAAAAAGAGATTCTAAGACAAAGAGTCAGATAGTAGTAGCTACTTGAAAGCGGATTACAGGAAACACTAGTGGGGGATTGAGACAATGAGATGGAAGTAAGACAGATGTCAGTGCAGACAGCATTATCAAGCCAGTTACCACCATAGGTAACTGGACTTTATTCCCTCTGGGGGACTCTGGGAGTCAGTGTAGAACTCACATCTCTGGGTCATTCTATCTGAGCTGCAAGGGAGCTGGGGTATTTATACGCCAACTCCCATTAGTCATTTGTTAAGAGCTATATCCAGCACTGGTCTAGTTGTTTCAGTTTTTAACATTCCTGTGTGATGAGTGTTATTACTGCCCTCATTTTGAAGATGAGAACACTAAGTCTCAGAGAGGTAAAGTCAATTGTTTCAGGGACTGAACAAGGAAGCCCATCTGACACTACCTCAGGAACATAACACCACCACTGGACACTATCATGGATTCCCCCTTTGGTGTTTTGCAGGAGGACCCTGTGCTGACTGTAATCACCCAGGTGGGACTGGCCATCTCTCTGCTGTGCCTCTTCCTGGCCATCCTCACCTTCCTCCTGTGCCGGCCCATCCAGAACACCAGCACCTCCCTCCACCTACAGTTCTCCCTCTGCCTCTTCCTGGCCCACCTCCTATTCCTGACGGGCATCAATAGAACTGAGCCTGAGGTAGGTAATTTACCCAAATTACCTCATGGTCATAATGAATCCAGCCATCTTGTCCCACAAGAAGATGGAGAGCAAGACATTAGTCAGCAGTGATGGTGTAGAGAGGAAAAGTATGAGCTCCATTTCAGTTGTCCTCCTATACAAAGGCCATTTAGCAAAGTGATTGAGTGTCAGGCTGATGGTATTAAATAGGGTAACATTAGTGGTTGTTAGGATCACCTCCAGAATGTCACAGGCTTGCCACAGTGGGAGTTATTTTTGCCTTATGTATCAGTAGAGGGTGAGCAAACAGGTCTGAAGAGTGTCTATCCTGCACCGTCAGGCTGAGGGAAGCTCTGTCATTTTTCCATACACAGCTCCCAAGGTCATCCTGGTGTTCTTCACATTTCAACCAACTGGGAGGGGGAAAAGAACATGGCTGAGTCCCACGGTGGGAGGTTAATATGTGCCACACCAGGAAGTGGTGCATATCACTTCCCCTCACACTCTATTGGCTAGGATTCAGTCACATGATAACACATAACTGCAAGGGCAGTTGGGAAATGTAGTCTCTGGGAAGCCACTTCCTCCTGACAAATCTATACTCTGGATTTGAGGGTGGGGAAGAGGCTTAAATTTTTGGTGGGCAGTGAGTTTGCTGCACTGATCTGCACTTGAATCACAGCTCTTCACGTTACTTGCTGTAAAACCTTGTTGAAGTGACTTCCCCTTTTAATTAATTTATTTACATCTATTTTTTAATCTGAAAAATACAAATTATATATATATTTTTTTCTGTACAGCATGTTTTGAAATATGTATACGTTGTAGAATGGCTCAAGTGATCTAATTAACATTTGCATTACCTCACACACTCAGCTTTGCTGTGTGTGTAGTTTTTTTTTTTGTTTTTTTTTTAATGGCGAGAATACTAACAACCTATTCTTTTAGTGGTTTTTGAGAATACATACGTTGCTACCATGTAACTATGATCACCATGTTTTACAATAGAGCTCTTGTGGCTTCCCCTTTTTAAACTTCCTCTGCAAAACAGGGGCCTAGTCGTAGGATTTAGTAAGAATTTAGCAAGATAAAACATATAAAAGATTATGAATTAATCACTCAGAGAACAGTGTTCATCTTTGTCTTTATCATGATCATGGCCATCATATGATCCTGGAAGATTTAAAGCTAGACGGTTCTCTAAGTCTTCTGTTAACCCTAAAACGCTATGATCACACAGCTAGAAAGTTACAAAAGCATTCTGTTGATTTTTAAATTTTTTTCTTCCTGACAAATAGTATAGTTTTATGGTTAAGAGTAAGTATATTTTCTGGAGATAGTTTAGGTTCAAATCCAATTTTATTTTTTATCAGCTGTGAGATTTGGGGGCCAGATTTTAACCTCTTGGTGTTTCATTTGAAAATAGGCAGAGGTTGGGAAAACACAGTCCTCAGGCCAAATCTGGCCCGCCTTCTGTTTTTGTAAATTAAGTTTTATTAAAACACAGCCTCATCTATTCATTTACATATTGTCTGTGGTTGCTTTTGTGCTACAATGGTAGAATAGTGTAGTTGCAATAGAGATTCAACCGCAAAACTTAAAATCTGGCCCTTAAAAATTTTTTTTTTGCCGGGCGCCGTGGCTCACGCCTGTAATCCCAGCACTTTGGGAGGCCGAGACGGGCAGATCACGAGGTCAAGAGATTGAGACCATCCTGGTTAACACGGTGAAACCCCGTCTCTACTAAAAATACAAAAAATTAGCTGGGCGTGGTGGTGGTCGCCTGTAGCCCCAGCTACTCCGGAGGCTGAGTCAGGAGGATGGCGTGAACCCGGGAGGCAGAGCTTGCAGGGAGCCGAGATTGCGCCACTGAACTCCAGCCTGGGTGACTGAGCAAAACTCCGTCTCAAAAAAAAAAATTTTTTTTTTGTCTCACAGTAGTGAGGTAATAATATGAGTTGAGTTAATACTTACAAAGCAATTTGATCAGTGTTCACCCTTAGTTAAGCGCTCAGAAGGTACTAATTACTTCTCTGATAAAATTTTCAAATAATGTTTTTAAAATCTGTAAAAATAATATTGTGGTTAAGATGGAGTTGACTTAGTCATCTTGAAAATATATGCTTTTATATAATGCTCTAAAATCCTACCTCTTATTTTATTTATTTATTTATTTATTTATTTATTCATTTGATGGATATTCTTAAAATACCTACTGTGTGTCAGGCATTGTGCTGAGAATACATTAATAATTAGGTGAACTACCTCAATTACTTTCCCCATAGAGTTCACAGCTTAGAAACATGTGCTGAGGTTGGGTGTGGTGGCTCACACCTAATCCCAGCACTTTGGGAGGCCGAGGCAGGTGGATCACCTGAGGTCCGGAATTTGAGACCAGCCTGGCTAACATGGTGAAACCCCACCTCTACTAAAAATACAAAATATTAGCCAGGCGTGGTGGTGGACGCCTGTAATCCCAGCTACTCGGGAGGCTGAGGCAGGAGAATGGCTTGAACTGGGGAGGTGGAGCTTGCAGTGAGCTGAGTTTGCACCACTGCACTCCAGCCTGGGCAATAGAGCGAGACTCCATCTCAAAAAAAAAAAAAAGAAGTGGCCACAGATAAAAGTAAATGAATATGTGTGGCCATGTGGTAATAAAACTTTACTTACAAAAATAGATACTGGGCCAGAACTGGCCCAAAGCCACAGATTTCCTAACCCTGCTCAAGGCAGCAATGGAAAGGACTTCAAGCTGGGAATGACAGAAAACACTTCTCAGGTCAACAAAAGTTGAAGGTAAAAGTAACTGGAGTGAGAGGAAACTAGCAGCAGAAAGAACAGCAATAGGGCTATGAAGAGTCTGAGTGGGAGTTACTAAAAATATGGGCCAGGTGCAGTGGCTCACACCTGTAATCCCAGCACTTTGGGAGGCCGAGGTGGGTGAAGAACTAGATCAGGAGTTCAAGACCAGCCTGGCCAACATAGTGAAACCCCGTCTCTACTAAAAATACAAAAAATTAGCCAGGTGTGGTGGTGGCGGGCACCTGTACTCCCAGCTACTCGGGAGGCTGAGGCAGGAGAATTACTTGAACCCAGGAGGCGAGGGTTGCAGTGAGCAGAGAGTGCGCCACTGTACTTCAGCCTGGGTGACAGGGAGACTCCATTTCAAAAAATAAAATAAAATAAAATAAAATAATAAAAATATGAACCCTGCTAGAGGAAGTGGGCCAGATTTTAGAAATATTTGTAAGGGGAGTTGGTCAGACTTGAGGCCCAAACAGATGTGGAAGTGGTACATGTGCGAGAAAGCAGAAATAAGGATGAATTAGAGGTTTCCCATTTGGGAGGTTGGGTAGATGGATGGTGAGAGAGAGGAACAGACTTGAAGCAAGAAGTAGAATGAATTCTGTTTTAAATCTGTTAGTTAGAGGTGCTGGTCAGACACTGGAATTGAGACATACAATAGAAAATTGGACATAGGAATTTTGAGCCCTGGAGAGATTAGAGCATGAGAAAGGGATATTGGAGTTTTCTACATGAAGGAGACACTTCAAGCTGCAGAAATAATGATGAGAGGTATGTAAAATGGATTAAGAATAAAGCTCTGTGGAGGAGGAAGAAGGGGGTAGAGGGAGAAGGAGGAGGAAGAGGAAGGGGGGACGTTGGGACAGGAGGAGGAGGAGAACTCTGCACATAGTCTGTCCATAATCCTCTCCGAGTCCTTGAAGCCGTGGTCTCAGAATGGAGGCCACCCTGTAAGGAGGGTCTTCACAGGTACCAGGCCCTCTGCAAACACATATGAGGTAGGGACCACCAGGATGTAGGAGCCACAATCTCCACATTCCAGGTGGGGACTTAGAAGTCACACCAGCCTAGTCCACCTTTTAATTGCCAACTATACTTCAAACCAGTCCTTCCTTAAGCCTGAATTCTATTTTCTCTTGAAAATCCCTAGAGCAGTGGTTCTCAGCATCTTTGAGGTTGGATCCCTTTGAGAATTTTGTTGAACGCTAAAGCCCTTTTTCCCAGACAAATGGACATATACACAAAAGTTTGAATAAAACTTCAGTTAATTCAGGGACAGGAAAAGCAAATTCAGGCCAGGTGCGGTGGCTCACGCCTGTAATCTAAAGATTCAGAGGAGGAAGATACACGAGATACCTGAGAAGACTCAAAGATAAGCAGGTGAGAATTCCTGGATAGATGAGTGTCCAGGACATCGAAGGACATGAAGTGTCAACTAGGTTGATCCGCCAAGTAGGTGGACAGGCGCGGTGGCTCATGCCTGTAATCCCAGCACTTTGAGAGGCCAATGCTGGTGGATCACGAGGTCAGGAGTTCCAGACCAGCCTGGCCAACATGGTGAAACTCCGTCTTTACTAAAAATACAAAAATTAGCAGAGTGCGGTGGCACACACCTGTAATCCCAGCTACTCAGGAGACTGAGGCAGGAGAATCGCTTGAACCTGGGAGGCGGAGGTTGCAGTGAGCCGAGATCATGCCACTATACTCTAGCCTGGGCAACAGAGCAAGACTCCATCTCAAAAACAAACAAACAAACAAACAAACCCAGAAATGCAAGTAGAGAGACTGCTGGATTTGTTAGTTAGGAGGTTATGTTAGTCAGGGTTTCTGGAGACACAGAAATAGTAGGATGTGTGTATATTACTTGATTGGATTTACCTGCTTCATTGCATGCCTGCTAATTTTTGTTTGAATGCCATTCTTGGTGAATTTTAAATTATGAGCGCTGTATCTTTTTAAAAAATTCTTTAAACATTTTTAGGCTTTTGAGGGGACATAATGAAGTGACTTGGAAACAGTTTGATACATTCAAGTCTTGATGCTAAGATTGGATAGCGTGGTCACAGAATTCTCTTTCGTCTAGGGCTCATTTGGCCCCATTCATGATATAATACTCTCCTGATAATTTTACCTGAAATTCTGGATGTTAAGAGAGTCTACATACAGAGAGCCTGTTTACAGAAAATCTGCTCTAACATACAGGGAATCTGTATATTAAACTTCCCTAACACACAGAACTTCAGGTAAAATTGGGTAATAGGAACAAACCATTTGGATAATAGGAACAAACTATTTCCAGTCCTGTGTGAACTCAGAAGGTGTTCTGCCTACTCCTTCTTAGGAGTATTTTCCTAGTTTTGGTCAGTCTCTTTGCAAGCATTTGCTGATAAGTAACCAGACCCTCTGCCGGTCTCTCCGCTTCCCCACTTCCCATCCCCACTGTTGCTCCCTACCCCGTGGTATTTGGCCTCAAAAATTCCTTTTCTTTCTTTCTTTCTTTCTTTCTTTCTTTCTTTCTTTCTTTCTTTCTTTCTTTCTTTCTTTCTTTCTTTCTTTCTTTCTTTCTTTCTTTCTTTCTTTCTTTCTTTCTTTCTTTCTTTCTTTCTGTCTCTCTCTCTCTCTTTCTTTCTTTCTTTCTTTTCTGAGATAAAGTTTTGTTCTTGTTGCCCAGGCTAGAGTGCAATGACACAGCCTCCGCTCACTGTAACCTCCACCTCCCGGGTTCAAGTGATTCTCCTGCCTCAGTCTCCCAAGTAGTTGGCATTACACATACCTGCCTCTATATCCAGCTAATTTTTTTTTTATTGTATTTTTAGTAGCAACAGGGTTTCACCATGTTGGCCAGGCTGGTCTCGAACTCCTGACCTCAGGTGATCCACCTGCCTCGGCCTCCCAAAGTGCTGGGATTACAGGCGTGAGCCACTGTCCCCCACCGACAGGGAAGATTTCTACTAAGGACCGTGAGGGAGAATCTATTCCATGCCTGTCCTCTAGATTCTGGTGTTTTTCTGGCAATCTTTGGCATTCTTCAGCTTGTAGAAGCATCACCTCCATCTCTGGCTTTGTCTTCATTCAATGTTTTTCTTGTGTATGTGTCTGTGTTTGATTCTCTCCTTTTCTAGAAGGATATCAACCATGTTGGATTAGGAGCTCACCCTGGTTTAGTATGACCTGCTCTTAAGTAATTATATCTGCAAGACCATTTTTCCAAATAAGCTCACATTCTGAGATATTGGGGGTTAGGACTTCAATATATGAATCTGGGGAGGGAAGACAAAATTCAATGCTTAACAGTCTTCTTTTTTTTTTTTTTTTTTTTTTTGAGACAGAGTCATGCTCTGTCACTCAGGCTGGAGTGCAGTGGTGTGATCTCAACTCACTGCAACCTCCACCTCCAGGGTTCAAGTGATTCTCCTGCCTCAGTCCCCTGAGCAACTGGAATTACAGGCACCCGCCACCACGTCTGGCTAATTTTTAAAATATTTTTAGTAGAGACGGAGTTTCACCATGAGCAACAAGAGCGAAACTCTTGTTTCACTCTGACCTCGTGATCCACCCGCCTCGGCCTCCCAAAGTGCTGGGATTACAGGCGTGAGCCACTGCACCCAGCTGTCTCCTCATACTTTGCACTTTATTTCCTCAATTCAGCAAGACTGCTGGACTTTTGGGGCATTACTTCTCCCTGAAGAATGACCCGTAGACTCTCTTCAGGTAGTGAGTAGATGACCTGAGAAAGTTAACTCATTTTTTCCTCCTTTTTTTTGAGATGGAGTTTCGCTCTTGTTGTCCAGGCTGGGGTGCAATGGCGCGATCTTGGCTTACTGCAACCTCTGCCTCCTGGGTTCAAGCTATTCTCCTGCCTCAGCCTCCAGAATAGCTGGGATTATAAGCATAAGCCACCATGCCCAACTAATTTTGTATTTTTAGTAGAGATGGGGTTTCTCCATGTTGGTCAGGCTGGTCTCGAACTCCTTACCTCAGGTGATCTGCCCGTCTGGGCCTCCCAAAGTGCTGGGATTATAAGCATGAGCCACTGTGCTCCGCCTTTCCCTCCTTTTAGAGATCACGGTAAACATAAGTACTCAATGCCTATTCTCCAATATCTGTAATTCATAATGTCACACATGTCATTTAGCATTTAGTTTTTTAATATGGGAGGGTAAATCCCATCCTCATTATGTTATCACGATTAGAAATGGAAGCTTATTCCGCACATGGAATGGAAAATTTTGTGTCTGGGAACACATCTAGAGAATTATGAGAAATCATGAAGCATGACTTCTATAAAAGTATATTCATTTGCTTTGGCTGCCATAACAAGGTACCACAAACAGGGTGATTTAAACAATGGAAATTAATTTTCTCATAATTCTGGAGGCTCATGGTCTGAGATCAATATGTCAGCAGGATTGGCTTTTTTTGAGGTCCTTTTCCTTGGCTTGTTGATGGCCATCTTCTCCCTGTGTTCTCACTTGGTCATCCCTTTGCATGTGTCTGCACTCTAATCTCCTATTTTTAAATTTTTATTTATTATTATTTTTAAGATGGAGTTTCACTCTTGTTGCCCGGGCTATGGTGCAATCTCAGCTCACTGCAATCTCCACCTCCCGGGTTCAAGCGATTCTCCTGCTTCAGCCTCCCTAGTAGCTTGGATTACAGGCATGTGCCACCACGCCCAGCTAATTTTTGTATTTTTAGTAGAGACGGGGTTTCTCCATGTTGGTCAGGCTGGTCTTGAACTCCCAACCTCAAATGATCCATCCTCCTCTATGTACATCGAAAAATAGGAGATTTTTAGATGTACATAACTCGTATTGGATTAGGGCCCACATATCTGAACTTATTTTAACTTAATGATCTCTTGGAGAGCCCTGTCTCCAAGTACACTCACCTTCTGTGATACTGGGGATTAGAACATCAGCACATGATTTTTTTTTTTTTTTTTTTTTTGAGATGGAATCTCGCTCTTTTCATGCAGGCTGGAGTGCAATGGCGCAATCTCAGCTCACTGCAACCTCCGCCTCCTCCCAGGTTCAAGCGATTGTCCTGCCTCAGCCTCCCGAGTAGCTGGGATTACAAGCATGCGCCACTACACCTGGCTAATTTTTGTATTTTTAGTAGAGATGAGGTTTTACCATGTTGGCCAGGCTGGTCTCAAACTCCTGACCTCAGGTGATCCACCCGCCTCGGCCTCCCAAAATGCTGGGGATTACAGGCGTGAGCCACCGCACCTAGCCAATAGATGTGTTTTTAAGAGTTTCCCCTGTGGACATTTGGAGCTCAATTCCACCGAGGATCCCCAGGGGGCAGTGTAGAGAACATGTCTTAGATATTAGTGGATTCTACCAATTTTTGTTTATTATACATTTGGGGGCTGTTCCCACGACATGTATTCCTTGGGTTTCTACCCTGCTCTATGCATGATGTAAACAGACTTCAATAAGTAGCAGAAGTCCTCAGAAAATGTTTAGCCCCCAGGCAAAATGTTATAGATGCTCAAATAGAAATTCCAGGCAGCATCCAGGAAATGCTACGTGCTGAGCATATAATCAGGTACAGACCACATCTGCTGTACACCCCTGACTCTTCTGTTCCCTTCAGGTGCTGTGCTCCCTCATCGCAGGGCTGCTGCACTTCCTCTACCTGGCTTGCTTCACCTGGATGCTCCTGGAAGGGCTGCACCTCTTCCTCACCGTCAGGAACCTCAGGGTGGCCAACTACACCAGCATGGGCAGATTCAAGAAGAGGTTCATGTACCCTGTAGGCTACGGGATCCCAGCTGTGATTATTGCTGTGTCTGCAATAGTTGGACCCCAGAATTATGGAACATTTACTCAGTAAGCATAATGCGTGTCTTTATGATGGTGGTAGCAATGGCCATGGCTCCTGCGTGACTAAAATCAAAATGTTTTCTTAGTCCATCTTTTCTTTTCTTTTTTTTTTTTTTTGAGATGGAGTTTTGCTCTGGTTGCCCAGGCTGGAGTGCAATGGTGAGGTCTTGGCTCACTGCAACCTCCATCTCCTGGATTCAAGTTATTCTCCTGCCTCAGTTTCCCAAGTAGCTGGGACTACAGGTGCCTGCCACCATGCCTGGCTTATTTTTGTATTTTTAGTGGAGACGAGGTTTCACCATGTTGACTAGGCTGGTCTCGAACTCCTGACCTCAGGCGATCCACATACCTCAGCCTCCCAAGGTGCTGGGATTATAGGCATGAACCTTCACACTCAGCCCTTAGTCCATCTTTTAATTGCCAATTATACTTCAAACCAGTCCTTTCTTAAGCCTGTTTTCTCTTGAAAATCCCTAGAGCAGTGGTTCTCAGCATCTTTGAGGTTGGATCCTTTTGAGAATTTTGTTGAAAGTCAAAGCCCCTTTCCTCAGACAAATGTACATATAAACAACATTTTGAATACAACTTCAGTTAATTCTGAGACAGGAATGGCAGATTCCGGCCAGGCACAGTGACTCACACCTGTAATCCCAGCACTTTGGGAGGCCGAGGTGGGCGGATCACCTGAGGTCAGGAGTTCAAGACCAGCCTGGCCAACATGGTGAAACCGCGACTCTACTAAAAATACAAAAAATTAGCTGGGCGTGGTGGTGGATGCCTGTAATCCCAGCTACTCAGGAGGCTAAGGCAGGAGAATCACTTGAACCCAGGAGGCGGAGGTTGCAGTGAGCTGAGATTGTACCATGGCACTCCAGCCTGGACAACAAGAGCAAAACTTGGTGTCAAAAGGAAAGAAAAAAAAGCAAATTCAGAGCCCCACATTAAGCACCCATGAGCTACATGTTCTCCTGGATTCTGAAAGAGTAGGTGGAATGGGCTGAGATGAATCTCCAAGATGTCAAGAATAACACCAATATTAAAAGTATCAAAGCCCTGTGGTGCATCAAAAATGGTGCTTCCTCTCTGCAGCAGCTCATGCCATTCTCACCATGACCCTATGATGTCAGCAGTTTATTTTCTTACTTACGGGACACCTGGGCTTGAGTGCATTTCATAAACTTTTCCAAGGTCAGAGCTGCAAGGTGAGTACGTCAGAATTTTCAAGGCAATACTCTGAATAGCCATGTTTTATTGCTTCACTAAAGAAGCTTGCAAAACTCAACACACAACCGTTAGTTGAAGTAGTTAATACTTTGTTAATGGTGCTTGGGTTAGGAAGTAGGTTGTGCATACACTAAAACATCATGTATGTTGTTTTATCATGTATGCAGTCCCTCTCTTTTTTTTTTTTTTGCAATGGAGTCTTGCTCACCTGTGCAGTGGCGTGATCTCGGCTCACTGCAGCCACTATCTCCTGGGTTCAAAGAATTCTCCCGTCTCAGCCTCCTGACTAGCTGGGATTACAGGCACCCGCTATCATGCCCGGCTAATTTTTGTATTTTTTAGTGGAGACAGGGTTTCACCATGTTGGCCAGGCTGGTCTTGAACTCCAGACCTCAGGTGATCTGCCTGCCTCGGCCTCCCAATGTTGTCCCTCTTAAAGTCAAAGAGGTGCTTTGTTTTCAGCTTGAACTCTATATCCTGCCAGAATGGTGGAGATAGAATGGTGGAGGAGTTGACCAACATTTTCTTTTTTTTACAATTTTAGGTACTCCCTTCTGATATTTTTCTATTATGGGAGATGGAAATTTGGTGTGTGTGTTCTTTTAAAATGATACTTTAAGTTCTAGGGTACATGTGCATAATGTGCAGGTTTGTTACATATGTATACATGTGCCATGTTGGTGTGCTGCACCCATTAACTCGTTAATTACATTAGGTATATCTCCTAATGCTATCCCTCCCCTGTCCTCCCTCCCCACAATAGGCCCCGGTGTGTGATGTTCCCCACCCTATGTCCAAGTGTTCTCATTGTTCAATTCCCACCTATGAGTGAGAACACACGGTGTTTGGTTTTCTGTCCTTGCAGTAGTTTGCTCAGAATGATGGTTTCCAGCTTCATCCATGTCCTTACAAAGGACATTAACTCATTCCTTTTTATGGCTGCATAGTATTCCATGGTGTATATGTGCCACGTTTCCTTAATCCAGTCTATCACTGATGGACATTTGGGTTGCCATTGTGGAAGACAGTGTGGTGATTCCTCAAGGATCTAGAACTAGAAATACCATTTGACCCAGCCATCCCATTACTGGTTATATACCCAAAGGATTATAAATCATGCTGATATAAAAACACATGCACACATATGTTTTATTGTGGCACTATTCACTATAGCAAAGACTTGGAACCAACATTTTCAATGAAAGTCCAGATAGTAAATATGTTTGGCTTTGCTGGCCACAGGGTCTCTGAGGTGACTACTCAATGTTACCCATGTAGTGTGAAAGCAGCATGGACAATATGTAGCTGAATGAGTATGATTGTCTTTCAGTAAAACTTATGAAAGCAAGTAGTGGGCTGGATCTGATCCATGGGCCATAGTTGGCGACCCTTCGGATAGAACTTAAATTTGGAAGCTTTTCTGCCTACTGAATGTTGGAGATTCAGGCTGTCAGCTTCCATTTAAAAATAAGGTATGCCACTTTGGGAGGCCGAGACGGGCGGATCACGAGGAGATTGAGACCATCCTGGCTAACCCGGTGAAACCCCGTCTCTACTAAAAAATACAAAAAACTAGCCAGGCGACATGGCGGGCGCCTGTAGTCCCAGCTACTCGGGAGGCTGAGGCAGGAGAACGGCGGGAACCTGGGAGGCGGAGCTTGCAGTGAGCCGAGATCGCGCCACTGCACTCCAGCCTGGGCGACAGAGCGAGACTCCGTCTCAAAAAAAAAAAAAAAAAAAAAAAAGAAAGGTATGCTACCTTTGCCATCATAAGCCAAGAAAGAATACACATTGTTTGGACAACAGAGTACCTGATGCATGGAATATGCTTTATTAGAGTTAGTTTTTATAGCTGTAGTTAAGTTATTGTTTTTACTCTCTCAATATAACAATCATTATCAACTTGCTAACTACATTTATTACCATTAACTCATTGCTAGGAACTGTAGTCAAAAACTTTAAGCACATTATCTTCTTTAATCTTTCCTACAAGTTCTATATGAAAGCAGTGACAAAATTCTGATGAAAAAAAATCAAAGGATATCCAAATAGATATTCTATGTTCATGGATAAGAAGACTCAACGTTATCAAGATGGCAGTTCTTCCCAACTTGATCTATAGATCCAACACATTCCAAATCAAAATCCCAGAAAATTATTTTGTGGATATTGACAAACTGATTCTGAAGTTTAGATAAAGGAGGCAAAAAAACCTAGAATGGCCAACACTGTTTAGAAGGAGAACAACGAAGACAGAGAACTGACATTCCCTGACTTCAAGCCTCAGTAGAGAGCTACAGTCATCATTTAATCTTTCCAGTACTTTGATCAGCTCTATTATACACTTGAAAAAACTCAGCCTCAGAGCATGCATCTGCGTCAAATGAGAACTCACATCTGACTCCATCTAAAATTCAGGATTCTGAGCGAAGCAACTCCTGGCCCTGTTCAGATCTTGCACCAGGAGCCTGTATTCAAGGTCTCTGCCTTCTCCCAGGGAAGAGGCAGCTAATGCTTCTCTCTCTCAACAGCTGTTGGCTCAAGCCTGATAAAGGATTCATCTGGAGCTTCACGGGGCCAGTGGCAGTCATTATCTTGGTAGGTGATAATTATTTATGGGTGTGCCCGCCTTGGGTTGACCAAGCATGTAAAATGTTTTTCTTATCTAAGGGGAAATGAGATGAAGATAAGAAATACAGCCTAATGTGATCAATCCCTCTTCCCGAAAGTACTGTCTTCACTTTTCTTTCCTTGGATTCCCCCTGGCTCGCTTGTTGCTTTGATGTAATAATATCATCTCTCCTGGGACTTCTTTTTCAAAATGCTGTTATTCATTCATTCAACAAATATTTAATGGTTGGCCTCTCTACACAGGGCGACATGGTTTCCTGTTTGCCAGAAACTTTCTGATGACACCTGTTCCCTGGTAGAGACATTAATAGCACCCTTCCACTTTCAAAGTGTCCTGGTTTGAATGATAAATTGTATCGTCACCGAATCAAGCACCAAATGCTACAGGGCATATGCTGTGTGTTGCACATAATGGACCAGAACATATGTGTGTACCATCTTTATAAAACCTGTGTCTTTTGGGAAAAGATTCTTAGGTCCCCCTGAAATTATATGACTGTATAAAATGACTCCAAAAGAAAATTCCAAGTCACTTTTTTCATGCGGTTCCCACAGATCAACCTGGTGTTCTACTTCCAAATTCTGTGGATTTTGAGAAGCAAACTTTCCTCCCTCAATAAAGAAGTTTCCACCATTCAGGATACCAGGTAAGAGGGCATCAGAATCAGTGGTACCCACACGTTATTCCTACATGATCACTCTTTTGGGAAAAAAAGAACCCACGCAGAAATATGATATAAATTACCCTGGTATACGATAAAGGGTATGTGAAGGACAACTTATAGAAGAAATAGAAACTCTGATTTTCAGGTAACTTCATTTCCTTATTCAGTAAATATTCATGCTGAGTGCAGTGACTCACACTTGTAATCCCAGCACTTAGGGAGGCTGAGGTGACAAGACTGTTTGAGTCTAGTTGCTCAAGACCAGCAGGGCAACATATTGAGACCCCTGTCTCTACAACAAAGTTACAAAATTGGCTGTGCATAGTGGCGTGTGTCTGCAGTCCCAGCTATTTGGGAGGCTGCAAAAGGAGAATCACTTGATCCAGGGAGGTTGAGGCTGCAGTGAGCTATGATCACGTCACTGTACTCCATCCTGGGCAACAGAGCAAGACTTTCTCAAAAAAAAAAAAGTAAAAGAAACATTCATCAAGTGCCTCCTTTGTATAACATACTCTTCCAAGAGTATCAACATCCTCCTCCCACTCCACCAAGAGCCCATATACCTCTGGACTCTGTTTTCTTTCTTTTTCTTTTTTTTTTTTCTTTTTCTTTTTTTTTTTTTTTTTTTTGAGACTGAGTGTCACTCTGTCATCTAGGCTGGAGTCCAGTGGCACGATCTTGGCTCACTGCAACCTCCATCTCCCGGGTTCAAGCAATTCTCCTGTCTCAGCCTCCTGAGTAGCTGGGACTACAGGTGCACGCCACCACCCCCGGCTAATTTTTGTATTTTTAGTAGAGATGGGGTTTTACCATGTTGGTCAGGCTGGTCTCGAACTCCTGACCTCAGACGATCCACCTGCCTCAGCCTCCCAAAGTGCTGAGATTACAGGCATGAGCCACCGCACCTGACCTGGACTCCATTTCTTTGGTTGTAGTAACTCAATTCTCATGGGTACCAATCTACGCTATTAAAAATAATGATGACAAAAACTAATGTTCAATAGAATCTTGATAGATGCTGGACATTTATCAATATTATTTCATGGCATGCTAATACTTTCAACCTATGGGGTGAATGCTACTAATACCCTCATTGATAATATGAGCCCACAGCTCACCTTACCCAAGGGTGGGTAAGGATCTTGCCTTGGTGAGTCATATGTATGAAAATTAAAAGGACTATCTGTCTAATTTCAAGCCCTGTCTCTAGTCTCCTCTACTTAGTAAACCAGTCTGACATTTCTTAGCCTTGGTTTCCTCAATTATTGAGGGTCAAAGTGCCACCCTCCTTGGTGGTTCCCCATCCCCCTATTTCTCAATTCCTTATCCTCTAAGGGCTCACTTCTTCCTTAGAACTGCAAGCAGCAAGCTCCATGTCTGACCTCATCCCCAGCAGCCATGCCCTGTTACCAACCTCTTCCTCTTGCTGGTGAATAGAGTTATCCCGTTGTGCTACACTAGGTTAATGTCATACTTTGGGGTAGAGATTAACTATCTCATCTATTTCCTAAGTAATAAATCCGAGGTTAACACTGACATGGTGGAAACATCGTGCTCTTTCAATAGGAAGGACTTGGATTCTAGAAATTTCAAACATCATGGCAGGAAGGGGAGGCTGGATAAGAGGAGTTGAGAGACTTGTTCCAGATCTGTTAGAAGCCCCCAACCACTTGAGTCCCTTTGCCTCCTAAGCTCCAGAATAAACCATAGTGCTATCGAATCCCATAACTGGCCAGGCACAGTGGTTCACGTCTGTAATCCCAGCACTTTGGGAAGCTGAGGCGGGTGGACCATAAGGTCAAGAGATCGAGACCATCGTGGTCAACATGGCAAAACCCCGTCTTTACTAAAAATACAAAAATTAGCTGGGCGTGGTGGCGGGCACCTGTAGTCCCAGCTACTCAGGAGGCTGAGGCAGGAGAATCGCTTGAACCTGGGAGGCGGAGGTTGCAGTGAGCCGAGATTGCACCACTGCTCTCCAGCTTGGGCAACAGAGCAAGACTCCATCTCAAAAAGAAACAAAAATCACGTATTTATGACTCCCTTTGCCTGCACCTTGGCTCTGTCCTCTTCTCCCTGCAGACTGACTACCCACAGCTGATGAACAGGGCGGAGCCACCCCAAAGGGGTCTCACAGATTCATTCTCCAAGCCTCTTACTTCAAATGCTTAAGACAGAAAATCTGGTTGGCTGGGGGGAAAATGCATTGATTGACTTCTTACAGGTCAGGTGTCTACTCTGGGGTAACTGGCTATGGTCAGTGGGGATGAAGCCATATGGTACCCTTTAGGTCAAAGAGAAAGTTGTCATGGGAGAATCCTGATATACCAGTGATTATGCTGTCTCCTAAATGTAGACATAGGTAGGTTTTCTGTCATTTCTATAAGTATATATCTTTCTGTAAGCGGAAATGGAAGGAGGACTGGATATAAGAAAAATCACCAAGCTAGATTGCAGTTGTGGAAAACCTAGGAACCAAATCAGGAGCAGGAAGGACTGATTAGCACGTTTATCACAAACCATAATATGTATTGAGTATTTACTTTGTGCTAGGCATTGTTCTAAGGACTGGAATTAAAGCAGTGAGTAAAACAGACCAAAATCCCTGCCCTCGTAGAGTTTATATTCCCAGGGGGTAATGCAAAAAGTAAAAAGTGAAGTCTCATACACACACACACACACACACTGTCACACACACTCATTAGCTCTCCCAGCCAGCTGCCATCAACAATCCCACTCCATTATATGAAACACAATATTTTTTGTGTGAAGAAACTCAACATTATGTTATGTTCTAAAGTCAGGAATTCACCATTCTTCAAATTTTTAAATACAGATTTCTAGAAGGCATTTTCCCATAAATCTTCCAAAAAGTCTAGGCAGAAGACATGCAGATAAATCAAATTATTTTCAATGGTGGGGAAAAAGCACTATTCTCAGTGATTTGCCATGATTGAAACCATGGGTTCCACTTCATCCTCAAGCTGTGTGACCTTGTTGTATATGTCACTTAACTGCATGAAGCTGTTGTGAGGTTTAAATAAGGGAAAGCATTTAGTTAGCACTAATGTTAACTACACTTGTGGTGAATACCTGGTAAACCGTAGTTATTATTACTTTTATTCCCTGCAGAGTCATGACATTTAAAGCCATTGCTCAGCTATTTATCCTGGGCTGTTCTTGGGGCCTTGGTCTTTTTATGGTTGAAGAAGTAGGGAAGACGATTGGATCAATCTTTGCATACTCATTCACCATCATCAACACTCTTCAGGGAGCATTGCTGTTTGTGGTACACTGTCTCCTTAATCGCCAGGTAAGGCAACTTATTTTGTCTGTCATCAGCCTAGTCCCAAAGTCTAATTGAATGGTTGTTCACATTCTCACTCTTCTCTGACCTTTTATAATTGTATTTTGGGGTCTTCTTGGTTTGAAGATGAGGGTTTAGGTGTTGCTGGGGTATGCTATATCCTGTGGGTTTCATCTGTTTGGCATCATATCTCTGAAGAGCATGGATCAGTCAGGATAAGATGGACTATGCTGCAATAACAAATAGCCCCTTGCCTCCCACACTCAGTCTTAGCAACTTACAACAATAAATGTTTATTTCTTGCTTGTGCTACATAAGTACATCATCTTTCCTCTGGGGTGCAGGCTGAAGGTGTGACCTCTTTAGAACATTGATGGTTTCATGGCACAGGAAAAGGAGATTGTGGGAAAGCACAGCTTAGCTCTCTTAAAGCTTCTACCTAGTAGTGATGCACCTCTGTTCTGCTCTCGTTTAATTGGCCAAAGCGAGTCACATGGCCATACCTCAGTTCACCAAGAAGGGGATGAATAATCCTCCTGTAGTGAGGAGCACTACAGGAAGTGATGCTGAAATATGTGGTATAATCTACCATAAACTCAAAGAGACTTCAAGTCTAATCCCAGTTCCTCCACTGAGTATGTGGCTGTGTGACTCTGGGTAAACTTCCTATCCTTTCTGAGCATCATCTGTAGTTTTCTCATCTGCAAATGTGGTGATGCCTTCATTACAGGGTTGAATATTTAAATGAATCAGTGCAATCTCCTAGCATAGTCCTTAGTACACATTAAGATCTCAGTGAGTGTCGTTATTTCAATTTTACTCTCCATAGAAAATTAGGACCAGTTCTCCTGTCATTTTCCCTTTGCTGTTGAATAAAACTACAAGCAGTTAAAACGCTAGTGGCAAAATGCTATCTTAACATGTCATTAATTTCTCTTCAATCTTTTAGTGCCTTAATGCTTGATACTTCTCACTCACAGAAGAAGTAAAATCAGTTTTAGCATGTCAAGGAGGTTAGAGGAAGGCAATTCTTGGAATCATGGAGGATGGGTGAGTGTAATGGCTAGCGTCAGGGCTCTGAATAAAGATGACAAGGTTTTGAGTCCTGGCTGTGTGACCTTGGGCATGTCAATTTACCTGCAAGAGTCTCAACTTCTTCATCTTTAATTGTGGGTAGGAGAAATGTCTTTCTCACTCCATTTATGTAAGAATTAAATGATATATTGCATATACAGTGTATTGAATATAGCTAGTGTTCAACAAATGGTGACCTTCACCATCATATAATCACCAACACTCCCACCATTATCATCTAACCATCATCACAATAGTCACTTTTATCATTACCACCTTATCATCTTTATCATAATCACCTTCACCATCACCACCTTCATTACCTTTATCACACCTTCATCATCTTTACTATTATCACCATCACCATCATCACCATTACCATAACCTTTAATTCACCCTTATCATCATCACTAGCATCACCACCACCTTTACCATCACTTTCACCATCATCACCTACATCACCATCTTCATGATCATCACCATCATCACCATTACCATCACCTTCATCATCACCTTCACATTACTTTCATCAACATCACTATCACCACCGTCACCATGACCTTCATCATCACCTTCACTACCATCACCTTCATCATCACCATCATCACCTTCATCATGATCATTTTCATCATCATCACCATCATCACCGTTACTTTTACCATTGTCCGTTCCATTATCATCAACTTCATCATCATCACCTTCACCATCATCATCACTATCACCTTCATTATCATCATCTTCATTATCATCACCCTCACCATCATCACCATTACCATCAACGTCACCATCACCAATATCATTACCTTTATCACCTTCATCATCATCACCTTCATCATCACCATCATCACCATTACCATCACCTTCATCATCATCACCATCATCATCTTAATTACCTTCATTACCACCACTACCATCAACAGTCACCTTCATCACCATCATCATCATCATCTATTGAGTCCTATAGTGTCTGATATTTAATACATACCTTTTTTTTACAGCTGAGAAGTTTGAGTTTAAATAAAATGAATCAACATAAGCATGGCCAAGATTATATGGAAAACTAGAAAGAGAGTAGGGCTTGGTGTCTTTATCTTTAACCTCCCATTTTAGGATCCTTTCTCCTAAACTGAGCCCTGGATGTAACATGGACCTCTCTACTCAAATTTCCAGGTGCGAATGGAATACAAAAAATGGTTTAGTGGGATGCGGAAAGGAGTAGAAACTGAAAGCACTGAGATGTCTCGCTCTACTACCCAAACCAAAACGGTAAGATCAGCCCTTTCTGAGTTCCTTATTGGAACCCAACATCTCATGCCTCTGGAAGCTTCCTGGTTCTTTGATCTGAAAGGAAAGAGAAATTGCATTAGGTTCCTGTATTATGCAGCTGAAGTTTCTGGGTATTGAGACCAAAACCAGAACCAACCCTTCCTTCCTTCCTTTCTTCTTTCCTTCCTTCCTTCTTTCTTTCTTTTTCTCTCTTATTTTCTTGCTCTCTCTCAGTCTCTTTCTCTCCCTCACTCCTGGTTTCCCTTTCCTTCCTTACATTTTATTTCTTTCTCATTCTCTTTTTCACTATCTCTCTTTGTTGCTCCCTTCCTCCTTCTCTCTCTTTTCTGACTCTCTGATCCATTCTTTCTATCCCTCCCTCCTTCTCTTCCTCTCTCTTTTCATTTCTTCCTTCAACAAATATCCAAAGGATATTTAACATTTTAAAAAATTTATTAGCTACACTCATTTAACAAATATTTATTGTCCGGCACTGTTTAGGTGCCGGAGAACCAACAGTGGACACATTGACAGTAGTCCTTGACCTCACAGAGCTAACATTCTAGTTGGGTGAGGGGACTGACAACAGACCTCAAAAAGTGAATTTTATGGTATGTTACAAAGTGATAAATGCTTCAGAAAAAAATAGAGCAATGGAGAGCAGCCAGGAATGACAGGGTGGGAGGATTCCAGTTTTAAATAAGGTGACTACAAGAAGTTGGCACTTGACCCAAAATTTGAAGGCTGTGTATGATAAAAACGACCTCTGGTTTGTGAAATTATCTAGATTTGGAGGACTAGGAAGAGACTTTTGGTCAGAAACCACAGATTCCTGAGTGCTGTGACTCATGAAACTGGGTTTGCCCCTAGAGGGCATCCTGAATGCTAAGACCATGGAGCTGTTGCAAAGATATGAGCTTTATTTGGGACAGAGAGCTTCTTAGCTAGGGTAGCACCTCTCATCGTGAGGATTAAATGATGTCAAATAAGCACGTAGAAGGCTGCCTGGCACCACAGGAAGCCCCTGTAAATGTTTGTGAAAAGATAAAATAAAATAACCATTATTAGATGGTGGAGCTTTTTTGGAGGAGGGTGGGAAGTTGTAATGTCAGATATTGAGCTTTGGATCTTACAGAAATCCTAGCTTGTCATCTCTGGGCAGGTTAGAAGTTTTAGTTAATTTCTGAGGTATTACATTCTCTTTCACCTTTTCTCCTTATTATCTTTCCCCTAAGTAGGAAGAAGTGGGGAAGTCCTCAGAATTCATTCATAAAGGAGACACTCCATCATCATCTGCAGTTTCAAGCAAGCAACCACAGCCACAGGTTCATCTCGTCTCTGTTGATTGGCTAAAGATGAACTGACCTGGCAAATGCCATGGCAATGACCCGGAAGTTACCATTCCTTTCCGTTTGTCTACGGCGCCCCTGTGGTCACACACAGATTGGACAAATGCTACTATTTCTAGCTTTCCTGTGAAAAGTCCAGGCTCATTCACCTATTTTGGCTTTTTATCTTCATAGAAAGAACAAGACATTTGGGAGAATTCTTAGATCCGGAGTCCAATAGTGTGGCACATGCAATGAAGTGTCTGAAGGATGCATTTTAAAGATGGCGGGCGGGAGAAGTGGATTTTCTTCTTGCAGCTGCTGCCACCTTGCCAGAAAATCACTAACTGGAATCTGGATTCAGCTCATAGTTCCCTTTCTGGCCTCTCTGCTGTATTTTATGCTCCCAAAGATCTTACATCGTCACTCCACATTCACATAATTCAGCAATTTCCATGCGGTTCAATATTAAAGAGGGTGTTGCATTTCGCAATACAAAAAGGTATCATTTCAGCTTAGGGGTGCATTGTCATTGGACAGGCTCTTTTGTCCAAGACACTGGCATTTTCCCCATTTTCTTTGCCTGAGACTTTTTTTTTTTTTGACAGAGTTTTGCACTTGTTGCCCAGGCTGGAATGCAGTGGTGCCATCTCGGTTCACTGCAACCTCCGCTTCCTGGGTTCAAGAGATTCTCCTGCCTCAGCCTCCCGAGTAGTTGGGATTACAGGCGGCTGCCACAACGCCTGGCTCATTTTTTGTATTTTTAGTAGAGACAGGGTTTCACCATTGTTGGCCAGGCTGTCTTGAACTCCTGACCTCAGGTGATCCCGCCACCTTGGCCTCCCAAAGTGCTGGGATTACAGGCGTGAGCCACTGAGCCCGGCCTGCCTGAGACTTCTCGAACCTGCATGTACACATGGATTAAAGATCATTTTGTTTCCTTAATGTCTTCTTGAACATGTCCCAGTACAAATGTCCAGAAACAAAAACCGTGGGGCATTCAGACTCATTTTTTCATTTTACCATTTCTAATTACTTTTGCAAAGTTACTGCGTTTTAGGTATGGTTTTCAGCGCATTAGTAAATGTGTGGATGATTGTTATGACAGAATAGCTCCAAAAAGATTTTAAATGCTAATGACTGTCAATGTTAAAATAGGCAAGAATTGGCCGTGCGCGGTGGCTCAAGCCTGTAATCCCAGCACTTTGGGAGGCCGAGGCGGGTGGATCACGAGGTCAGGAGATCGAGACTATCCTGGCTAACACGGTGAAACCCCGTCTCTACTAAAAATACAAAAAACTAGCCGGGCGTGGTGGCGGGCGCCTGTAGTCTCAGCTACTCGGGAGGCTGAGGCAGGAGAATGGCATGAACCCGGGAGGCGGAGCTTGCAGTGAGCCGAGATCACGCCACTGCACTCCAGCCTGGGAGACACAGCGAGACTCCGTCTCAAAAAAAAAAAAAAAAAAATAGGCAAGAATCATCATCATTTGTTTGAAGAAATTTCAAACCAGGTGCGGTGGCTCATGCCTGTAATCCCAGCACTTTGGGAGGCTGATGTAAGAGGATTGCTTGAGGCCAGGAGTTTGAGACGCTCTGGAAAACACAGTGAGACCCCATATCTACAAACAATTTACGAAATTAACTAAGCATAGTGGTGCGTTCCTGTAATCCCCGCTACACAGGAGGCTGAGGCAGTAGGATTGCTTGAGCCCCAGGAATTCGAGGCTGTAGTGAGCTATGATTGCACCACTGCACTCCAGCCTGGGAGGCCGTGATACTCTGTCTTATAAAAAAAAAAAAAAAGAAAGAAAAAGAAAAAGAAAAAAAAAAGAAAATCATGTGAGGTCTTCTTTTGGGGTTGCAGACAAAGGGTTGAGGACTTTTCTGCTTAATTAACGCAAATGTCTCCTCCATCGATGTAAACAGCGTAGTGAACATCCACTCCACCTGCTGGCTTTGAAGTCATGTAATTCCTTTGGAAAAGAAAAAATGTAGGGAAATTCACATGGTTGCAAAATGTGTGCATGCTGCGCAACTTTTTGTTTTGCATAATTTCAAGTTTACACGAATAAAGGCTGCGTAAAACGCAATCTTCCTGGGCAGCTGACAAACCCTTGTGCCGAATTCCTACTCATCTTGCTATTGCTCTCTGGTCCTTGGTGGTTGAAGAAAGACAGAATAAATAAGCCATGTATTGTAGGTGCTGCAGGTTTGAATTCAGACTCCTCTATTGGCCATTTTCCCTCCCTTCCAACTTGAAGCCTTCCTTCCTTCCTTCCCTCCTTCCTTCCTTCCTTCCTTCCTTCCCTCCTTCCTTCCTTCCTTTCTTCCTTCTTCTTTCCTTCCTTCCTTCTTCCTTCCTTCCTTCTTTCCCCCCCTCTTTCTCCTTCCTTCCTTCCTTCTTTCCTTCCCCCCTTTCTCCTTCCTTCCTTCCTTCTTTCTTTACTTTTTTCTTTTCTTTTCTTTCTCTCTCTCTCTCTCTCTCTCTCTTTCTTGTTTTTTTGTTTTGTTTTTGCGGAGTTTCACTCATGTTGCCCAGGCTGGAGTGCAATGGCGCAATCTCGGCTCACCGCAACCTATGCCTCCCAGGTTCAAGCGATTCTCCTGCCTCAACCTCCCGAGTACCTTGGATTACAGGCATACGCCACCATGCCCGCCCAGCTAATTTTGTATTTTTAGTAGAGATGGAGTTTCTCCATGTTGGCCAGGCTGATCTCGAACTCCTGACCTGAGGTGATCCACCTGCCTCAGCCTCTCAAAGTGCTGAGATTACAGGCGTGAGCCACCGTGCCCGGTAGGCTCCTTTCTTTCCTGCCTCTCCCATTCTTTTCCACTCTTTTTAAGAGCCAGTCCGGCTTCTGCTTCCTTCAAAATCAATTTCTTATTCAGGCTTTCAAATAAATCCATCTTTTTTTCTTTTTTCTTTTTTCTTTTTTGAGATGGAGTCTTGCTGTGTGGCTAGGCTGGAGTGCAATGACACCATCTCGGCTTACTGCAACGTACGCCTTCCAGGTTCAAGCAATTCTCCTGCCTCAGCCTCCAGAGTATCTGGGACTACAGGCATGTGCCAGCACGCCCAGCTAATTTTTCTATTTTTAGTAGAGACAGAGTTTCACCATGTTGGCCAGGTTGGTCTTGAACTCCTGACCTCGTGATCCACCCGTGTCAGCCTGTCAGCCTCCTAAAGTGCTGGGATTACAGGTGTGAGCCACTGCATCTGGCCAAATAAATTCATCTTTTAAACTCAATTTATTCAGGCCTGTAGGACATGACTTACCCCTCCACGTGGTGTGCTGTTTCACAAATGATGTTGTGTGTGTTTGTAAATCATGCCTCCCTCAATTATAAAATTTGTGAAGGCAAGAATGGCAGAGATGATACATTAAATATTCTTGGCCTCCACCTAATCATTATATCTCAAATTCTGCACTATTGATATTTTGGGCTGAATATTTATGTATTTATTTATTTGAGATAGAGTCTCGGTCTGTTGCCCAGGCTAGAGTACAGTGGCACAATCTTGGCTCACTGCAACCTCCGCCTCCCAAGCGATTCTTGTGCCTCAGCCTCCTGCTGAATAGCTGGGACTACAGGCGCACGCCACCATGCCTGGCTAATTTTTGTATTTTTAGTAGAGACAGGGTTTTACCATGTTGGCC